GGTGGTCAAATTTACATACAAAAGAAAAAGAAGCCAAAAAAAAATTGCATAAAGTTTGATGACCCTTATGGTGACGACGACGACAACAACAACAAAAGTTTGATTTGATCACCATATATTTTTCAATTACAATTCCAATTTTTGTTGTCTTCAACTTACTTAATAATAATTATTATTATTATACAACAACAACTACTGCCTTACTAAATATATAAAAAAAAGATGGAAAATGAGAATCAAAAAACATAAATCGGGCGACACACACACACAAAAAATGTATATACAGAAAACAAGAAATTTCTATTTTTCAAGATTTTACTAGCCACCGACCGAGGTCAAAATATTCGTAGGGAAAAAACATTCATTCTACCATCGTCATTATTATTATCATTGGTGGATGGTTCACTTGTGTACCGTCCGTCCTCAAAAGAAGAACTGGTAACAAAATGAAATTGGCAGAAAAAAAAGGTAATGAATGGTAAGAGAAAAAGAAAACGAAAAATGATGGTGGCGATTGTCAAAACAAGATTTTGTTGTTGTTGTTGAATAACTTATACATACAAAGACATTTTTAGACATTTTTCATTCTGTTTTTTTTATTCGTTATTGTTGTTGTTATTATTATTATTATTCTTAGGATATGGTCGAATGAATCTTGCGTAACAAACAAAAAAAAAATGCAAAAAACCATCATCATCAATAAAAATGTGAAATAATAAGTTTTGTATGATATTTTTTGAATGAAAGAAAAAAAAATGAAAGCTAAAAATCCATCATCATCATCATCGTCAATGAGAATAAAAATTCTCAAATATGAAGATTATCATCATTATTTTTACAGACAGACAGGTAAGAGAGAATCAGAATCTGATCGAATGGTTGTCATTAGAATCGAAGTTTTTTTTTTGCTCTAAATAAAGATTATCACAAAGCGCTAGAGGCTTTGTGCGTGTGTGTGTGTGTGTGTACACCTGTTGAATGGATGAAAAAGAAAACACTTTCAAATGTCAGACTAATTAAATTCTTGGCCTGATTTTTTCTGCTGGTGGTGATGGTGATGTGATGGTGATAGTGGTGGCTAAGAGGAAAAGGCCACTTATTTTAAAATTGACTTAATTTTCATCTATTTTGTTTTTTTTTATGGAATAAAAATCTCATCATCATCATCATCGTTATCATTGTATAATAACATTTAGCCTAATTGTTTTTTGTTTTTTTTTTGCTGAATGAATGAACCAAAAAAAAGACAAAATATCGTATGTCGTGTGAATATAATAATAAGAAGAAAAAAAACAACTACTACAACGATGATGACGTCAAGAAAAAAAAGTCATTTCCGCTCGTTTGTCAGTGAAGACGATGACGAAAAAAATACGGATGATATGTGATGCATTCATTCAGTGAAAATTTTTTGCTATTCGTTTTCATTCAAGATGGCGAAAGAAGAAGAAAAAAAAACAGAATGAAGAAAATGATCATCATCATCACTGTGAAACAAATAAGGACTGATTTTTTATTCAAAATAAAAATAAAAAAAAAAAAATTTTGCGTGGACTATCATCTACATTGACGGGCTAGTTTTTGATGAATGAAACAAGAGAAAACGAACGAGAGAGTAAGAGAGAGAGAGAGAAAGATTCAATATTTTGCCAAGGACAAATTCGCTAAGAAAAGCAAAAAAAAATTATCGCCTAGTTTCTTATTTTTTTTTATTCATTGAAAATTATGCTTGTCACTAACACACACATATGGATATATTGGATTTGCTAGTTTAACAAACACACACATCTATCCAACAACAACAACAACAACAACAAAAACAGAAAAAGCTTCAATCGAATATATAGAAAATGACAAATCCCCAAAAAAAGAAAAGAAAAAATCTTTGACGATAATAACACCTACGCACATCATCATCATCATCATCACCGTAATCATATAATATAATACAATCCCAATCAATAAAAAAAACATTCGAAAATAATGTATCAAGGATTAATATAAATCGTTTGCTTTTATTTTCTCTATGATCACGTATCATTTTTTTTCCATTATGGTGATGATGATGAAACGATTCTGGATCGATTGATTACAAATACACACACACACACACACACACAGAACGAATAATTAAGGTTTTGTAAAACATTCACATCTTTTTTTATTTATTTATATGAATAACCTAAACACATGTGTTGTGTGTAAATGATGATGATGATGATGGAAAAAAATATAAAATTTTTCTGTGGTTGGCAATAGTGAGAAGCCCTTTGCCATTTGTTGGCCATGGCTGGATGGCCATATACATATATATTTACTTGACCTGCCTTTATTTTTTCTTCTTCTTCTTCTTCATTCATTCATTCATTTCAATCATTATAAAGCTTAAAAAGATGATGATCATCATCATCATCGTGGTCTCTTGGTCTTGGTCGTCGTCGTCGTAGTTGTTCGTCACACACATGCACAAATCATCAAGATTTTGTATGGTCGTACGAAAAAAAAAAAAATTTTTCTGTTCACGAAAAATTTTTTTTTCGTCTTTCTTTTTTTTTACTCCGAGGAAACAAACATTAAAAAAGAAAAACCATCTTGTCGAACCAAGTTTCTTCTTTTTTTTACTATATACCAAGCTATAGGTAGCTCCACTTTATTCATCCACCATCACCACCACCACTACTACACAACTGGGGCCATTTTTTTCCCGTAGCTATTCATTCATTGAAAAAAAACCTACAATTCACGATTCACATTCATTCATTCATTGAATTGAAATGAATTCAATCCAATCTTTAATGATAATCTATCATTCAATTGATTGAATATTGAAATAGCTAAAACATATACACAAACACAAAGAAAAATTTGAAGGGAAATGGAACGTACACCGATCGAATACTATTTACCTGGATTGATAGTAATAATAATAATAATAATGATGATGATGATGATGGTATAGACCCTGTGTACAATTTGACCTGTGTGTGTGTGTGTGTGTGACACCAGGTACACACAAGGAGAAATTGAGAAAAAAAAAGAAAAGACGTGATCGAACAATAATAATCAAAACTAACGATAGGTAAAATAATCATACACACATTTTTGTGTGTGTGTTCGTTAGGTAATGCCACTGAACAACCACCAATCCCATAAAGAAAAAAAAACAACATCAAATGTCATAGTGATGACCGATTTGATTCACATAAACTCTCACACACACATACACATAAAAAATGAAAAGGATGCAAAAACGGCAACTAGTGTCACCTTTTTATATTCAGATCATTCACATTTTGGGTTAAATAACAAAAAAAAAAAAGGATTTCAACATACAACAACTAACTACTCTGCCGATAACCTATTGATTTAGATCATCATTATAAGAGAAAAAAAAATCTCTAAAGGTTATTCAGTTTTTTTTTCTGATGAATGGTGTGAAAGATTGGGATGTGATTTTTTTTTTTGCTTTGCTTTCCTGGTATTAATGCATCCAAACTCCATACTGCAAACATTGACACCTTGATCCCATGCATGCACACAAACAACACACACACAGACCGATCGTGATGGCTAAATGGATTTTTTTTTTCGTTTCTAAATAGTAAAAAAAAAATCATTCTGACAAACTCCATTCAAACACGAAATAGTCAATTGAATTTATTAGAAAAAAAATAATAATAAAAAAGAATCACAAAATGATGGTAATTAACTGGTTTGCAATATGAATGACCGTAGAAAATGACGAACAAGTCGATATGGTCAAGCCAATAGTAGTAGTAGTTGTAGTAATCGTAGTTAATTTTGCTACCAGGGCCAAAGAACTCAAAAAAGCGTATTTTTTTAACGATATTTCGTATCTTCTTTAAATTATCACTGACAATTTTCATTCACAACTATCAATAAGTAAACTAAACATGAACAACAACAACAAGATCATTATCGAACGACGAATCCAGTCTACATTTCACACATTCGAATTTTTCGATTTTTTTTTTGTTGTTGTTGTTGTCTGAATGATATATACACACAAAAAATAATGAAAAAAAAAAAATTTGTCAACATACCTCGTTCTTCAATGACCGCTTCGATCGATGTGATTGCTATGGTGGATAAAATAATCAATGAAAATATTGTAATTATAAATGTTGAAATTATCGTCGTTGGCCGATGATGATGATGATGATGATGATGGAACTCCATCGTTTCCATTCGCCGTTTCATGTTGAAATCGTTCATCAGATTAATCGTCATCATTTATTTATTTATTTACACAAAAACTAAACACAAACAAACAAATCGGTTATTTTGATTTGTTTTTTCACATTATTCGTTTTTGTTTGACAAACAGTCATTCCAAGAATAAAAAGAAATCACACACACACCAGTCGGACCCAAGTCGAAAATCAATCAACAAAACACAGTGGACAGAAATTTTTTTTTTTTTTTAGTGATAGATGGAAATTGCATTCGATGATGATAATAATAAAAGAGATAGATAAGGCGATATTGAATGTCCGAATCAGATCAGTAAAAAAAAACAAACGTAATGACCGATTTGATGTGAATAGTTCAATGTTCAAACAACGACTGGCGGAAATTTCAAGTTTGCATTCAAGCAAACTATGATCCTCTTTTTTTTCAACAATCTAACGACGACGACTGATGGCAGAGAAAAAAAAAATTGTTAAGGCGGTGCTTACTACAATGCCCAATATACTTGTTGCTGGCCATTGTGTGTGTGTGTCTGTTTCTGTTTCTGTTTGCTTGTGCTTGTGATTTCTATTTCGGCAGTGATATAAAATTAACAATCTTCAATATTCATCATCATAATAGAATTAAAGAATTTTGATCATTTTTTTTTTGTTTGATTTGAACTAATCGGATAATTGAAAATTTTAAAGAATTATAAAAATTGTAAGTTCACACCGAAATTGAGTTAAATATATATTTTTAAAACTATTTGATAACCTAATGCACATCTAGGTCGATATAGCCGTTTGGGATAAACATGTGATTTTTTACGATTCTTTTATTCATCATCATCATCATCATCATAAAAATATTCTGATTTGACGTTTTATTCATCCATCAAATACATCGATTATAATATGTCATCAATTTTCGGAAATCAATCAGATTTTAGCTTGGATACACATTCTGTGTTGACCGATTTGGATCGTAGTCTTCATTCATCATCTATTGGTGATCAATGTGAAGGAATCGTCAAAGTACCATCATTGTTTGAACGTTATCCATTTCCCATTCTGATCAACGCTGCATCGTTAAAATTATCTGAAGTTTATCATGAGGGCAGTAATTTTTTACGAATATTAATATTACAAGTTTTCAAAGAAAGTGAAAAACATCTTGACAAGATATTGAATATTGATGAATTTGTTCGTCATCTGTTCGCCGTAAGCTATTCAAATGATCCATTGGCTCGTTCGATTACATTGCAAACATTGGGTCATATTGCTCGTATAGTATCGAACAATAAAAATATCCACAATTTTATTCGTAACAGCCTGGAATCGAACGATGAACAAGAAGTTCATGCCGCTATCGAAGCTAGCGTACAGTTTGCTATACAATCGAAAGAATTTGCACAGAATATCTATCCAAAAGTCATCTACATGATCGAAGGTTTGACCACATCAATGGACATTAAGATTTGTTTACTTGAAGTGATAAATAATCTTCATCACAATTTCGCAATAGTCGAAGATGCACGTAACAAATTGATTTCATTTCTTGAAAAATATCCAGAGAAAAATTTTCTTTGTCAAAATCTTCATACATTAACATCGATTGCTTCATCATCGATTACTCATATACCTGATCAAGTGGAATTATTGCTGGATTATTATATGAATGATCCTAGAATTAGTGTCAAATTATCCGTATTGAATGATTTAAAGAATTTAGCTAAAGATAGTGCACATATCTGGAAACCGGCAAGCATAGCCAAATTTATTGATCTAATTTTTGCTAATTTTGACCAGAATAATTTCTTCTCTGCATTGAATAATATGGAGATGAAAGAATTACGTTTATTATGCCGATCATTGGCCGTGTTAAGCGAACTGGTTGGTTCACCATCGGTTTTCATTGACAATTCTCTTGTTTCAATGGAACATATTACTAAAATTGTCAATTTTGGCACACAAATCATTTATCAATCAACTTTGCATGCTATGTTTGCCGAAAATCTTCAAATATTTTTAATATCCAAATGTTTCACCATATTGACCAATATCTGTTTACATATCGATTCGAAATCCATTGATAATGTTGATGTTCTTCAGGAGACGTGTGCTGCATATGAATCATATTTTCTTGGAAAATTTAACACCGAAATTGATGATAAAATAAGCAAAGAAGCTTTGAAAGAAATATTCAAAAGTTGTGTTACATTATGTCATCAACGAGAATCTGAGCCTAGCCAAGTGATACAAATAACCGAAGCATTGAGATTTATATTTTTAAAATCCAAACCTAATAGTTCATGGTATGAGATGATTTGTGAGACCATATGTTCGTTGTCTTTGGTGATTCAAAAGAATAGAAGCCTTACGTCGGATGACATAATCGATATGATCAGATCGAGCCAAAAATCTAAAAAGAAATCATTTCCCAAAAATGATAGACTTGCCATCAAATTGTTGATCATTTTTTTTCAATTGAAAAATGGTAGTGTGATAATGGAAAAAGAATCTACCATTCTGTTGGACAGTTTATCCAAATACAATGCCTGGGTATGTTACAAAATTGTTCGTGCAGCAATGCGTTATGGCCATCATAATTTTGCAACACAATTATTGAACAAAATCAAACCATCCACCGAATCAATTGAACAATGTTATTTCTGGATCAATAGTTTATTGCAGATTACTGAAGCCGAAGCATCATTAATAAATGAAGATCTTATTAAATTGAAAAGTGATGAATTTTTATCTGTCAATTATAATTGTGAACAACTTGAACATGGATTATTGAAATGTATAGCCAACTATACACAAGGTTTAACAAATTTGAAAAGCTTCCGTCAGTAATGTCAAACCGATGCAATTTCAATGTGAATATGTTAGACTTCGTTTAAAATATCTTCAAGCACATAAACATTTTCGTCAATGTTGTCAGATGATTCAATCATCACCATGTCCAATATCACTTATAGCCAATGGTAATCAAACGGCACAACAATCTACCAATTGTTGGTCTGATGATCTTCTACGTAATGGACGAATCGTAACATCGTTACAGAAATGTTCACAAGAATTTCGTCGTATATCGGATAATTATAGTGCATTATATCAATCATCTTTTGATGCTGATCCTAATACACTTTCATATATTCAATTATGTCAACATAGTTGTACATTATTAGCTGAAGTGATTGAAAATTTATTTCAAAAAAGTCATCGTATCGATTCACTTTTTATCCGATCAACACGTACGAATACAGTCATTCCTATGAATCAAATTAGAACAAATCATCATTCGGATGATTTTACGATGAATAGTATAATTGAACAGAAAGAAATGGAAAATGTTTGTACATTTATCTCCAATCTTGTGCAGAAAAATGAATTGATGAGTTTGACAAATGTTGACCAAAGTCAACGAACAAATGGTCGGCAATTTTTATCATTATTTGCAAGACAAATTGAAATGTTACTACGAATTAGTGCTCGTATGTTGTTGGTTCCATTGTCATTTCCACGTTTCTTTTTCCAAGCAATTCAATCGACCAGTATCAAATTGGAATTATCATCACAACAGCCACGTAATCTACAAGATCCAATCAACATTGGTCAAAGTGTTCAATTTGTACTGTACGTCGAAGGTGTTGTTATTAGTAATCATTCAAAATTGAAATTATCATCATCATCATCGAAAATGACACCAATGTCAATGTCAGATCATAAGCTTACAATGCAATCAATGATGAGAATGATACAAAAAACGGACAAACCATCTAATGTTGGACAGAAACAAATGAAAATATTCCGTAAAGTAAACAAAATTCTTCTTACATTAAATGCTGTGGCAATCAACAATACAAACGAAATGGCACACATGTCATCAATGCAATCAACCATCACTATGCATTCGATTGTTGTACCAGTGAATGATTATTTTCACACACAATTTTTATTATCATTTCCGAATATTAATCTTTATAATATATCGGTTGAAACATCCATCATTGATGAAAATGAAGCACAATGGAAAAGTGGCCCAATTCAAACAATCACAGCCAAAGTGGTTGAAGATTATAAAGCAATTTAATTTGATATTTGATAATAAATTCTATATATGTCAAGTATATTGTAAATAAATCATCATCATTGATAAATAAATTGATAAAAGTCATTTATTTGTTCTTCTTTTCATATATATATTATATAATGATGATATATCTCACATGTGGGAAAAAAATTCCTTTTTTTTGATGCAACTGATGGCTTAATGTTTTTGTTCACAGTTACAAAAAAAATTGACCATGAAAACAATGATTCTGATGTATGTGTGTGTGTGTGTGTGTGTGAAGAATAGAAAACATTTTGACATTTTTTAACACAATGAATGATATCCATTAGAATTTGAATATTTTTTTTCCAGATACATAGATAGATATTTACAACAAAAAAAAGGGTGGAAATGAAAAAAAAATGAATTCTTCCAATTATTATAACAAGCAATCAATCAATAATGACAAAACGTGTGAGAGAGAGAGAGATCAATCAATCAATCAATCAAAAAAAACAAGAACAAAATAAAGTGTAACATCTTTTCCGTGTGTGTGGATGTGTATGTTTTCTATACAAACATTGAATATAAATATTTTATATATTACAATTGATTCATATTCATCCAATTTCTGAGGTTTGATGAGTTTTTATCATCAGCTGGTATGTAAAGTAAAAATTTTTTCCACATAATTTATAAATAATAATAATACAACAAATGTAAAAAAAATCACCACCCATTTGAATCTATTTAATTAATTCACCCATTGTGATAATGATGAAGACAAATGTTTGAAAAGAAATGGAATTTTTTTTGTGCTTTGAGCATTATAAAACAGTGGCCATAATTAGATGAATGGCCATATTCAATTTAGAATCGTGAATTTTTGTTATATTTGGCAAAATGATGATGATGATGATGATGATGGGTTTCCAAAAAAAAAGTTGGAGGCTATAGGGCAGTATGAGTGAAAGACGTTGCGCTATTACTATGAGCAAGCGATAATAAACTGCCGCTAACACTGGCAGAATCATCATTATCCAATAATTGTGGATATGGTTCAGTAGATGCATCGGCAATGGCCAATGCATTGAAAGCCCATTTGTGTGCTTTCCAAATCAAATTTTTCAATTTCCTGTGCTTGACGTTCAAGTAACAAACGTTTACGTTCATTTCGTTCATTCTGAAATTGTTGACGTTCATCTTCCATCTGATTGTTTTTAAAATGGATTTAATAAAAAAATAAAACAATTCATTTAAAATTTACCTTTTTCTCCAATTTCAATTTATCGATTCTGACTCTTTCTTCAAGTTCACTACGTTCTTTGGCACGTTGTGCTTCAGCATTTGATCGAATTTTGCTTTGAAAAGCTCTCAATGATTCAAGCTCTTGATCAAGCTGATTTCTCAGTTCATTTTGATCTTGTTCTTGTGCTTCATCCAATCGTATCTATGAGAAATTACATAACATGGATGAAAATTCATTGCATTCTTTGTAAAAAAACTTACCGATTGTGTTTGAAGCATATCTGATATACTTTGTTCATATTGTTCACCTAAAATTTGTAGCTTTCGAACTTGTTCTTCTTTCAATTTTTTAATGACATTTTTCTGTTCATCTTTAGGTGTCGAACTCAATATTTGTTCTTTCCAGGCTTTGTACTATTCATTTCGTAGAATTAAATAAGAGATTAAATATTAGATTAGAAATTTCCATATAACTAATACCTGAAGTGTTTGTGTTTTACACGTTTCACGGAATTGTTTCCTTATCTGTAATTCTTTTTGTTTAAGACTTTTTGGCTGTTGCTTCACTTCCATGGCATGTTTTTTACGTAATTCTTTTAATCTTCGATCAATATATTCTTGTTGATTGGCCAATTCGATCGAATGCTGATTACGAATCTGTTCCTCACGTAATTGATGGATAGCTTTTTGTTGTTGATATTGAAGATCTTGGAATATATCATGATGTTGCATCAACATATCGTGCGCTTGTTCCAATTGACCTTGTCGTTTGTTAAGCTCATCGCGTAACATATCCCTTTCTAATTGATGATAAAGTATTAGTTTACGGCGACGAAATTTTCGTATCTCCAAATTATAATATTCTTCATTCTGTTGTTGTAGTTTTTGTAATTTAAGATGTTGTTCTTTTTGCACTTGTTCTAATCGCACTTTATATTCGTCATGTGGATATTCACGTTTCAGTCTATCTTTGATACATTTAAATTCACGTTTTTGTTGTATTTGTGCACGACTAAATTCGTCTTTTTGTGTATTTGTCATCGATTTGCTTATCTTACGTTGTTGTGTTGCATTTACTTTTAACTGAAATAGAAAAAACAATAAATAAATAATTAGATTTTTGCACATAAAAAGGCTATTCTAACCTTTTTATCTAGTTCTTGCTGCTGTTTGGTGATTTGTTTCTCCAAATCTTTTTTAAATTGCTGTAATAGTGCATCATATTCTTTGTCTAATCGTTGTTGTTGTTCTTCGAATTCTTGTCGACATTTATCTTCTAGCTGCATGATTGCTTTCTGATGTTGGCGACGCATCCGTTTATAACCGGACATTTGTTCTTGTAGTTGATTATCACGAGCATGTTCCTTTAATTGCCTAGTGACAATCGAAGTAGTACGCAATGTGGCAAAATTATTGGCACCCAATTCTGTGCTATTTATACTGGCAGAAGAATTCTGTTTGTATAAAAACGTCAGAAAATTTCAATCAATAAATTATCTTATAAAATTATCAAAAAAAAAAAAAAATTAATCACATACCGAAGGACTGATTCGATTTGCTTGATTTGGTATACCACCAGCACCGGTGCTCGAACTTGTACTTTCACGTCGGATCGACATTGGATTACGATAAGCATCGATATCAGTGACACAATTATTGGCAGCAGGTATGCTACTGGTACTGCTACTTTGACTACAGATGCTAACCTGGCTGGTACTTTGTCGGCTATTATAGCTTGCCACACTATTACTTTTACCATTATTATTATAATTATTCACAATATTTCCATATAATGGTTGTTGATTTTGATAATTTGGCTGTTGATGTTGTTGTTGTTGCGCAGATTGATTCTTGGATCCATGGTATTGTTGATGATTCTGGTAATATGAATGTTGTTGATGTTGTTGTTGGTGATGATGAGGATAATGGTTCATATTGCTATTGCCGGCTTTATTGCGATTATTATTATTGTTGTTGTTACCATTATTGCGGCTATTATGTTGTATGACTTCTTCCTACAATAAAATTTAAAACATTGTTTAGTATCAAGTAATCAATCAAAACGTTATAATCTGCTAAAATCACTTACGTTTATATCACTTTCATAATCAATCTGAGAACTTTGACTTTGAAGATCAGAATCGCGATTATCTGCCATTAATATTTTTTTCATTTTACGATAATTAAGATTATCTAATTCTCGTACAGCTGTCTTTGTTCGATTAATCAAATCCATGATTACTGTGTGTGAACGTGGTCTCGTTATAAATGAATGCTATATAATCACCAAACAAACAAGAAAAAAACATTTTCAATTCAGATATTTATGTTAGAATTATTGAAAAATTACCTTCAACATTGCACTGGATGTTGGCCGTTCATTGGGATTCTTTTTTAGACAGGAATTAACAAAATTTCGAAATAAATCCGACCAATCCGTATTTCCGACATGACTTATTGTAGGTGAATCATTTTGGGCAATATGATATAAGGCACTCATAGCATTCATATTAAAATAAGGTGGTTTTCGTTCGGCCATTTCTATACAGGTTATGCCCAATGACCAAACATCTACTTTACCATCATATTGACCTTCATCCATGGCTAGAATAACTTCTGGTGCCATCCAATATGGCGTACCAACAAATGAATTGGCTGGCGATATTATCGATGCTGAACCGAAATCGGCTAATTTGACTGTGCCATTTTCGGTCAATAAAATGTTGCCAGCTTTTACATCACGATGTATACGACATTGTGAATGTAAATATTCCAGGCCTTTTAGTGAATCATGACAAATAGCAGATATTTCTTCCTCTCTCAATGGTTTTTTGTGCACTAGTATTTATGAAAAAAAATAAATAAATCAAAAAAAAACAAAAAAATACGTCTCAACTTACCTTCAATAATGTCGGATGCTGATCCAAGACAATATTCCATCACTAACCATGCCGTCTGATCTTTTAGATAGCATCCTTTATAATCGATTGTATTACGATTTTTTAAGGTTTTTAGGAATTTCACTTCTTTTAGGATATCTTGCCATTTCTAAAAAATAATAAGTAATAAAATATAAAATCAACATATAATGCGAAAAGATGTGTATGAAAATACGTACCTCTGTTGATTGTTTGCCCGTGAAGGACATTTTTTTAATGGCAACCACTTCTTTTGTAACGACATTTCGAGCCTTGTATAAATAAATTGTATCATAAATGAAAAATCACAAAACAAACAAAACATACATAATAGACGGCACCAAAACTTCCATGTCCAATTTCACGTAAATCGGTGAAAATTTTTTCTGGATCCTCTTTATCAAAATATTGTGCAATTTCTGGATCCTTTAGATGACCGATTCTAAAATGTTACAAACACAATATTTACGTTTTAGTAAAAATAATAGCCAATGATCAATGAAAAAAGAGAAAAAAACATACCTGAAATGTGTTGGCATTGTGTCGATTATTTTTATTTTTATTTTAAATTAGAAAATGACAATAGTTTATAGTTTCTAAAAATCTTTTTAAAGATCATCAACACTTTTTTTTGGTTGAATGAATATGTGATCAGGATAATATAATCGAAATCTGGTCTGGTCAAACGAAAAATGTTTTTGCTCATTTAATCGTCGATTATTGTTATCTCTTTAAGTTTTTGTTTTCTGAAGAAAAATTTAAATCTACTAGCACACATAGAACAAAGAGAAAAAGACAAAACAAAAAAAAAATAATCAATTTTAATCCAGAAAAAAATTAATGCCAAACCCAAGATATAATAAATAAGATGGGCTAATAAATTCAATGAACCGTTAGAAATGATGAGAAAATTTTTCAAAAAAAAAAAAAAAATTAGACAAGACAACAACAACAACAAAAACCGACCATTACTTTTTTTCGAATATATAAAAAAAGCTAATTCTGTAAGCGTTAAAAAAAAATTTCCACTTGGTGTGCAGAGAAACAAAAAAAAAAAAAAAACCAAAATAGGATAAACACCATCAGATAAATCTTGCCATTCATCTTATAATATGCTCATTACGATGATGATGTAGACAAAATGAAAAACAGGAAAAAAAATTAATGATTTCGCTTTCAAACAAGACAAAAACAAAACAGAAAAAAAAACTCAACCAAGACCATTTTTCATTCAAAAAAGGTTTTTTTATTTTGTTCCACAAGATTATTATTATGTGTCAATCATTCATTACCTAAGGATTTTTATTTTGTTGTTGAAAATTTACATCGTGTAATGTAAATTTTAAGGTATACTTTTTAATTGCAAAATTTCAAATAATAATAATAATAATAATAATAATTTGCCCTGTACATGATAAAAATAAACAACTTTAAAATTATATAATAATCATTGAATGATTTGTGATTCGATTGATTACAATTAACAAATTTTAGAATGTAAAAATTATATTCATATTCATCAAGTTAATCGATGAATGATGAAGATAAAACAAAAAAGACAATGATAATCATCATACACATTGTGCGTCAGTGAATCCCGGTTCATTATGAACTTCAAATAAAATAAATGAAATGAAAAATAATCAAAATTCCATATATACCCAACCATAACCAAGAATGAAAAAGCCGGGCACAGCTTATGACGTATATTTTTATTTGTCTAATAACATAAAGAACTGTAGATGATGAGATGTGTTTGATGTGTGTGTGTACACTCACGCGTTATTTGGCCACTATCATCATCATCATCATCATCGTCATCATTTTAGTTTCTGGTGCGTAGATAAATCAAAAAAAAAAGAAATGTGAATGAGAGAGAATACCCTGGTTCCCCAGCCAACCAGAAAAAAAAGTTCAATGTCCCGGGTACACAAAACCCGAAGAGTGAAAAAAAAATATTGCTGATGTAAATGAAAAAAAAAATCTCTCTGTGCGTGTGTGTGTATATATTTTTCAGCAAATTTCATTCACATTGTTCACAAAACAAGGGTACACAAGCTTCAAACAAACAAACAAACAAAAAAACAAATTATCAAATGAACAATTTGTCTTGAAATAGAAATAACAGGGTTAAACAAAAAAAAAAATGGAACATTTTGATTCCACGAGGAAACGAAAATTCCACAAATTTTATAAAATCTGATTAGATTCATTTCACGTTTCATTTTTTTTTTTTCATTCCACAACAACAGAACAACAACATTCTTAGCACATTGTGTTCCAAGATTTATTGTTTTCTGGAACCACGATGATGAAAAACATTTCGTAATCGAAACACACATTTGAAAAAAAACACACAGAAGCCATAAAGCATCATTAAACAAAAATTTTTTTTTTCAAGTTTTGTTTCAAGATCAACGACAACAAAATAAATGCAAAAATCACCTACACAAAAGAAAATCATGTTTTTTTTTTGGATTTTATTTTTGTTTTGTTTTAAAACACACACACACACACACACACACACACACACGAATGCATGTTGCAGCATTAACACACATTTTTTCCATAAAAAGGAAATCGAGCAAACGACGACGACAACAACAACAACAAAAACAACGACTAGTGTTTTTGTTTTGTTTTTGTATCAATAAAAAAAAAAAGGTGCCAATTGTTGTTTGTTGAAAAGGAAATGGCGTATATTGATATGTTGCTGTACAATTGAAATCGTACAGAAACAGAAAAAAATGCAAACTCTCAAATGTATGAGAATCACATAATATATTTATTATTATTATCAAAAATTTAGGAAATATAAATTCAGCTACAAATAATCAAACAAGGTTGTTAGTGTTATTATCATCATCATCATCATCATGGGCGTTGGATGTTGTTGTTGTTGTTTTTGTTTAATGATTCGATTATCAAAACAAACACACAGTGGATGATGACGATGATGATGATATGCAGAAATCAAATTAATGAATGGTCATAACACAGAAGTGAAAAAAAAATTTTTGAATAATCAATTAGATAATAACCAAAATTTAAATTCGATTTATTCTTCCTTATTATTACGGTATATATATTAGTTTTAGCATCACAAATCTAAACCAAATGTTGATGATGATGTAATATAATATATCAAACAATATCATGTGTACCATTTTTTCACATGTTTCATTTGCAATATATACATATTTTGTGGTTCGAAAATTTAGTTCATCATCATCATTATTATTATAACGATGATCATAATCATCATCATCATTCAGTCATGATGATGATTCCTTATGTAAAAATGATGATCATATTCCCATCATGAATCATCATCATCATTATTATTATGATTATTGTTGAGAAAGAAAAAAAAATATTTGCACCAATGCTAACCATTTTGGAGAAAAAAAAAGAACGAAAGAGAGACATAAGACGAGACTGAATATATAAAGAAACCGGCTTATTTTCTTTAAACAATTTCATGTCCATTTACCTTGCGCGAGAACGAAAAAAAATATACATTGACCAAATCGGAAACAAAAAAAAAGAGAGAAAAAGAGGAGAGAGGATTTTTCTTAAAAAAAACATCATCATCATCATCATATAAACATTTATGGTAATTTAGTAGAAAAAACAGCTGTTTTCAAACTGCAAAAAAATCAAAATGACAAATAATCAAAAAGGATTAAAAATGAATTAACGGTGGCTCATTACTGTTTTTCGGAAAGAGAAAGAAAAAAGGGGTACCATTTAAAGATCATGATCGTTTGCTTGATTTTTTTTTGTCATTTTTATCATCATCATCATTATATAGAAATGATAATGATGATGATAAAAGTCATAAAAATTCCTGGTTATCGACAGCATACAAACACAGAGAGATACACACCCATTTCAACTTTAATTATGCAAGGAATTTTTTTTTTCGTTGTCTTTCAAGTGAATTTCGTGATGATGTCGTTTATTTTTTCATTATTATTATTATCATTATTGTAGTAAAACAAAACAGTGAAATAGAAAAAAAAACAAGATTCCAGATCAATGGACATCCAGATAGACTTTTATCATAGATAGATGGATTGATCATCTACACATAAAAAAAATTAGGGCCAAATGCAGAGCATACTCAAACACAAACAGATAGAGATCAAGATAAAGATCGATGTGGCCGCACAATCATTCATTGCTTTTTATCCATTTTTATTTTTTTTTTTTGCATGCAGAAGCAACAACAGAAGAAGAAAAAAAATTATTGTGCATTTTGAACAAGACAATAGGTCCATTTTCCAAAAAAATGTTTGTCAAGATTTCAATCAATAATGGAAGAAAATGGGAAAAAAAGCAACTCATTCAGCATATAGTTAGGATATTGGCATCCATTTGTTTTTTTTTTTTTTTGTTGTTTTAGATAGATAGTCAAAATCAATATTTCGGTTCAAACAAACAAACAACCAGAAAAAAAACAATGTAAACAAAAAGCATAGATTTGAAAAGTTCAAAATTAAACGAATGTGTGTTGTTTGGAATCAATAAAATGGAAATGTGTGTGTGTGTGTGTGTGTGTGTTTTTCTCCCTTTTTGCCCAATGCTAATACATTGACAAAATTTATTTGTCACATAAAGTTAGAATAAATAAACAAAATAAAATATAAGATTCGCTTTAATCAATCGATGATCAGGATAATTATACAAATCAATCAAATATAGAGATATTGAACATCAACACACATCAATATACCTCTTTCTTATATATAATCGCTACAAAAGAAAAAAATACAGCATTTTCCGCCACCCTCCACAATTTACAAGCCAGTCAACCAAACATACATATTTTTTTTATTTATTTACATAATGATGCTGATGAACTATTATAAAAATAACAAAATAAAAAAAACCGGATGAAAAGGAGAAAAAAAAATCGCCATTCTTGTCTCACATAGATAGTAATAGGGGTTAATAATTATCACCCTTCAAATTTTTTCACAATTAATGTTCGTTTTTATTTTTTGAGAAAAAATGTAATTTATGTGTATTATTTCCATGTGACTAAGTTTCTTCGGAAATCAAGCAAGCAAAAAAAAAACAAGCAGAAAAAAAGACAATACAATGAGGTCATAATTATCATATATACACACACATTCATTTAGATAACATTTTTTTCCATCATCATCATTCATAAATAATTCTCACTCATAAACACAAAAGTAAACATATGGGCCAGGATTTTTTTTTGTCGTAAAAAAATTTAGGAAAAAAAATGATAAAAATATAGCCACATGCATGTGTCATATGGTCATTAATTAACAGTTTGAATCACTTAAAAATTAATGAAAAACAATCAATAGATTCTTACCTTCATGAGAAAAATTGAATACAGATTTAAAACTATGACATGGTCATCGTGATGGTTTTGTCAATCAGAAGAATCATCAAACAAAAAAAGTCCCAAACATATTTTCAAGAAAAAAACAGCTCATTCAATGTTGTCGTTTTGTTTGTGTGTGTGTGTGTGTGTGGGTGTCATCACACCATCGAAGAATTTTAGCTTGTTATTGTTGCTTCTGCTGATTATTCGATAAATTTCTCAAGGTCTATTTGAGGAAAATAATTAAGATGACGAATAAAGTTGATTAGACCATGATCACCAAGAAGAGACATATTTTCTTTCTTCATACCAAACGATGGCCATTCACACAATGAAACTTTTCAACAAAAAAAAACAAAACAAAACAAAAACAGACACACAAAATGGCCAACAAAATCTAGTCATCGGACCATCGATACAAACAAACAAATATTGAAACGATTTAGGATAGAATTAAGATTGAGCAATACACAATAGAGATGAGATTTTGGAATTCTTCTTACAAGAATGGGGGTGTGTGTATGTGTGTGTAGTAGAATAAAGAAAAAAAGAAGGGGAATTTTTTCTCGTTGTTATATTTTCGTTTGTTGAAAAAAAAAGATTTCAATGATGATAGGCATAAAAAAAAAAAAAAAAATTTTTTTTTTTGGGATTGAGCACCGACGACGTCGTCGCCGTCGTTGTCGTCTTGCTTGATGATTTGATGGTATATTTTCTTTTTTTTGTTTAGTGTTAGTTTGATGATGATGATGATGATGATGATGATCAATACAAAAACAACATCCATTCTCATAATAATAATTCGAAACCAATGTTTGTTCGAAACAGTAGCAGCATGAATCAATGATGATGATGATGATGTATTCATATCTCATAAGAATTCGATATACCAACCACCACTACCAGAAAACCAGAATTAAATAAAATAGATAGATAACCAGACTAGCAAGTTCGTCTACCAAAACACCAAAAAAAAAAAAATACAAAGCAAACGTTTGTGATAAAATTTGGGTGAAAAAAAAACACAAAACTGCTCACATGTATGTATGCGTGAAGCAAACAAACAAGCTAATGATGGATGCTGCCAGCAATTTAAAAATTTCAACCAAATAGTCATGAAATAAATGTGCCACTTCTACATTTTTAGATTTTAATATCCAAAAAGTAGAAGCATAAACATTTGAATGTCAGGCTGTTAACACATACACACACATACACATACATGAAAATATCAATTAATGTTGTGCCATCTGTTGGTAAAGAATTTTAACGAAAATTTTGGTAATTTTATAAATGATGACGAAATTTATTTATTTTTTAGATGAAAAAAATGAATAGAAATACAAATGATTAATCAATGTGGAAACAATGTTCAATTTAATCTTTGGTAGTCGAAGATGGTTGTTGTGGTCCTGTTTGTGCAACGACTGGAAGGATTTTATCTTTAGAAATAAAAAAAAAATGATTAGGTTAAAAAAATAATTCACTAGAAAATGTAATTGGATACTAACTTATAATTTTTCCATATCCACCACGATCAGGATCAAAATTTTCTCTATATTCATCACGAATTTGTCCACCACTTTTTCCACGGCCATATTGTCGTCCTTCGATAAAACCGGCATCCCAATCACAGCGAATGATACGATTATCGAGTCTAGTACCGTTGATCCATTGCATAGCACGGAGAGCATCTTCACGTTCATGAAATTCAACAAAACAAAATCCACATGGTGTTTTCTTGAATTTATCCAAACCGATTATAACACGACAAATATCACCACATCGACCGAATAGTTCATAAATTTGTTCTTCCGTAGTATAAAATGACAAGTTTCCGATATAAAGTGTAGTTGATTTACGGAGTTTTTCTTCCTGTTCTTGTCGGCTTCCCTATATCATATATTATAAATAATCGAACGAATCAATTGTATTATGAACATTAATTTTACTCACATGATAATACTTACTTGAAATTTTGTATCTCGATAACTACCAAGACTAATATCTCGTCGTTTTTTCAATGTAACACTCATTTTTATTTCAAATGACTAATAAATTAAAATTTATTAATTAACAAAAAAAAAATTCTATCATTCAAATTCGATATCTATCAAAACAGAAAAAAAACCACGACCAACAACACAATGCCGCACTGATCAGTGAACATATCAATCACGTGATTAAATTGACTATATCAACTCTGCCAAAGTAATATTGTGTGTAAATAGGTAAATATTAGTGATCATTTTTAAAAATTGAATTTTTATAATGTGGTAGTTTATGTACATGACTAAATATTTGAAACATTTCATCACTTGTTAAATCACCTAATGTTTTATGATATGAAATACCAAGGCCAATAAGATCGATAGTACAACCAGGAAAAAGTTTTTCATAATATTTTATGGCATTATTTGTACGTTTCATGAATGATTGTTTAACAAATACACTGCAAATAGGAATAGAAAAGTATATTATAATCAAAAAAATCGTAATATATGAATCGAATATATGATTATACATACACATAGTCTATTAGAAAATCGGCTTCCATTTGATTGATGAACGGTTTCGGTTTGAGTTTTATTAAAATGAATGCTTCTTTTGATTTAAATTTACGATCATTTGTATAGGCAAAATTGGCGCTCGATATAATTGAACAATGACGATTTTCGATTTTAATGTTATCAATACCGTTTTTTAATTCCGATGAATGTAGATTGATTTCATATCGTTCAAACAATGTATTCATGTGGATAGTAAAGGCAGTATAAAGATGAAGATTACGTGATGGTTTGCTTACCATCATTTTATACATTGATATTGGTACGAATAGATAAAATTCATTTGGTCCTGATTCGAAAAATGATTCAAAACGAACTATTGAATAAACCAGATAGGTAAGTAATTCACGAGCAAAAAATGGCGATAAAGCTGTGAATAATCGAAATGCTGGTTGCGGTTGTTGATTATGATTGGTTGAAAATGACCAATTATTATTCAGACCACCAAAACATAATCGAAAGAAATCTTCACGATCTAAATCGAGTAGTCTATAATTTCCACTAGCAAAATCTATCAAAGAAAAACAATTAGATATAAAATTACAATTGATCATTGTAGATTTTTTTTTACCTAAGATTTGTTTGTCGATAATTTCCATTCTATTGTTGCCATATTTTTGACAAAGTGTCTCCAAATGTGGTCGTCGTTTTGAAACATGTTCAAACACACGGATTTTTCCATTGCTATGTTTCAATAATTGTTCGGTAAGAATACCGTATCCAGGTGAAGCTTCAAATAGATAAGAATTCGCATTGAAATCACAGTCTAATTCATTGGAGATTTTTTTACAAAATTTTTCAGCAACTTTTGGATTTTTTAAACAAATAAATTGATTAGATGTTTTACGAAGATATGATTTGAGCAATTCTTGTTGCAACTTAGAGCCATTCATATGATTGGCTGCAACCTTGAGCAAAGTTTTATTCATCATCTTATCTTAATCACCGAATCATCATGATGATTTAAAAAGAATCCGTTAAGTTACCATGTGAAAATTCTGTGGATAACTTTTTTTCCAATCATCATCATCATCAAGTCAAATATGATCAACTAAAAAGACAATCGATGTTTAAAATCGATTGTCACGTGATTAATTGTTGATTCGTTTGTTTATTTATTTTGTATCCGACTTGTTACAATATTTGAATTTTCATTTAAAATGTCTTCATCAGAACCTGAACATTGTCCCGGTATCGATTCGGAGCAGGCAGGAAAATCAGCCGCTTGTGCTGGATGTCCTAATCAAGGAGTATGTTCCGGTGGTGAATTACGATCAGCAGCCAAAGATACAGAACAAGATTATTATGAAATAGCAAGGAAATTATCATCGATCAAACACATCATAATTATAATGTCGGGAAAAGGTGGCGTTGGCAAGAGTACAGTAGCCACCCAATTGGCTCGTTTTATTGCATTCAATGATTCCGAATCTAATGTTGGTCTATTAGATGTCGATATTTGTGGTCCATCGATTCCGAAAACGATGGGCGTCGAAAATGAGGAAATATTCAATTCAGCATCTGGTTGGTCACCTATTTTTGTTGAAGATAATCTCGCAGTCATGTCATGTGGTTTTTTGCTTGAATCATTGGACGATGCTGTCATATGGCGTGGTCCACGAAAGAATGGAATCATTAAACAATTTTTGCGAGATGTAGATTGGAGTGACGAACTTGACTATCTAATAATTGATACACCTCCAGGTACTTCTGATGAACATTTATCGTTGGTGAGTTATTTGAAATTCTGTCAAAATGTTCGTGGAGCTATTATGGTAACAACACCACAAGAGATTGCTCAAATGGATGTACGTAAACAGATTGAATTCTGTCGTAAAGTTAAATTGCCCATAATTGGCTATCTGGAAAATATGTCCGTATTCGTATGTCCAAAATGTTCGAAAGAAAATTACATTTTCAAATCTAAATCAACACGACCATCAACATTGGAAGAAAAATATGGAATCAAATTATTAGGTCGATTACCGATTGATCCAATAATTGGTAAAAGCTGTGATGAAGGCAAATCATTGTTCAATGATAATAATAAATTACTTGATAATCGAATTCATCAGGCATTCGAAGATTTATGGAATAATTTGTGTAAAGAAATTAATCAATCAAAGGAATAGATTACAATTACAATCATGTTTAATTTTATTAAAACTTTTCATTTGTCATGTTGGTTTGAAAAATTTGAAAAAAAAATTAAAATTTATTTAAAAAAACAGAAAAAGGCATTGTCCATGTGAATAACAGATAAATAAACAATCAATCAATAATAATCACTAGGTAATGTAATAGCGTGCGTGTGTGTGTGTGTGTGTGTATGATCCAATAATTAACAAGATTGATAAAAATCGGACAAAACTTTCCATGCTGTTTTGGCCATAAAACCATCGGGTGGATTTTCTCCATTTTTAGCTAAATTTCGCATTTTTGTTCCAGATATTCGTTCAAAATTTTGTGAATCCAAATCTTCAGTTTCAAACATCATACGTTTTTCTTTCTTATTATAGGAAGCAACACGGAATGGTATGATTTCAAATTTCGTTAAACCTGGTGCCATTTTGAGCACTTTACGTCCATGTGTTGGATCATACAGATCTTTACGTGTATCAGGATGTGGAATACCGGCCGGATCACGACCAACAATATAAAAATTGGCTCCAGTTACTAAACGTGCTTTCGCATGCCATTGAACTTCACGTGGTCCAGCATAAGACATGGGTGATGGAAATATTGCCATCAATGTTGATTGTTCATCAAGAACGCCTTCCTTTATCACAGCCTGATGTTGCTTAATTCGAATATGTAAAGGAACATCATCATTTTTGGTCCAACCACCTAATGGATGTAGAAGTAGTACTGGATTCTTGTAGCCACGATCCAATAACTGACGTTTAGTGTCTTGCATCAACAATGCATGTCCATTATGAATCGGATTACGTAGCTGAAAAGCAAAAACTGCATCAGCCTAATATAAATCCAAAAAGAGAGAGAGAGAGAAAAAATTCATTAAAGTTGTCGTTCTGTTAGTTTGTTGTACCTACATTCATTTCTTTTAATTTTGATCGAATCTCTTGCGGTGTCAATCGATATTGATCAAGGCCATCATTCCATAAGATACGATCAAAAACTTTTAATTGGCCACCTATCAACCAATCACCACTATCCATAATCATACGGATAGATGGATGGCCATTGTTGGTAGTTTTAAAAACACAGGCAGCTCTTTCCTCTTTACGATGTACAAAGATTTCATAATCATCCAAAATGGCAATGATCTTATCATTATACTTCAATACTACACTTTTCTTAATAGCATCAACTTGTTCAGGATTGTCAAAGCCATTGTAATGATTACTATCATTATCATCACCACCATTTTGAATCGAAGCCAAATAAGATTTCTGTTCATTAGTGATTGCCAATGTGATGGGAATTGTTTGATTATGCCATTTACCATTCATAAGCATTCCGAAATTAAGGCACTGTAGATATTCAGTTTCACGCATAAAACCCTATTTTTGATTTAAAAAAATCAAATGATAATGATGATCTGACTACAATTGTTTTTACATACCTTTAATGGTGTAGCCCAACCTTCTGATAAGACCTGTATCCATTGAAGATCAACGGTTGATATGTTTATCGATGGTAAATGTGAAGCTCGACGTAATTCATTTGGTTTGTCATCTTCGTTGATGAACAATTCATGAATTTCTTGAATTTTGTCCAATGATATGATGTTCTAATCATTTTTTTATCAAATTAATTGATGATGATTATTACTTTGAACAAAAAAAGATCATTGTTGTAATAGTTACACTTACTCTTTTAATGAGAAGATCAATCACTTTTAAAACACATTGTTCGATTGTATCTTCACTAGCTTTTAGTATAAGATCCGGATTTTTAGGACGTTCATAATCCTGATTAATGCCAGTGAATCCTTGAATTTGACCAGCACGTGCTTTCTTATAAAGACCTTTTATATCTCTTCGTTCACAAACCTCTAATGGTGTATCGACAAAACATTCGATAAACGCTAGAGAATCTTTTTCATGAATTTCACGAGCCTTTTCACGATCTTTACTAAATGGACTAATAAAACTAGCTAATGTAATCGTACCGCTATCGGCAAATAAACGTGCTACTTCAGCAATACGACGAATATTTTCACTACGATCTTGTTCAGAAAATCCTAGATCTGAATTCAATCCATAACGAATATTATCACCATCCAATGCATATGCATGGATCTGATGACGGGTGAGAAATTCTTCTACGGCAAATGAAATTGATGTTTTTCCAGCACATGACAGTCCTTGAGAGAAATGGAAATAAATCAGGGTAAATTATTATTATTATTATTATTAGTATTACGAAGGAAACAGACTGACTGAGATAGGAAACGCGATATTTGGCGAAACAAGAACATTAACAGGAAATTCAAGCGACAAAAAAATTTTTTTTTATTGAATCATCAATAAAAAAAACTTTGCTTTTAGGATTTTTTTTCGTAATATTTCAATGAAAGTTTTTTTTTAATATAAATGAACAAGTTTATTCAATTTAGCACGAAATAATCCTGATAATTGGGTTGTTTTGGGTGTGTGTATGTGTGTGTGCGTGTTATAGTATTTGCAAAATGTTAATTGAGGATTAGAAATTGAAAACCTGAATTTTCTATATACAATCAATAATAATGAACAGTCAAAAAAAAAAAGAAAAAAAATTGAACAATTATCGAAATCATATACTAGATACAGATAGGTTGAATGAATTTTTTGTGGTGTCACGAATTTCGACAAAAGAGCGATAATAATAGCAATATAATAACTAGTAGTAATTTACATACCTGTAAACCAAACGGTACAGCCACGAAATTGTCGTCCATTCGATAATGATTCGGCTCGTTTATCTCTGGATACACGATGATTTTGATAGAAAACGTTTGTCGATTTATTCATTTTCGATGATGGTTGTTTTTGTTGTTGATATTGATCCTTGCCGGGAAATGGAATTATTTAAAGACAGATAAGACAATTATTTATAGTCAATGTCGAAAAGAATGTGAAAATATTTTTCTCAATCGTTTTTCATGTAATACAAAGATGAAACAAAAAAAATTAAATTTGGGTCCAATAAATACTAAAATGATTGCTTTGATCGATTGTTTGATCAAAGAAAAAAAATGATCAAAATCTAATTAATGGAGGGAATAAAAGATGCTGATGCTGATTTCATTCATTCATTATTCGATTTATCATCATAAAGGATGATGATAATGATTTCCAATGATCATTGGTAACAAGGTCGGTTAGAGGTATGGTATGGTATGGTATGCGATAGTACAATCACAGAAAATTCTCATTATAAAATCAATCAAATCGTTTCATTATAACAAGTGGTTTTCAAATCTAAGATAAGAGATAAAAATAAAATTTTTTTCCTGATTATTTTTATTTTTATAATATTTGCTAAAAGCTCATATGTTTCACTGTTCCGTTTATCAAGTGTGTGTGTGTGTGTGTGTGTGTAATATATATGTATGAAATCGATTGTGAAACCTACCTGGTTACTGTTGTTACAATCGTTTTGGCTCATTCCGAAAAAAATTATTTTTAAGCTCGAACAATTGTAAATATCACAATAGATTAAATAAATGTTGCACACAAATTTTCAAAAATTCCGGAAATAACAAAACAAAAATCAAGCAATAATTGATAATTGATATTCGTCTTGATCGAAGAAAATTGATGAATGGCGCCTTTAAGTTTGTTTCAATAATTATGTTCCGAAAAAAATCCTTCGATATTGAATTATATTAAATATATATATATATACATGCGTATGGCGCCCAAATCCTTGGCAAAGGGAAAATTGTTTTATACTTGAAGTCTGTCTATTTCGATTGCTTTTGAATGAATGAATAAATGTGGATAATGTACAATGACAACAGCTTCAATATATACCGTTATTATATATTAAACGGCATTAAATGAGTGAGTGAGAGAGAGAGAGAGAGAAGTAGTTGATTCGTCAATGTGTGAATGCCAACCATGGTTGATGATCCATACATGCATGTATCAAAAAAAAGAAAATGATGATTTTTAATCTATCCAGATTTGATATGAACCGTTGTTGTTCCGCTACAATGACAACGTGATGAATATTTATTTATTCGTCATCATCAAATTAAAAATGATCATAATGAGGCATGTTACAATCATCATGGATTATTGATGTTATTTTGTCCAATTTTATTGGATTGTTTATTTCAGATTTGGCCATGAATCATCATCATTGTTCATTGATCAACAATAAATGGACATTAAAATGATGAAAATGATCAATAGTCTATTTTCGATGTCCTTAATAATAAATTGAAATCAGAAAATTTTTGTTTTTGTTTCGGAGAAAAAAAAATCAGGTGATGATGATGAACACAATAAGAAAAAAAACGACCACAGCCAAACAGACGATGATATTCTGGATGAAAAAAATATAGAATTCTTATTTGTATCCATTTTTAGCCAACAGATGGCGATAATAATGAAATCGATTCGATATGAGTCCTTTTAAAATGAAAAAATAATCAATCTCATCATTGATTCTTTTGAAAATGTTTATGTCATTTTTTCTTTTTTTTTTGTAATCAATTAATCGTTCCCAATTAATTGATATAAAATTTCTCAATAAATAAAATAATGATTTCTCATTTACAATGCAACCATACAACAACAAAAAAAACCAATTGATGATACTCTCTCAATCCGGATACATTTCGGGAGCAAAAAAAAAATACATTCTTATCACTCAATCAAATATGATCCATCTGGTTTGTAATATAACATTCCAATGATTTTGTTTCACTGATTAAATTTCTATTTTTAATGATTGTTTTTTTGTATAGAATATTTTTTTCGAATTATATTGGAATCACGGTCATGCGCTTCGTGATATTCCTTACAACAACAACAACAACAACAACAACAATATGAGATTGAATTTGTTGAATTTTTACGTCACCATAATGTTTGATATTATATACAGAGAAAAAAATGCGTGGTCTCCATAGAATGGCTTTTTTCCGTGTATACAGGGGATAATAACAATCGAAGCTCAATCGAAACAAATGTCCATATTGTTTTCTTTTAAAAATCTACATAATTCAAGTACCAAATTGATCGAATCTTTTTCGTTTTACACTGCTACTTGGTCCCTATATAATCCAAAACTACGATAATACTCGCTACAATCTTGATCATCAACTATGATTGTCACGCTTTATGGTTGATACAAATACAAAAAAAAACGACGAATAATTTTAAAGTTGTAATTCAAGTATACTCATTTCAAGTTCTTTCTCTCTTGTTCTTATCACTCAAACCATTTCTCTTATGAAAAAACATTTTTTTTTTGGGATATAATATTCATTCCATTTTGATCAATTCGAAAAAATTACAAACAACAACAAATCTTTCTTTCACCATTTTTCATGCTGTATAAATCAACTGATTGATTTCATAAAGTTGGCACATTGGCAAACAAAAAAAAAAAATCAACACAAATCTATCGATCCATCCAGACTTGATGAGCCATTAAGATTGGATTCTATTATCTATACACCTACAAAATCGACGACCAACCAGACTTAATCTCCACATTATTATTAATGTAACACATTTCTGTCATGTTATCATTAACATAAATAATCCAATTTGTCAACATAAATATTTTTTTGTCTCAATTCTGATTGATTTCATCTTGTTAACTCAGTATATTTAACTCATGATCGTTAGCCTATTATCATCAGGATATTGGAAACAAATTGTTTTCTCACTATCATCTTTTGTAAAATATCAAAAAATTTTATCATCATCATTGGTAACGACGACGACGACGACACCAGTGATCAAATATATGTGTTTGATTTAAGTTCATTACCAATAATTAAAGAAAAAAAAGATCCACCAGTTTTCATCAACATCAACAAAATACGACAACGAATTTATATTTATAATACGACGACCTATATCCAGATCTGTTCATCTTGTGTTTAAATTAGTCAAGTGTGTGTATATGTGTGCATCGACATCAATTTGTTTCTTTTGAATTCTTATTTTTTTATATTATAACATTCACATTCAACGACAATTTGAAATTAAAATTGGAAAAAAATGTGTGGTAAGTCAATAGTTATTATTCAAAGTTCAATATATATTTAATTATCATCTGTACCATTTAAGTTTCTCTTTTTATGTCAAAGTCTTGTGTCCAAAGAGTTGAGTTGTATGCCATTCAATCATCATATAATGATTATTATATGTTGGGAGCCATTTTTAAGCAGTTAGCTTTTTAGTACAGTGATGTTCAAGTTTTTTGTTCCATAAAATTTTTTCTTGAACACTAATTTCCAAAAGTAAATCATTATAAATAAGATATATTTCAATTGAAAATAAGTTGGAGACCACTGTGCAGATATTGTCTTCCAGAAAAATCTTTTCATTTTTTTTTTTTTTTTATTTATCATTCAAATTGATTTATGGCACGCCAAAACGATCTCGTTATGTCTATGATGATAATGTATTTTGTTTTTATATAAACGATATAAAATATAGGACACACTGACTACATATGCAATTTGGATCACGATTTTTGATGGGCACAAACACAAACACACACGTAAACATTACAATCATTTGAAAAATGACCATTTCGTCCTTCCTTTTTTTTCTGTCAATCATTCAAATGAATTATATATGTTCACATGATTCAAACGATTATCATCAATGATAATAATCAAGGTGGATTGATGGCATGAATTTTTTTTTTGATGTTTTAAATATTTAAAATCTTTCATATTGATGATTGAATGGCAAACATTTTTTTTTATTAGAAAATGAATAACATAGAGCGAGACAGCTAGACAGATGATGAATATAGATGAATAAACCAATTTGAATGAATCACTTATCTTACATGTCAAAAATCAGTATTTTTTTCTCATTATTTATTTATTTATGAATAAATAAAATTTATCCGTAATAATTGACATCGAATTTTTTTTCTCAATGTTTTATTATAGGAATATTTGCATATCTAAACTATTTGGAACCGAAATCACGTCGAGAAATTCTGGAATTACTTATAAAAGGTTTACAACGGCTTGAATATCGTGGTTATGATTCATCGGGTGTTGCATTCGATCAAAACGAAAGTAATATTGAAATCATTCGTTGTAAAGGAAAAGTACAGGCTTTAGCCGATACTATTTGGAATCGTGATGACATCGATCTTGATCATCAATATCAGATTCATGTTGGCATTGCTCATACACGTTGGGCAACACATGGTGCACCATCCGATTTGAATTCACATCCACAAAGATCGGATGATAATAATGAATTCGTTGTCGTACATAATGGCATCCTGACCAATTATAAGGATATTAAAAAGTTTCTGGTAATTTCTAATCGATAATTATTTCATTAAAATTGTACTAAATATTTCATTCGAAAAATAGGAAAAGAAAAACTACACTTTTGAATCGGAAACTGATACCGAAGTGATTGTCAAATTGATTAAACATTTGCATGAAACTCACCCTAAAATGAAATTCCGTGAATTGGTCGAACAAGTTAGCCAACAATTGGTGAGTTTGTGATTTTTTTAAAAGTTCGATTTTTTTCACTGTTTTAATTTTAATTTTTTTCATGGATTGATCCACGTAGGAAGGAGCTTTTGCAATCGTATTGAAAAGTAAACATTTTCCTGGTGAATGTGTGGCCACTCGTCGTGGTAGTCCATTATTGGTTGGTATTAAAACAAAAACCAATCTTGTTAGCGATCACATTCCAATCATTTACAGTAACAAAGGTAGGTGTGTCTGAATCAGGAATTTTTTTATTTCAAATTTCATTCATTGGCATGCATGCATGTATACTAATTTCATTTATCAACTCTTCGATTAATATGTCCCAAATACTATTCCAACCACCGAAAAAAACAAGTTATCAATCCTAAATTACTAACACAAATATCATTGAATGGTGAAGAAAAAGATATAATAAATACATCAATTAGTAGACAAAGCAGTCTTAATATGTCTGTGGATGATGTCCATAAAGATTCGGTTGAAGGTAATTTCATCTCTCAAAAATGTTCACTAATAACCCATTGAATGTTATGTGTAACCAATTGTATGTGAATGTGAAATTTTTTTTTTATTCGATTCTAATGTTCAATAATTCATTCATTTTTCCATCCTTCCCGTCCCTCAACACACTACATAAAAATGATTGGTTCACGTCTTGTTTTATCTTGTTTGGTTATGAATTGTTGGCTTGTAATACATCGCTTGTGACTATGATAATCTATCTGCTTGGTTTTGTATCCGTTTTTTTTTGCGTTTTTTTTACTATAACTTTCCTCATTATTTTCTGCTTCTTTTTTTATTTTGTGCTTTATTGATCGATAAATCTTTCAGAATCAAAACAATGCAATGATTCAATACAAGGTATTGTTTACCTTTGTTCAAACTAAATTTTCTCTTTTGTATAGGTGTCATTTGTGATATAAAATATTTTCATTATTAATAATCGATTTGATTTTTTCGGTTGATAGATACACATCGATCAAATTTGATGAAAACCAATTCATTGGTTGGAGCTAAATTGGCACGTTCGAATTCTACAACCGAATTCGTGCCGTATGATGAAGGAAAAGTGGTCGAATATTTATTTGCATCGGATGCATCGGCCATTATCGAACATACAAATCGTGTGATTTTTCTTGAGGATTATGATGTTGCTTCCATAGAAGATGGACGTATGTTTATAAAATATTTAGTTAGATTTTCATGTAATGATTTTTTTTTCATAAATTTAATCAATAGGATTGACCATACACCGAATAAAACGAAATCTAGATGGTGGAGATTCACTTACTCGTGAAATTATGACATTGAAAATGGAAATCCAACAAATCATGAAAGGCAATTATAGTTCTTTCATGCAAAAGGAAATTTTTGAACAACCAGAATCGGTGATCAACACGATGCGTGGCCGTATCAATTTTGATAATGAAACTATCGTTTTGGGTGGCATCAAAGAATTCATACCGGAAATCAAACGATGTCGTCGATTGTTGTTGATTGGATGTGGTACAAGTTATCATAGTATCATTGCAGTAAGTTCAATAGATTGCACTCTAACACAGATGTAACATTTTTATCATCTTTTACAGACTCGACAAATCCTTGAAGAATTAACTGAATTGCCTGTCATGATTGAATTGGCCAGTGATTTCTTGGATCGAAATACACCCATATTTCGTGATGATGTTTGTTTTTTTGTATCACAATCGGGTGAAACTGCGGATACATTGATGGCTTTACGTTATTGTAAACAACGAAGTGCATTGATTGTTGGAATTACCAATACGGTTGGTAGTAGTATTTGTCGTGAAAGTCATTGTGGTGTACATATCAATGCTGGACCAGAAATTGGTGTAGCTTCAACAAAAGCATACACTAGCCAGGTTATATCATTGGTCATGTTTGCATTGGTTATGAGTGAAGATCGAATTTCTATGCGACCACGTAGAAGTGAAATTATTCAAGGCTTGAAAAAATTACCTGAACAAATCAAGCAAGTATTGAACTTGGACCAACAAGTGTTGGAAATGTCCAAAGAATTGTATCAACAGAAATCATTATTGCTTATGGGTCGTGGATGGAATTACTCTACTGTATTAGGTAATATATTGTTGATTTTATTCATTTAGTAATTCTGATTTATTTATTTTACAGAAGGAGCATTGAAAATCAAAGAATTAACCTATATGCATTCCGAAGGTATACTGGCTGGTGAATTGAAACATGGACCATTGGCATTGATCGATGATCGAATGCCCGTTTTGACTGTGGTCACAAGAGATTCAGTCTATCCTAAATGCATGAATGCATTGCAACAAGTATGACCATTATATGTTCATAATCATTTGTATCTAATACCAAAAAAAAAAAAAAAAAAAAATTCGCAGGTTATGGCACGTGGAGCACATCCCATTTTAATTGCCGAAGAAGATGATTTGGAAACACAAAAATATTCCAAACGTGTTCTTCTCATTCCACATACTGTTGATTGTCTACAAGGAATATTATCGGTCATTCCAATGCAATTACTTTCTTATCATATTGCTGTGCTAAAAAAATGTGATGTTGATTGTCCACGAAATTTGGCCAAATCGGTTACTGTTGAATAGAAAATTTTGGCCACTTTGACCAAACATCCAATCCTTAACAATACACTTTCTCTAAAAGAAAAGCCAAATTCTGAACTTTCCCACCCAAATGAATGAATTATACAAATGAGAATTATTTTTGTTTTTCAACAACAACAACAACAACAACAACATTGAATTTTACAACAAGACATTTTTATTTATTCATAAATTATTTCACTATGTCAGTATAGAGAGAGATTGTATGCTATATCAGGTATTTATTTTTTTTTTTTACACAAAAAATGTTGCTATTTCGTGTTGGTTTTTTTATGAATTTTTTTAATTCCCATAATGATTATTCTAATTGATGCAATGTCATTTGATTAGACACATCATTACAAAACTACTTTTGGCACATTTCACCATTTTTTGTTCGAATTTATTGTATTTTTCTTTGGAATGATCGTGTGGATCCGTGTTTATTTGTGATTACATGTGTGGTACTTTTTAGTATCTACGAATGTGATGATGAAAATGATATTTTTCAAAAGCGAAAAAAAAATCCTTTAATAATGAAAATTCTGCAAAAACAAGAAACAGAATATTCAATATTATGCTTTGAGTGATTCTGATATTTTTTTTTAACTTCTTCAGAATATTTTCCCAATATTTTATGATGATACATATTTAAGATGGAGATTGTTATATTATTAAATGATCATGGTTGATGTTGTTGTTGATAAAAATGATGATAGTAATGAAACTATAAGGCATATGATTATTACATTGATAATATATGTAGCATTGGCCATCAATTTGATGGCCGAATCTTTATTGCAACCATCCTCCGTACAGCAATATATACAATCATCTTGTTTCGATGATTCACAATTTGATTTGAAATTGGCAAAATTCAATTGTTTAAGACCACGCAGATGACATGGAGCTAGAGCGCATTCTTTTTTAATATTTAGTCCATCAGTAGCTAATTGAAAAATCAAGAAAAAAAAATCAAATCATTCAATTTCAAGAGATTAAATTCTTTATTGATACATACGATTCTTATACAAAGTAGTCATACATCGATCATATGCCTGATCAACTGGACAATCTTGTAGTTTACAATGTTCATTATCATTTGTATGGCATATGAAACATTTTAATGATCGAACTGGAGCAATGATCATTGCTATTAAATATAATTATAAAATTCATTATAATTGAATTTATCAATAAAATTCAGTAACAAACCTAGTAGAATGATACAACTCAAAAGGATGTAGTTACAATTCATCGATGATGATGGCATTATATGTTGAATGACATACATTCTGGCTACGGCAAACTTTCCAATCGATAGTGATGAGACAAATGATAAAAGTGAACATTAAATTCAATTAAATTAGATCTAGAAATGATGGCCAATAATAATAATGAAATTACGATGAACATGATGGTGTGGCCATAGCCGAAACAAACAAGACGAATAATTTTGTGTTATTCTCACCAAACAATAAAAAAAGAGCACCTAAGATAGAACACCGGACAATATATACGATGCGGATATAAGTGCTCACGAATATTCTTTAACTGTGATTATTACATCCACAAACACACACACACAGAGATACATTTGCTTTCACTTATTATAATATACTGCATACAATATAAGCAATAATGATGCATCATCGAATCGGGTCCCGACAAAGTGTAGCCAACTTTTTGTCCATCACCATTCTTGCATCTAACGTATACATACCAATCCGCCCTAAGGTAATATCGTTTTGCGATGAACATGCGCTTAAATTCCGTGAATAGTGGTAACATCAGTCGAACATACAATAATGATGGAATTGTAAATGCCAAATTATATGAATATATAAAGAGAGAATGAAAAAAAAATTATTCTTCGATTTCATTTCAGGGATGCTCATCGTCAGCTTCGATATATACACTACATACTATATATATAAATATATATTGCAGGTACATTACAATGAATCAATTTCCATATTATATATAATTGATGATAAAAAATTTTTATTACAAATGGACAATTTTACTGTATTTATTATGAGCACTATTTTTCAACAGGCCAATGAATTCAAAATCAAGAATTGTATTCAAAAACCAAGCCATAAACATTTCATCATCATTTTTTTCCATAGAATTTTTTGACAATTTTTTCTCTTCACAAAATTTTTCATACCATTCGTTTAGATTTACTTGATTGCCACCAGATTCTTTGTAGAAATTGTATATGATATAAAAACTTGGATATGAATCACCTAATGCAGCACCACCATCATGGTGATTGGTAGGTTCAGTCAAAGCTTTATCAATGTTTAATCGATAGGATAAATGATTCATTGAAAATATATTACAGAATAGAGCATCGATTAGTTTTCGTTCTTCGTCATTGAAATGACAATCAACTAATGATTGTTCTAGCTGGCCGATAAAATTATTTTTCCATTGTTCATATTGAGATAGATTTTGTTTAGCCAACGGTTTCAATGTACGTTTCCATTCATATCGAGAATTGATGTTACGCAATTTATCTTTGACCATTTCCACCTGACATTCAAGACCTAATTGTCGTATTGATTCATTTTGTTTTGCTTGTTCCAGTTTATCTCGATTGATTAATTCATCAAGTTTAACGAGATAATCATTGATAACATTCAATGCAGGATTATTAGTCATTAGATGTTGATTAGTTAATTTCAATTTTTCTAGCGCATTTTTCATACGATTTTGTGTCACATCATAAAGCCGTTCCAGATGTAGATGTTCTACTGATTTTTCGTCAGGTGATTTTTGTTTGAAAAATTTTGAATAATGATTAGTAAAATGTCCGACCGGTATGCTTAGATCATTGAATAATTGTAAAACAATATTTAAACATTGTATCGATTGGAAATTTTTCTTCAATAATTTTTCATAACATTTTGATAATTTATCTATATATTCATCATCGAATGGGATTTGTTGTAATGATAGGATGTTCAATGAATTTCGAAAACACGATGCAAAATCATCATCTTTGTATGATTGAAAATCTTCATCACAGATTATTGATAATGGATTTTGATTAAAATAATCAAAGACAATTATTTGCATTAAATGACGGAAATATTCAAAAGATAATTCTTTTCGTTCGAAATTTTCCGATAGTTTTTCGATCAAATTTGGATGAAATTTCATTCGAAGATTATCATCTTGAATAATATCGACGAACAAGGACAGAATAGAAGATTTTGAAACCCATCATTATAGATTCGAACAAATAAATGATCAATCGTATCCAATGGAAGATAATTATTTAGATTGGCATTAAATAGATTTTGTTTGAAGAATATGAATCCTATTGGGATATCGTTGATGAATGACTTGATGATCGTGATGAATTTATTCAATACATTCATATTGAATTTTTCAAATTCATACACAACCACAATCAAATGCTGACCCTGCTGGCCATTTATTTGAGTGGTTTTGATTGCTAATTTAAGCACATCTTCAATCGTCTGCAATATGTCCAGATTGAAATTATCATCAAACAATTGTTGTTGGCTAAAAGTTCGTTGAAATTGTTGCAAAATATTTCGCATTGTATCATGAGATGGATCGAGTTGAATAAGTATCGTCAAGTTCTTTTCATCACAATCGTTGAGCATAGAATCAAGGCCATGGATTAGTTTCTTACATAATGATGGTGTATCTTTTTGAAATAATGTTTAAAATGGTTAGAAATATTAATTCACAAATTGACAATTACTTACTCAAAGTCATAATAGTAGTGGGAATTTTTTTCATATTGATTGATTGATCGCTATTGATCATTTCTGTTTGGACAAAATCACAAAGAAATTGTTCGAGCAATGTTTGAATTCGAGAATCAATCATTCGATCAATTTTGGACCATTCTTTTAGGTAGAGCTGTTTTCGAGTCCATTCTACGGATGATGATGAATTATTTTTATTGTTGAATTTTTTCCTTTTTGCTCCATCTTTCCCTGTGTTTGGAGTGTGGTACTCACAAAATGCTAGATCATCATATAAATTGGACATTTTTTTAATTATCGATGATTTAAAATTCATTAGCAGCGAACAAATCGTGGTCAAATGCCGAATGTGTCACGTAGTATACGAACGATACAAAATTTTTGATTCGGCGTCTAAAAATCGATACATGTGTTTTGTTTAAAAACATTTCATCATGGATCCAGTCGCCGATGTTCATGATGTATTGAATTCCCTTCAAAAAAGTGAATTACTTGGTGAAAATATTCTACATGATCGATCGGAAATTGTTCACTTGGATCGAATACGGCAAAAAAATCGTGAAGCATTGACTGCGATAAAAAATCATTACAAACAAAATGATACTGAAAATATTTATATTTGTATGGGCAATATGTTCATAAAACATCCCATGAATCGTGCACGTTCACTTATTCAAGATGATCAAACAATTGTCAACGAACAAATCGAAACGATACGTGAAAAGATTAAAAATAATGTACAACAAATACACGAGATGGAAGGAAATGGTGAACAATTTCGTACATTCAATTTGAATCCACTCAGTTCAAACGAAATGAAAAGTTTTAATGTCATATTAGATTCAATCAAGAAATTGGATTTATAAAAAAAAATTTCTATAAAAAATTTGAAATGTAAACTTCCTAGCCAAAAAGAAAACAACGATAAGTTAATTATTAAGTTGTTGTTGGTTGTCAGTCATTTTGTTTAAATAATAAGGCAAGGCCATTTAAAACGATTTGTTTCAACAAACAATGAATAATTACTATCAAGTATATCATTGTTATGATTTTGATTGATTGATATCGATTGTTTATCATGATGTTCATTTTTTTGATCACCTGTTCCATCATTTTTTTGTTGATCAACATCACTAATATCATCATCATTGTCTGATACATTTTTCAATCGGCTATCCAATTGATTTTTATTCATACGATCTTTACGATATTCAAGCCAATATGTTTTCATCATTCCTTTGCCTTTCAAACGTATTGTACCACGTTCTCGAATGATCCATTCATTTGGATCCAATAATCGTTGTGTCACTTCACTTATCTGTATCTTCATTTTGGCACTTGTTGTCTCTAAACGACTTGATGTATTTACCGTATCACCAAATAAACAATATCTTTGTTGTAATAATAATGAAAAATATAAATTGTAAATTAATTTTTAATCAATAAAAATTGAATTTAAAAAAAAACAAACCTTGGCATTTTTTGACCAACAATACCTCCGACAACAGGTCCTTTGTGTGTGTGTGTGTGTGTGTGTGTGTGTGTGTGCAAAAGATAATTTGTTTTAAAGAATTTTTCTACAAAACAAGCAATGGCTTACCTGTATGAATACCGATACGAATTTTGATATGTCTACCACGTGATGGATCACGAATCTGATAACATGCATGTATCATATCTCTAGCGGCAAGACAAACTTTACGTGCATGATTATAACTACTTTCCTCCTGATGGACAGGCAGACCACCGGCAATCATATAAGCATCACCAACGGTTTCTACTTTATAAATATCATGTTTTTCCGTTAAACGATCAAAACATGTATATGTTTCATTGAGCATATTGACCACATCCATTGGTGCAATTTTACTACAAATTTCAGTAAAATTTATAATATCCGAAAATAGTATTGTAACCGATGAGAAATACTTTAAGGAAACAGATCATTAATTAATCAATTAATCAATTGATTACCTTACCTGGCATGTTTCGATATTTTTCTCACCAACACGTAATTTATCGGCAATCTTTTTAGGGATTTATAATTGTAAAACAAAACAAAAAAAAAATTAAATTAACATTTGCTAATCTAATAAATGTGAACAACTTATCATTTGATAAAGTAATTCATCTGATCGACGTCGTTCTTCATCCAATTTTCTAATGGTTATCTCTAATTGACGACTTTTACGTAATTCTTGATCAAGTGCTAATTTTAATTCAGCACTTTGTTGTTGTCCAGCCAATACCATATCACGAGAGAAATCATGCATACTTAAATCATTCAGATATAATCCAGTTTTAATCAACGTATCCAGGTTAGCCACACTAATGGAATTCGTTACGTTTAAATTATTATGAATGAAAATTATAGGTATTCGAAAAAAAACAAATTTCATACTTTGGTGCACCCAAAAATGATATACATTTCCAGCAATCAAAATAAATCATTTGTCCTTTCAACTTCAAGAATGATGGATTATCACCAATAGGTGATGAATCATTAATCACTGTAACATGATGTGGCAGATTACCATATTCTTCTTGATATCGTACTTCACGTGCAATTTCTACATCACTTCTATTCATCATTTCATAATCAGCTAGATTTGATCGACTTATATTACGTAATTCACGTATAATACGGCTACTATTATTTCCACTTTTAAGTAATATATCCAATTTCAATTCAAATGTCGTATTCGTATGTCGTAGTATCTGTTGTATGAAATTATCAATAATCCATTGTTTTACACATATTTTAATTATCGCTTACCGATTCCCAATTGAAATCAATTTTCGGTTTAATTAATGAAAATATTTTCGTCAAATTTTGTCCCAAAATATTTGAACAAACCATCTATATATTATATATATAAGTTTTAATGTGAAAAAAACATGATTTGATTTATTTTATAATTTTTTTTTCATCGAAACAAACCTTTAAACAACTTCCAATCTGACAGATTTTCATATTTGAATCAAATACAATACTAAATGGAAATATATCCATAAATGCTTCCAATGTAATTGGTGATAGATTCATGTGTTCCAATGAATTATTTAATGAATAAAATTGTGTTGGTGATGGTGATGCTACTAATGATGATAATGATTGTGATGATGATGGTGATACAGCACGGCAAATCATCATTTGATTATGATGATGTGAATTAGAATGATGATATTGTGATGGACATTGATAATTGATTCCAATTGGACTTTCACGATTATTGATTATTGATAAATCATTTTTATTTTGATTATTGTTGCTATTGTTACTGTTATTATTATTATTATTATTGAATAACAATGGTGAATTGACAGATAATCGTGATAAACATCTAGAATGTTGATATTCACCGATACCATTACGTAAACGTTCCAAATAGACACGATTATCAAAATGTAGCTGAAGTATGAAATGATATTCATTGATTTCTTGATTTTCGCTTAATAATTCAACTTCAACATCGGTTGAATAGAATAATTTAGCCACTTTAAGTATTTGGCCAACCGTATACCAAAGTAGAAAATTACGTTTCGTTCGATAATGTAATATAAGACCATATTCATTTTCATTATCACAAAAATATGATGGTGGTTTCAATCGTGGATAACTAAGCCGTAGATATTCATGTAGATCATCTAAACTGTTTAGAAAATCGCTAAATTCTCGTCCTATGAAAAAAAAGATGAAAAACAAATTATTTCATCAAAATGGTAGATATTTCAATAATTCCTAAGAATTTCTGGTGATATTTTTTTTGTACCAGAAAGCAAATAATTTAATTTAATTAATAATACCATACATCATCCCATTAGATAGATGATTTAAATTCAACGAAATTTCTACGTTTTTTTCACTGGTCCAGAATTCTTAAATTCTCCAGAAACAATTTTTTTCTGGCAATGAGAGAATATATTAATTGACCAAAACTGTGTGTGTGTGTGTGTGTGTCTGGTGACAATTCTGCAAAATAATAATAATTCTATTAAATAATTATAGTGTTCTATGCAGAATTTATTTTTCCACACACACACAGACACACTCATCAATAAATAATTGAATAATTAGATTTTTTTTTGTTATTATTCCAATGGATTCTGGTGAAAATATCATTTAATGAACATTCATCTGGAATAGAGAATTTTTTTTTATTTCACCAGAGAGTTTTATCTTTCTTTCTTTCATTCTTTGAATTCATTTTTGCACACAGATCTAGATCTGTTTGTTTGTGTCATTTATTAAGGAATAAATTATTATGGAAAAAAAAATAAATATTGCCACCACAGAATATGAAAAACAATTACAAATATGGTAAAACAAAAAAAGAAAAATTGATAATTTATTCTAAATTCGAGTTTTATATTTATCTTTCCGAATTCGGTTCACTATATTCTCTATGATATATAGAATCTATGGCCAATAACAAACACAAAGTCAATCTACAAATTGAATCGAACAAAACAGAAAAAAGAAATTTTGGACTTGAAAATGTCATTATTGGCTGCTGCTGCTGATGTGTCAAAGAATTCAAACTGTTTCTAAAATTAAAATCGATTCTCAATCAATATAAACTTGGACAAGTGTAAATATATAATGAATGTAAATTTCATTAATTCTGACATTGATTTTCATTTTCATTTCATTTTCTTTAACGGTAAATTCAAATCAAAATACAATTTCCGTTATATTGAATGGATCTGAAATCAAATTTTGTATGTACAATAAACAGAGATTTTCTAATAAACAAACAAACAAACAAACGGGTGGTAAACACATACCTAATGCGGATAAAACAACATCATAACCATAACGTCCAATAAATGTGACAAATGATTCACCAATGCCCAATAATAATTGTTTTTCCGATATTCGAAGAGTCTGTGGGAAAAAAAAGAACATTGATTAAATATAAATCAAGTTAAAATAGTCAGAAAAAAAACAAACAAAACAGTTCACAGACCTTACAAGCTTTATCGATAATATTTTTCGTATAAACATCCGGATAAACGGTATGTGTATGGAAACTAGTTTCTTCAATCTGTGCTAATCGACGTATTTCATTCCATTTATCGACACCAAAATTATCCTGTATGTATTGGATAATGTTTTCGATGAGAAGACCGTACATTTTGTTATATCTAAAATGAATTTTCAAAAACCAAATTCAAATGTATAATGAGATGAATCACAAAATTCAGTAAACATTGTTGTTTCTTCTTCTTCTTTTTTTTTGTCAAAAATCGAAGTTTGTTTGATTTTTTTTATATTTATAAGCTCTTCTTATTTTTATTTTTATATTACAATCATCATTGTTTGAAAGTTTGTTTTTCGGGAATTAAAAATTTTGCTGGATTATTATTAATTTAAATATATGATGATGATGATAAAAACCAGAGACACACAGAGAATGCAGAGATAAGGCGCATGAAAATAAGACACACACAACAATGAATGGTGACAATATTATGGACACAACAACGAAAACTAAAATAAATGATGATTACTTATTGAAACTTGAAAAAACTTTGAAACATTGAAAATGATAAAAGAAGTAAAAGAATTTCAACATGACGCATGATCATTATTTGTTATTATTTTTCGTTGTTGTTTTAGAAAGAAAAAAAAACGCGAAACAAACACATTCTTAAACAAAATGATGAATCGAAAAATAATCTGTTGGACTGTTGACAATACTAACCAACAAACCAATCGAACGAAGATGATGTTCAATATATAAATATAAATATATAGAGTATTAATGTTTTTGAATATATTTTAATATTTAAAATCAAAAAAAAAAAAAAAAGGACACAATATATCGGTGGTTATCGAGGTCAGCCGAATAAAACAATCATCATCATTATCATCATCAATGAACTAGATTAGAACAAAACAAAACAAAAAAAAATATGATCTACGTGATAAACACATTGTAATCACATGTGTGTTGTTTGTGTGTGTGTGTATGTGTATGTTTTGGATTCAGTCTCTTGTTATTTAAGAATTCTTTTCACATTTCTCATTTGAAAATGGTTATTATCGACAAATAATGATGATGATGATGATTATTATAATAAGAAGATTATTTATTTTTTTATTTTACTAGACTAGATAGTCATTTGTAATCATTTATTGTAACACATTGGTAGCGCAGTAGTAGAATATCATTAATCAAATATATCGACAACAGTAACGACGACTACAATGATGATGATGATGATGATGAACTCGAATCAGATTTGGTAAAAAACAAATGTGACTAATAATAATTATGATGATGATGATGATGATGATAATAATAATTGTTGATAGGGTCGTTGTGTGTGTGTGTGTGTGGCAAGTTTTTTTTGTTGTTGTTTTTTTTTCTGTTCAATTTTGTGATGATTATGTGAACAAACAACAAGAGAAGAAAAAATTTCAATTTTTTTTTTTTTTTTTTTTGAAAATTTTCAAATCAAATTTCATTTTGAGGAAACATTTCAAACAAAAACATACAGATGACGATGACGATAATGATGATAGTACGAAAGATCAAAGTTCTCATCAAAGCAAAAAAAGGATTTTTTCATTTTTATGGATTTTTTTTTCTATTTTAAAACACCACCAGCTATAGCAACCACACACTGCTATGTGAACACAAACAGACAGGAAATGACAATATAGTCGAGGTCATTGACAAACAAATATATATTGGGAAGGAGAGAGAGAGAGAGAAGGAAAAACTAAATGGTCGATCGACAGATAACTAAATGGACTAAATTTGAAAATTTTAGACAAACAAAACAAAACAAAAAAAAATGGACAATCATTTTATCATATTGAATCAGAAATGATAATTTGATAATATATTGATATTTGTCGTTATTTGTTTTTATTCGTCTGTTTCCGAATCGAAATGTTTTTTTTTTTTTTTTTTTTTGATTCAATCCTCAGGGGTTGGGGTGGTGGAGAATGTTCTGGGATTTTTTTTTACGTTCCTGAATTTTTTTGTTAATCGATTCGAAAATTACAATCGATAGTACATTCATATTTGTTACGGAAGAATTATGATGGAGAACAAAAAAAGACCCAAATTGATGATGATGATGATAATGAAAATCAAATTATCACTTATTTATGGTATTAATCAATCAATCAAATTTGATAAATTAATTTGAGATAAATAAAAATAGAAAACGTGACGGAATTCAGGTTCATATTGGTTTTGATGGCCATTTTATCTATTATAATTGATACTTGATTTAATAACTTTTTCTTGGCAATTAAAATTAAATTTTTTTTTTTTTGATAATGGTAACCATATCAATGATGCAATCATCATCAAGGTAATCAATAACAATTAATCCAATATCAAAAAACAATCCTCATTCATCATTTGGATATGACAACGTAATGAACAATTGTTTTTTGATCCATCATCAATCAATTGTAATTTTTTTTGCCAGTTTTTTTCCAATCGATAATCTACAATACACATCATTGATTCATCATGACAAAAAGTTGATAAAAAAAAATTCTATTTAGAAAGTTTATTTATTTTAAATGTTAACGTTTTTTTTCTATCATTTGTTTCTTATCAAGAATCAAGATATTCGATCAGTGATGCAGCCATACAGAATGAAGAAATGGAATTGAATACTTATTTTAATAATAAAGTAAACATTCCACATGATCAATTTGGAGATGTAAGTCTATAGTATATATAGTCTATTCTATTAGTAGAAAAAAAGAATAATTCAAGATTTCAACAAATTACCATTTGTATCAAGTATTCATTTAGTTGGCGAAAATTATGGGCATTTACCGGACCTGGTTTCCTGATGTCTATTGCATATCTAGATCCTGGAAATATTGAATCCGATATGCAAACAGGTGTCATTGCTAATTATCGTTTACTTTGGGTATTACTTTATTCAACTATTCTTGGATTATTGATGCAAATATTATCGGCACGTATGGGTGTTGTAACCGGAAAACATTTGGCTGAATTATGTTATTCACGTTATCATAAAATGCCAAGATTATTGCTGTGGATAATGACTGAAATCGCTATTATTGGATCAGATATGCAAGAAGTTATCGGTACAGCATTAGCACTTTATATGCTCACCAATAGATGGTTACCATTATGGGCAGGTGTTTTGCTTACCATTCTTGATACGGTTACATTTTTATTTCTAGATAAATATGGTCTTCGAAAATTGGAAACTTTTTTTGCTTTCCTTATTGCAATTATGGCAAGTATGTAAATTTTGTTTTTTTTTTGTTTTTCATTTGGTTCAATTATTAAATCAATTAATGATGACCGTCAGTGACATTTGGCTATGAATTTGTTCGTGCAAAACCGGATGCTGGAAAAATTGGTTTAGGAATGGCACTTCCATATTGTAAAGATTGCGATAAAGATGTGCTATTACAAGCTGTTGGTATTGTTGGTGCCATTATTATGCCACATAATCTTTATCTACATTCAGCATTGGTTAAATCACGAAATGTTGATAATCGGAAACGATTGGAAGCAAAAGATGCAAATCGTTATATATTGATTGAATCAAGTATTGCATTGTTTGTTTCATTTCTTATCAATTTGGCTGTAACATCAGTGTTTGCACATGGATTATCTGGAAAAACAAATGCCGATATATGGAAATTATGTTCAAATCGTAGTGATAAATTTGTTAACATGGATATATTGGAAAATGATAACAAAACATTTGAGGCTGATCTTTATCAGGCTGGTATATTTCTTGGCTGTCAATTCGGTGCTTTACCATTCTACATATGGGCAGTTGGTATATTGGCCGCAGGACAATCATCAACAATGACCGGAACATATTCTGGACAATTTGCAATGGAAGGTTTTCTTAATCTTCAATGGCCACGATGGAAACGTACATTGTTGACACGTAGCATTGCAATCGCACCAACATTAGCTGTAACAATATTTTCCGATATAAAAGAATTGACCGGAATGAATGATTATCTGAATGCATTGATGGTCATACAATTACCATTCGCTGTACTTCCAACGTTGACATTTTCATCATCAAAATTAGTGATGGGAAAATTTGTTAATAATTTATTCAATCTAATCGTTGCCACATTATTATCATTCGTTGTGATTGCCATTAATATCTATTCAACCATACAGCTTACCATCGATAATTCAACGAAACAAAATGGACCAATTCTTTATCCAATAACGATTATTTTGGGCATTTTATATATTTCATTCATCATTTATCTGGTAATTTATATTATTTGATTTTCGTTTTGATTGAAATTTTTCAAATTTCGCTCCATAAATATTGAAATAGATTGGCTGCTTCCTAAGCGTACTTGGTGTACGTTTCCATGAACGAATACCGATAATTGGTCGATATTTTAATGAACCTGAAAAATATGAATATAAATACATTGATTAATGATAGTGATTGGAAAAAATTTCTAATTAAAAAACAAACAAACAAACAAAATATCTATTTGATGCTATAAAGATCTCAAAATTAGAAATTTTAGATCATTTGTCATTGTATGTGTTTATCAAAAATAAATTCTTTTTTTTCAAATCCAATTATTAAACATGTGATGGAGAAAAAACAAAAATCCAGATATGAAATTGATTCTTTTTTCGTCTTAATTTTAAAACAATAAATTGTGATGTACGAAATAATAAAAATTGATTGATTTTTTTTTTGAAAAATGAAAATCCGTTTTATTTAAACAATAAAAACCCGGAGTAATAAACTGACAAAATATCGTTATATTCTATGACTGATAACCGAGTGATGATGATGATGATGATGACGATTTAATTGTTGATCTGGGAATAGAATCCATATAGAATGTTGATCATAATTAATTGATTGATTGATTGTTTATAAAACAACAACAACAACAACAAAAGAAAATTGAGATAAGAAAAATGTCAAAATCAAAAAATTAAAAGAAAAAACAAGGATCAATATAAATAATTGGTAGTTTTGTGCCCATCTTACCTCTATACTACCTCTTAGCTGTTTGTTGACATATATGAAATTAAAAATAATTTGATATTTAAAGGGGTAGATTTTTTTTAAATTATCACACTGATGTTTTTTGTCAACCAATTGAATCGAACATCATCATCGTTGTTTGGCGATATAGTTGATGAGAAGATGAAACAAAGTTTGTGGATTAGTCGTTGTTATTTTCACAATTAATCATTTTTTTTGTTTTGTTTTTTAAAAAATCTGATTACAAACACAAACAAACAATACAGTAGTATCATCGGAAACAAATGCGACGAATAATGATTGCGTGGAAATCATCAAAAATGGTCCCGAAGAATTGGATACATATTTTCAATCCGAAGTGAACATACCTGAATGTGTGGATAATGATGTAAGTTGATCGGATTCTGAAAACATAAATTCCGTATTTTGATATCATGATGATTATATTAGTATTCATTTAAATGGAAACGATTATGGTCATTCATTGGACCTGGTCTTTTAATGTCGATAGCCTATCTTGATCCGGGTAATATTGAATCGGACATGCAATGTGGTGTTATTGCTGGCTATAAATTACTTTGGATACTACTTTGGTCAACAATACTAGGACTATTGATACAGATATTATCGGCTAGAATTGGTGTTGTAACTGGAAAACATTTGGCTGAATTATGTTATTCACGTTATCATAAACTACCAAGATTATTGTTATGGATAATGACTGAAATCGCTATTATTGGATCGGATATGCAAGAAGTTATCGGTACAGCATTAGCACTTTATATGCTCACTAATCGATTGTTACCATTGTGGGCTGGTGTTCTTATCACAATTCTTGATACATTTTCATTTTTATTTCTGGATAAATTTGGTGTACGAAAATTGGAAGCATTTTTTGGATTTTTGATTACAATCATGGCTGGTAATTGAATTAAATTTTATAAATAATGATCACATTTTTTTTTTTCTTCATAGTTACTTTTGGATATGAATTTTTCGTCGTACGACCGGATATTGGAGGCATAGCAACGGGTTCAGCATTACCATATTGTAAAGGTTGTCGTAAGGATGCATTATTACAGGCTGTAGGAATTGTTGGTGCCATAATACAGCCACACAATCTTTATCTACATTCAGCATTGGTTAAATCTAGAAAAGTAAACAATCGGAAACGACTGGAAACAAAAGATGCAAATCGTTATATTGCAATCGAATCGGCCATTGTACTGTTTATTTCATTATTGATCAATATGGCTGTCATTTCTGTTTTCGCTAAAGGACTTTATGGAAAAACAAATCACGATGTTTATGAAGTTTGTGAACGACAAAAATCCAAAAGATTTATCGATATGAATGTATTATCCAATGATAATCGAACATTTGTTGCCGATCTTTATCAGGCTGGTATATTTCTTGGATGTCAATTTGGTGAATTACCATACTATATATGGGCAATTGGTATATTGGCTGCTGGACAATCATCAACAATGACCGGAACATATGCTGGACAATTTGCAATGGAAGGTTTTCTTAATCTTAAATGGCCACGTTGGAAACGAGTATTACTTACTCGTAGTATAGCTATTGCACCAACATTTTTAGTAACAATATTTTCCAATGTACAAAGTTTAACCGGAATGAATGATTATCTTAATGCATTGATGGTCATACAATTACCATTCGCTATACTTCCAACATTAACATTTTCATCATCCATAATGGTAATGGGAAAATTTGTGAATAATTTATTCAATCTTATTATTGCAACAACATTATCGATTGTTGTTATTGTTGTCAATATTTATTTCGCTATACAATTGATTGTTGATAAATCTGGACATTATTCATACATTACAGTACCAGTATCGATTTTATTTGGCTCATTCTATTTGATATTCATTCTTTATCTGGTAAGTAGTATAAAGTGAAACAATCATTCATTCATCAATAAACAAATCAACATGATTTGGAATTTTTTGTTTATTATTTTTACAGAATGCATGTTTTTTAACCGTGTTGGGCGTTCGTTTTCATCAGAAAATACCTGTGATTGGAAAATATTTTCAAGAATCATCTGAACATGAATATAAATATTTAGATTGATTAAAAAAAAAAAAAATTTTTTAAGAAGAAAATTAAATAATTTCCGCTTGATACAGCTTTTATGAATGGTCATAAATTGGACATGTGAAAATGCCAACAATTTTTCAAAATATTTATTTTAAAAAATAAATCAATAAAAAAAATTTAAAAATGTCTGTGATCAATAATAAACAAGCAATAATTCAATATGAAAAATCATTAAATTCTCTTCATCGTTTAATGAATGATCGATGTTTTCAAGCAGAATGTGAATTATTGAAACGAATGTCACCAAAAATCAGTATTCGTTTACGAAATTCTATTTATTCACGTTCAATCACACAACTCGTTCGATTGATTGACAAATTTAGCGAGCAGATCAAACATTTTCCCATTGAATGTACTGATCAAAATAACGTTCATGTTAAACATTCCGATAATGTGGTGGACAAAATTGAACAATTTGGTTTTTGTTTATACAAAATTTGCATTGTATCCATGAAAGTTTTCAGGTTTGAAATCAAATTTACTCAAGCATTTTCTGTTTTTTTAATAACAATCAATTCGTAGACTTTCCAAAATATGGATTGAATTAGGTCAATTGGTCAATCATTTTCTTATAATCAATGGATTAGCTTCAAGAATATGGTATTGTTAAACCTATAAACCATTCGATAATCTTGGATTAATTTTGTTTGTTTGTTTTTTCAGCATTTTTATTAAAGCATTTATGGTCTACACATATGATATTTATGGCCATTTTAATGATGACAATAAAAATGATAAATTGAAAAAATTATTGAAGAAAATGAATGTTACACCAATGCCGGCTACAAAATCAGCTATCGATTCAGACAAAAGAGAAGAAACAAAAAATGATGATCTTGGAGGTTTGTTTGATTCAAATGATTAATTTTTATTTTCAGTATAATTATGTTTTTTTTTTTTCCTTTCGGACAGTTCAAATGGATAGAAAACTTTATCAATCATCATTAACACAATTACAATCAAATGACAATAAAACAAAAGCTAGGAATAAGAAAAAAAATAAACAAAATTTTGTTGAACATGATAATAGTAATAAGGGACAGAATTCTGTTATGAAAATTCGACGGAAAAAATCCAAAAAGCTCTCAATGGCAAACAAATTTACTGTGACCAGTCAACAGATTGACCATTAGAAGATTATTTGAATCGTTCGAAATAAATTTCAATCTGTTTGGCCATACGAATATCACGTTCACTAAGACCATTAACATCGTGTGATGAAAGTAAAATGTTGACACGATTATAACAATTAAACCATTCCGGATGGTGATTCATTTTTTCCGCTTTCAATGCAACCTGTGTCATGAAACTGAATGCTTGATTAAAATCTTTGAATTTAAATTCCTTGTTTATAGCATCACGTCCTGATTTATCCATTGTCCATTCTTTGTCCAATAATGGTTGCAACAATTCTTTACGTTGGTCATCATTTAATTTGGTCGACATTTTGGATCCAGAAACAGCTTTATTCGAAAATGATGATAAAATTATCGATTTATTAATCAATGATGATGATGTGGATGGTGAATTCAATAATAATTTATTATAACAATTGATGGAATTTTTGCTTCCACAAAATTCACGTTTAATGTTGTGCGTAATTTGCTTCGCCACCAATGAAAAACAGGAGAAAAAATCCTGTCGAGCAAGTGTTGTAGCAAGCATTTATATTGAGTGGTGGCTATATTTATTTTTATATTTTATTATCAATCACTAAAGAAAAAGATGTTTCACATTCAACGCACAAACTCAAAAACAACACAATTTTGTCAACACCACAACAAGATATTGATCCAAAAATAATCAATATATATGACCGCTGATCAACAACGACGCAGGCGATTATAAATTCACATCGATGATGATGATGATGATACGTTGTATTACTGACTATATCGACAGTACTTTGAATTGGATTTTTTTTTCTCTATTTTTTTTTATTCAATTATTTCATATTTCAATAAATCATTTGTTTGTTTTTTTTCTTTGTTTGGAAAATTATTTTTTTTTTTAAGTAAAGCTAGATATAGGATCATCACAATTACATCATTAGAAAATGTATGTTTGATTAGATAATACCTATTTAGATTGATATTTGTTTGAGATAATGAAGTGTGTGTATGTGTAGTGAATTTTTTTTTTTTGAATAAAAATTGGTTATATAATACTAGTTATGATAACAATTGGTCAATGTGTGATTAATGTATGGGGGCGATGATAATATTTTTTTTTCCAATTTTTTAAGCATAACTATTGAATCGATCTGTATGACCACTATTCGATGATGAATGTGTACCATTACCATAATTTGGTCTTTTACCACCAGCAAAACGATTATTTGTTGATTGTGATGAATAATCATCAAATTTTCGTTTCATTCCACTACCTGCTCCACCTCCTCCTCCATTAGCATAACCATTGGAATATCCATTACTGAAACCATTGAAACGGCCACCATTACCAAAACGTGGTGAATTTCCGAATGATGATGAACCATAAAATCCACTTCCAAAACGTTTTCGTACATTTTTTCCAAATCGATGTGATTGACTAGCAAATTCAAACAATTTAGCTGGTACGTCTTGTTTTGCTTCCTTTAAAACATCAATCAAATCATTGGCCTGTTTGGCATTGTTTAATGTAAAAAATGTATATGCCGTTCCTTTACGATCACGACGCCCGGTACGTCCAATACGATGTACATAATCTTCACTGCAGCTAGGATAATCAAAGTTAACCACAAATTTAATGTCGTCAACATCTATAATTAGAAAAGTTGATTAGATTTATAACAACAAATAATAAAATGTTAAAGGGGGGTCTTTAATATTTATTTGATAAGGGGAATTATAGAAAAAAAAATACCAGAAAAATAATTTTTTTTCCATAAGTGAAAACAATCACCTGACTGAATTGGGAAATTTGGACACCCAAAAAATGATCGATTCCACAAAATGGCACATCGTACACATCAATTTTTTTTTGTGATAAATAGATGATATGATGATGATGTACCATTATTAGAAAAAAAAATCTGTGTACTTGATTTACATTTATTGCCGAGTTTATATTTATCATTGCGCTGTGGTGTGTAAATTGCAACAATAATTGATGATGATAACGATGATCATCCTCGCGTGTCAACAACAAAAACATACACACAAACACACGCACAACACAACGATGATCAATGTAGGGTTGGTCTACTTAATAACATGAATAACTAACTAACACAACAGGTATCTCAATGGCGTACACAATTGGAAGCACAACTCGGAAATAGGATAAATCAGTTTGTTTTTCGTTATCAAAGGCTGCATGTGAAAATTCTGGATTCTGTTCTGTCAACGAACAATCTCTGTTCCAAAATTGATGCCATGGCTTTTTTGTTTGTTTTGGTAATTATTTGGACCCGACGACCATTTTTAAAAGGGCATATATCGTTGATGTTTTTGCGGTTGGAGAACACAGATCAATAAATTGAGTTACTTCGATGAATGAAGTTTCTATGTCCTCCGCCGACGTTCATCAATCAATTAATCCATGTTTGTATGTCGTCGAGTCGATTACAATTATCATCATCATTTTTTTTTGGGAAGCCACAGCAACGAAGTTGAAATGCAGACATAGGTTGTTCGCATGGTTTCCACAACTGGACTTCTGGTAAAAAGCTTATAGAGATTCAAGTCCAGATGGTGTAATCCCATCAAACATAAATGACCATTTTTGTCATAGAGACAATTCATGCTCATAGAGACACAATTTTTTTTTGTAAACAAACAGCGAAAAGGACATTTCACAAATTTGCCAACGGAAAAATTACAATTGGCATGATGAAACCCTCCTTCTCTCCGTGAGATCCAGAATTTTCAACCTTCAAAACAAGCAAGAAACACAGATAATGAAAAAAAATTGTCAATAAATAGAATCAAAATTTAAAATTTTTGTGTCTCGAAAGTTAATCATTATTGATTTTGACTATTAGTTTATCGAAAAAAAAGAAAAATATCTGTGTGTACTTACCAAGTCCACGAGCAGCCACATCGGTTGCAATCAAAATAGTTATACGGCCATTTTTAAATTCTAGAAAAAAAATTTAAAATCAATTTTAGAAATTGTACCAAAATTATCCTTGACATGATTTCATCAATTATTCAATTGGAAAACACGCCTACACAAAATATTGCCTTAATATTGCCCAATATTGTCACCTTTTATCAACCAAATTAGATTATAGAATAATAAAAAGTCGGAAATAGAGGGCTAGTTTATTTTTTTTCAAAAAAAAAACATATTGACACTTACCACTCAAAGCCCAATCTCGTTCGGTTTGTGGTTTGTCACCATGAATTGCACTACAATACCATCCAACTGATCGCATTTGTTGATTTAATTGATCAACTTTACGTTTAGTTTCGGCAAAAATGATTGTCTTATTATCGCGACTGTTTGCATTCACTTGTGTCAATAATTTATATAATTTGTTCATTTTTTCACTTTCTTCACAGATATCAATGATTTGTGTGATATTATGATTGGCTGCCAATGAAATTGAACCAATATTGACCTAAGATTCAAAGATCGAGATTAATTTTAAATAATGAAACAAAACAAGAAAAACTAAAGAAACAAACCTGAACATAATCGACGAGAAAATCTTCAGCAAGTTTTCGTACTTCTTTTGGCCATGTAGCCGACCACATTAGTGTTTGTCTATTTTTTGGAATCTGATCAACAATTTTACGAATTTGTGGTTCGAAACCCATGTCAAGCATACGATCAGCTTCATCCAAAACTAAATAGCTGATATTATGTAGTTGAATTGCTCCCTCTTCAACAAAATCAATCAAACGTCCAGGACAAGCAATAATGATCGATGGTTGTACACGATCAATTTCACGACGTTGTCCACCTTTTGATGCGCCACCAAAAACACAAACAGCACGTGTACGAAACATGTTGACAACTTCTTTGATTTGTTGGGCCAATTCACGGGTAGGTGCCAAAACCAATACACTTGGTCCATGTTTCCGACGATGGGCATTTCCATCAACATGTACTAATGCTGGCAATGCATATGCTAATGTTTTACCTGAACCAGTCTGTGCAATACCGACAACATCACGACCACTTAAACCTAATGGCCATGCTTGTGATTGAATCACGGTTGGTGTAGTGAAACCTTGTTTCATAATAGCATGCATAACACCATCAGGTAATCCAATGAGTTCAGTAAACTGTAAGATGGGATTTAAAATTCTTGGTCCACGAAATGTAACACTATTAGTGCTGAGCCATTGATTAATTTCATATTGAGATCTTTGGCTAGTTGCCGGACTTTCACGATAGAAATTTTTATGCACCGGTAAATCTGATGGTGGTGCCTGAATAGGAACTATAACAATAAAATGAAAAATAATGTTGATAATGATAATGATTGTGTACGAAAAATACTACAAACCTTTTCCAAAACTTCGATAACCACCACCAAAACCATTACTGCCATTAGATCGATTTGCAAATGAATCACGGCCACGATTAAAACCACCACCACCACCATTATTGTAATGATTTTGATGGTTATTGAAACCGATACTACCACCATCACGAGATCGATAATCATTACTGCTGCTACTGTTGTAACGGTCATTCGATGCACGATCCATACCGTTCGAATTCGAAAAATTGCTAAAATGATTTTTATCAAGTAAAAAAAAATCGGAACAAAAAAAAATTGAAATAACAAAAAACCTACCTTTTGCTATTATTGTTATAGAATTTCTTTTCAGTCATTTTTTCAATGTCTATTATTTTTATATTAATTTGGAATTATTATTAATTAATGAATTGATAAAAAAATTCAATTTTAAAATTTCCTAAATGTTGATGTGTAACAAATGAAAATACAAATACGTTTTGAAAATGATTTTGGCTGCTCACACACACGCACACAGTACAACACACATATATTCGGTGAGCTCAATTTATTTAGGTTACGAGCATGCTCATCACACACACACAATGTGTTTTTTTTTCTTTTTTTTTTAATCGCACCTTGTTCCGTATACCATTCATATAGGATGTATTGAAAATTTATCACTATTTGTTTGAAAAACTACTCGTGACCAATCTAATCAAATGATAAGATAATGATAATCAATCAATCAAGAAATTTTTAAAATCATAACAAAAAAATCATCATATGAAATCATCAAACGAAAGAATAAAATTGAATTTCGAAATTGTCAAAATGGGTGGCAGACAAAAAAAAAATGTTTACACCCTTTTTATACACTGTTTTTTGTTCACTGACATTCGCACACACACACACACACAATTTGTAGTGTATAAATCGAAAAAAAAAGAATATATCATATTCTTGTGTGACAAAAAGAAAAATTGACTAATTGTGTGTGAATAATAATAAATAAATCAATCAAAAAATTATGAAAATGTTTAAATCAGATTCACAATTTATTAATGAAATGAATGATAAAAAAATTTCTGATCAAATTTCTTCAGAATTACCGGTTATTAATGGAAAAAATCATGAAAAAATTTCAAAATTTGCGTCATCATTATCATCACCATCATTATCAACGACGACGACGACGACGACAACAACAACAACAACAACAGCAGCAACATTTGACAGTGCACAACGTGTTCAGATTCAACAATATCTACATACAGTTTCTGGTCAATTATGTAAACCAACAATTCAAGAGATTGAACATAATTATGCTAAATCTCCACATATACATCCTGATCCACAGATACATGCACAACCAACAAAATATCTTTTTATGAAACATTTTCCTCGACATCTAACCAAAACATCGAATAAATATCAACAATCCGATAATATTGTCGATATTGATGTCGTTACATATGATGAGATGAAAAAAATTCCATTTCTAACACCAAAAGTAAGTGAATTATTTTCAAAAATTGAAAATTCGTTAATTTCAAAATTATAAATTTCATCATTTATAGCCACCACCGGTGCCGATCAAAATCGATGATGATGTTCCTGAAATCGATTCATCCATCACTGATAAATGGACATATGAAAAAAATAAACTATGGACACGTGCCATGAAAATTATTCATTCTGATCGTATGGCACGTTTATCATTCGAAGGTCATGTTAATGAAGTATTATTGAAACGTAATCTACAGGATCATACGACACAAAAATTTCGTGAATTATTTTCATCAACATTTTGGAATACAAAATTACTTATATGGCTTCATGAAACATTACTTGAACATTTGAATGTAAATTATCAAACAGTTTATATTGAATCGTTACAGATTCTACGACAAAAAATTCCTACATTAATCGAAAAATTCTATCAAGTTAAAGATCGAATTGAAAATAAAAATCGGCCCACATTAAATGATCCGCTATTCAATACACTTAGTCATTATAAACCGAAAAAACTTTCACGAAAACCAATTTTTATACTTGTACCAAATGGACCGAATCAAAATGTAAATCAAACAAATTCTTTACGTCTAAAATATTGGAGTTCATTGCTTAGTTCAATGGGAAAATTAGTATCATTATCGGTGCCGGCTAAACCAACGGATTATATTGCTGACATCCTGAACGATATACGTTATGTTGTCAATGAAAAAATTAAAAATTGTAAAAATTCTTATTCATCTCGACCGGTCATATTGATTGGATTTAATTCAGCATCAGTAATCGCTGTACATTGTGCATTACAGAATCCACGTTCAATTGCTGCTGTTATATGTTTGGGATTTCCATTAAAAACAATCAATGGTAATCGTGGTGAATTAGGCGATACAATACTTGAATTATCATGTCCAATACAATTTGTTGTTGGTGAAAATTCTGTACTAACGCCATTGGATGATATGGAAGATTTTCGTGAAAGAATGACAAGAACGGAAACAAATTTGATCGTTGTTGGTGGTGCCGATGATAAATTAGTTGTATCGAATGTTAAAAAACGTTTAGAATGTCTTACACAATCAATGGTTGATCGTTGTATTGTTGATGAAATTCATGAATTTTTATCACCAATTCTAACGAATTATAATGAAGATGGTAATATCTGCTATGTAACACCAACATCATTGAATAAAGATACACGATTATATCGTTTCTTTCATGATGAACATGGACAACCGATTCCAATTATTGGAACATCATCATCATCATCTACGAATCGAAAAAGACCACCATCATCATCATCGTCATCAAGGAAACGTACAAAAATTGAAAATGATTCTGATGATAAATCAACAAAACGAAAACGGCCACCACGACCACCTAAAAAAGATTCGATAAATAATATTAATCTAAATAATAATAATAATAATAAAACACCTGGAACAATAACGACAACATCATCAAATAACATTAATAATTTTGCACATATTCTTGGTGGTCGTACTATTTCAAATGGCGGTGCTGCTACTATTGCTGCTTCTGGTTCTTCTGGTTTTACACTAGTACCATTTCAATCATCATCATCATCAAATGTGGCTGCATTCATAACGAATAATACAACTCCAACAACAACTACAATGAATATAGATAAACAACAACAATTTAGTAATATAAAAATTGAAAAATCACAAATTATTTCCATAGATAATTTTCCATTGGCAACAATAACGGCAAAAAAAGTTGTAAAAAAAACAATAAGTCCATAATTTTCATCTGGCTTCATCATCATCATCAACAACAACAACAACAGCAACAAATATTAAAATCGTTAGAGAGATAAATTTTTTAAAAAAACTTTATTCTATTCATTTATTAGCAATTTTTTTTAGATATGAAGAATGAATATGTCGACTTACCGAATAAGTTGCTCCAAAACGAGTATCCAACGGCTATTCATTTAGCGAATCTTGAAGCTTTTCCAACACCATCATCATCTTCATCAACATCAACAACTTCATCATCATCAACAACAACAACAACAGCAACAAATATTACAAGAATCGGTGGTAGAGAGATAAGACCACCAAAATCATTAGATTTTTTTAAAAATTTATTCTATTCGATTTATTAGCAATTTTTTGCAAAACGAGTATTGTCAACGCCATCTTATGATTAAAATTATTAAATAAAAATTATTTTTCATTCATCACATATGAAAATACACGCAATCATTCGATTGTGTGATGTGTGTGTGTGTATATGTTAGTTTCAAATTGATCGGCGTTTATTTCAATGAATTGTTTCAATCTGATTAATTATTTGTGAAATTTTGAAGCTTTTTTACCCATTTTTTCTCTCACATCAATAATGGCATTATCATCATCATCGTTATTTTGTTTGCAAAAATTTCGTTTGAAATTCATTCCAATTCATCTGTTAATCATCACATGTTTTAATATTTTTATAACAAATTGTAGTAGTTCATCAACAACGGTTACTTGTGGTTCTGTATTGAAATTAATGAATGTAAATTCCGGTATTAGACTACATTCACATGATATAAAATATGGATCAGGTAGTGGACAACAATCGGTTACCGGTACTGATAAACAAGAAGATGTTAATAGTTATTGGCAAATTGGTGCTAAAACCGATGAACAATGTGAACGTGGTACACCAATCGAATGTGGTTCAATCATACGATTAACACATTTACAAACGAAAAAAAATCTACATTCACATCATTTTCCATCACCATTATCACATAATCAAGAAGTTAGCATTCGGTAAAGATGGTGATGGTGATACTGGTGATAATTGGCAAATATTATGTGGTGGTAAACATTGGGAATTGAATTCAAATATTCGTTTTAAACATGTTGATACAGAAATGTATCTATCATCATCTGGTCATGTATATGGACGACCAATCCAAGGACAAATGGAAATCATTGCTAGCACTTATTCTGATTCATCTGTTTATTGGATTGCAAAAGAAGGAATTTTTGTTAAACCAAATAATTTTGATACCAAATATGTTGGCCATGATGAATTATGAATATAAAGAATCTGTCAAAAATTTTTGTTTGATTGTTTGTTTGTGTTTGTAAATACCATCCAAAGAGATGTTATAATAATAAAAAAAATTCAAATGAAAAAAATTCAGATTCAAGATTCTCTTTCTCTTTCTAGGTTTCAAATTGTGTAAATTAACAATTTTTCTTCAAACTTTTTAATTCTTTTTTCTTGATTCCAAAATAAAATAATAAAATGAAAATGTTTAACAAATGGATTTTTACCAATATTCATGTGTGTGTGTGTGTGTGTGTGTGTGTTGAATGAATGTTTATGACAGAAAGATGATTATGTAAGAATGTTTCATTTTGTTTTGATTTTTTTTTGTGTGAAAAAAAATGATCATGAAATTCCAATAATTATGAAATGAAGAATGAATTTTCAAATGATGATAATATTGATGAATGATTTTTTTCATATTAAATTTTAGGTTAGATTATCAAATTTTTCCATTGTTGATGGTTCATGTTCAGTTTTACGTAATTCTTCATAACGTTTACGTAATGCATTGGATAATTTTTGTTTATCAGGCATTACATAACCAGGTGCTAATAGACGTAATAAACGTTGAAATCCTTTACCTTGTAATACACATAATGGTCGACAATCGGTAACAAGAAAATCTAATAAACATTGTGTTATATCTTCAACAAATATTATACTATCCAAACTACGATCAGGTAATGGTTCATCATCTAATGTAATACCAGTATTATTATTTTGATGATGATAATAACTATCATTTGATGTACCAACAGCATCCATACTATCACCGCCATCATCCAAAAAATTTGAATATGATCTTTTCATTTGACGTGCTGTTTTCGATGATATATTACGCATCTGTACCTCTGAATGCATTGATTTTAGATGTGAATAAAAATTCGTTGTATTTCCTGAATAACAAAATGTTGATGCACATATTTTACAGACAACTTTTGTTCGATCCATTATTTGGCCATCATCATTGGCAACGAAACCAAAATAGGTCCATACTTCGGAACGTGCATGTGGTAATGGTACAACCTGAGATAGATGAAAGAAAAAACAAAAAGATTTTTCAAAATTAGATTGCAAATTCATAAATGAATCTCAAATCTTACCCTAACAACTTGAATATTTTCAGCACTTTCCAATTCTTCTTGATTCTTATTACCGCCATCACCACCAAGACCACCACCATTATCGTTATCATCATTATTATTATGTTCAATAATAACATTATTATTATCCATTGTTGATTGTATCTGTTGTTCTTCAATAATTTCAGCGGATTGTTTTTGTTTTTCATCAATAACATCAATGGCAATCGGTATCTCTGAATCGCTACTATTGTTATTATTATTAACATTAACATTATTATTAGTAGCATTATTATTACTACTGCTATTATTTGATTGATTTTTCATCATTTCAGCAACATGATTATATTCATGACGATGTTTACGTTTTAGATGATCAATAAGATTGGTAGTATTACCAGAATTACGATAAGTACTTTGACAAAGTAGACATTTAGTATTTTTTACATCAACTGGTTCAAAATAATGCCAAATTGGTGATCGTGAACTTTTTGTTTTACTTTCTGACATTTTTTTTTTTTTGTTTTTGTTTACAAACAATGAAATATGATCAAAACAAACAAATGTTATAAATGGTTCGTTCGAAGTATTCTATATTTGAAATAGAAAAAAATTATAAATCATCATCAGATCATTTAAATCATTGTAGAAAGAATGCAGAAAAATATCAAATCAAATCAAAACAAAAAAAAAATCAAATCAAATCAAGAATCGCGGTAAATAGTAAACGATACGAAATTTCAAAATTGATATATCGATACTTTTGATGGTCACCGAATGTGTTAAGAAAAAAATATCGAATTCAATTGCGAGCGAAAATCGTATTACATACACACACACAAAAAAAGCAAACCGAGCATCGTTTCGGAACAATCGATGGGTGAAATACAATCACAGACACACAGAGAGAGAGAGAGAGAGAGAGAGAGTTCGTTTGGTTGCCGCCACACGATACAATGGCGCTGATATTTATACAATTAAAAACAACGTGCTTTATATATGGAAACTATTCATAAACAATGTATTTATATATATCAATATTGATATAAAAAATGGCGCGCAATTTTAAATTAAAAATTCAAAAAAAAAAATTTATTCCAGAAATTATTACACTAATATTCATATATTCATTTTTTTTCTGATGACAACCAATCAATGGATAATGTGGAAATGTGTAATTTAAAGTCGCAATGTTTTTGGGCGTTATATAATAATCTTTGAACATTTGATGATGATGATGATGATGATGATAATTTGTATATAGATCTAGAAAATTTAAGATAAATTAGTGTGCAGATATTAATCAAAATTATTATGTGGCTGTCTGTTGTATTTGGATAAGATTGAAAACATGGTTGCTAAGGTTACAATCAGCTATCAAGTCAATCAATGAAAATTGATCATGTTTTTGACACGCACTCGGCATATCATATATTTGCTGTGTTTGATTAAATGACAATATATATAAAAATGAATGCCAATTGATGGATGGATGAATCATTAACATCATTTTCGTTGTTTCTTTTGAAGTGAAAATTTCAAACATCCAACAAACATCATGTCAAGTTTGAAAAGAAGTAAGAGTAAATATCGTAAAGATAAAGATACTAATTATATGCTTGATCATCTAAGTTCATTGGATATTGATGTTAAAGTACCATATGAACGTTTGACCGGTATCATCTGTACGATTGGTCCAGCATCGAAAAATGTCGATATGTTAGCCCAAATGATTCGTTCTGGAATGAATATTGCTCGTTTAAATTTTTCACATGGTACATATGATTTTCATAGTGAATTAATTGAAAATGTACGTAAAGCAGTGAAAATAGCTGCCGCTGATTATGATGAACAATTTTTACCCGTTGCTATTGCTTTGGATACGAAAGGACCAGAAATTCGTACCGGTTTACTGGAAAATGGTCCAACTGCTGAAGTGGAATTGATTAAAAATCAAATGATTCGTATAACGGTGGATGATGCTTACCGTGAACGTGGATCATCGAAAATATTGTTTGTTGATTACAAAAATATGGTTAACGTTGTGGCTATTGGTAGTAAAGTATTCATAGATGATGGACTTATTTCATTGATGGTGAAAGAAAAAGGAACAGATTATCTCGAATGTTTAGTAGAGAATGGTGGTTTGGTTGGTTCGAATAAAGGTGTTAATTTGCCTGGAACATCGGTAGATTTACCAGCGTTATCCGAAAAGGATGAAAAAGATCTTCTATTTGGTATTGAACAAAATGTTGATATTGTTTTCGCTTCATTCATACGAAATGCTGATGGTGTTAAAGTTATACGTAATTTTCTTAAAAAACATGGTGGTGAAACCATAAAGATTATATCGAAAATTGAAAATCATGAAGGTGTTAAGAATATTGATGAAATTATCGATGTTAGTGATGGAATAATGGTTGCACGTGGTGATCTTGGTATTGAAATTGAACCGGAAAAAGTTCTTCTAGCACATAAGATGATGATTGCCAAATGTAATATTGCCGGTAAATCGGTAATTTGTGCAACACATATGTTGGAAAGTATGATTAAAAAACCACGACCAACACGTGCTGAAGTATCGGATGTAGCCAACGCTGTATTGGATGGATCAGATTGTGTCATGTTATCTGGAGAATCGGCTAAAGGTAATTATCCAGTGGAATCTGTACAAATGATGCATCGTATTTGTTTGGAAGCTGAAGTGGCCATACATTCAAGAAATCTATTCCATGAACTTGATTATATGACACCACCACCAACAAATGCAACTACAGCAACAGCTATTGCAGCTGTTTGTGCATCATTAAAAGTTGAAGCATCAGCCATAATTGTCATTACATCGAGCGGACAAAGTGCATATACAGTGGCTAAATATCGACCAAGATGTCCAATAATTGCTATTTCAAGAAATCAACAAGTTACACAACAGGCTCATCTTTTTCGTGGATTATTACCGATTCATTATACTCAACCACGTAAAGAAGAATGGACAAACGATATGGATGCTAGGATCGAGTTTGGCATCAAATATGGACGAAAACGTGGTTTCATTCAAGCTGGAGATTCAGTTGTATTGATAACCGGTTGGCGTCAAGGTTCCGGTTATACAAATACAATGCGAATAATTACCGAGTTGCCATGAAATCTCGAATTGAATATAATAATTATTATTATTGATTCTGATCACATATAATAATCAATTAATCATGAGTTATTATTAAAAAGTTTAATAAAATTTTAAAAAATTCATTACATCATTTATGAACGGTACCAAAAAAAATCGAACAAGTTCGTACAAAGGTTAAATTGCAATAATAAACAAAGTAGTAGTGGTTCAATGCAATGGTAGTACACACAACATGGATGGCCATGAAATAACCAAGACAAACAGAAAAAGGAGGAAATGTAATGGATGCGCAAACGCAAAAAAAAAATCATTAGGTTATGTCGTGTCGTCATTGTACATCACATTTCACATTTTATAATCATCATCATCACCTAAAAAATGCTTATGGTGTATGTCCTTTTTCATTGATTTTGAAGAACATTTTTCATTCATTATCCTCGCGCCGGATTTGTATGTTTCGATTTTTTTTCTCATAATTCTATACACATTATTTCAATTGTTTTAATTTAATTTTTTTTCTCGTTTTTTTTTTGAATAGAATTTAATTTATTTATTAGGTACTAATCAATTGATTTATATTTATTTCATCACACATTTCATTTTATTGAAACGAAACAAAAAAAAAAATGGGAGGAGGAAACGCCGAAAAAGGAAAGAAAATTTTTGTTCAACGTTGTGCTCAATGTCATACGGTTGAAAAAGGTGGTGGACATAAAACTGGTCCAAATCTAAATGGTTTGATTGGTCGTAAAACTGGCCAGGCACCCGGTTTTGAATATACCGATGCAAATATTAAAAAAGGTATGATTCTTTTTTGTCCATTTTGAATTTATCATCAATAATGATAACATTTATCAATCACCATCAACACACAGGAATCACATGGGGTCATGATACATTATTTGAATATTTGGAGAATCCGAAAAAATATATACCCGGTACAAAAATGGTATTTGTTGGCCTGAAAAAAGCACAGGATAGAGAAGATTTGATTGCCTATTTGGAAGAATCAACAAAGTGAATAAATGAATGAAATGAAAAAAAAGCATCGATTCTATTCTACAAAATTATACAGATTCCATTTCATTCTCTACAACCATATATACACACACACACAAACTATTTGATTTAAAAAAAATGAATAAATTTAGGAATTTATAATTAAAAATAATGATGAAATAAAGAAAAAAAAATTTTATTTATTAAAAAAAAAAATTCTGGGTTTTTTTCAAACACAATGATGATGATGATGATGATGCTCTATGTCTATAATATATATATAATATAATAGGCCAAAATAAAAAAAATGAATGAATGAATGAATGAATTTGTTGAAAATTTGGAAAATAAAATTTCTTAAAGAATTATTTTGTTTAGCAGTTACGATGATTGATTGATGAATTTGATGATAGAGAGAGAAGAAAAAAATGTCGTCAGGCGGCTATTCTTTGGAATTACTAAATTCATTCGATTTTCCATTATTATTATTATTCGAATTATTATTATTGCTACCATTTTTCACCATATACATAAATTTATTGATAACATCTTTTTCATTTACATCTAATGCACGAAAATGTCGTTGAATTTCCTGTTATGATGTTTGAAATGAATGAATTAAAGAATTAATAAAAATTTTGAATCAATTAATGAATGAATGAATGAATGAATGACTTACATCAGCCAATTGATTTTTATTACTTGCATGTTTAATTGGTAAACGAAAATGTCGTTTATATTTACGTAATGTATTCACTTGTAAACTATGAAAATCTATTGGTGATGATGATGATGATGATGTATAAGATGATTGTTGTTGTTGTTGTTGTTGTTGCTGCTGATGCTGTTGATGATGATGTTGTTGTGATCCATATTTTCCACTATTATTCATATGATGATGTGATTGATGTGCTGATGTCGATGATGATGATAATGATGAATTTATATTCATTGTTGATGTAATTGAATGTGTTATCATTTCATTTGATGAATCATTAATACCATTAAAATCATTTAATGAAAGTTCATCATCAATTAGGCCATCATCATGACCACCGATAACACTACCACCATCTTTACGTTTACGTTTTCCACTCGTTCGAATTGATTGTATAATCTGTTTATGATGTTCACAGATATATGCATGTGATGAACGTGGATCAACAATTAGCTGCAATTTTCTTTGGGCAACCTATTAATATTATTATTAATAAAATAGTTTATATCCATAGTTTTTTTTTGAAAATTTTACTCAAAATTCTACTCACCTGTTTTTCAATCCTTTTCGAATAGGATGCATTTCCTGCATTTCTTGTACATTTTGTACCATTTTCAATCAAACAACATAATGATAATGCATTATTATTACTGCTATTATTTTGATTATTAGCAATAATATTGGTATTGGTATTTAGATTTGTTGTCGATGTATTTGCTGCCGATACTGTTGTCAAATTCATATTAACTAGATTATTGATTGGATTATTAATGGTACCGATAATATTGGCACCAACACCACCACCACCACCACCACCAGCAGCAGCAGCAATAATCGCTGAACCAATATTTCCACCATTCAATGTTGATTGATATGTTGTTGTCGTGTTACCAGTTGTTATCTGATAATTGATCGAATTATTGTTCGGATGTTGTTGTTGTTGTTGTTGCTGTGGATTGATAGCCATAACTATTTTTTTTTTTACTTTTCTTGTTTCAAATTTAAATAAATCATTGAAAAAAATAAATTTGAATCAGTTCGTAAAAGATGAAGCCTGTTTACACACACGATAGAAAATGTATCAATTTTTTTTACGTTTTGTTTACAATATTAATACAATAACAAAAAAAAACACATAAATCCAATCCAATCGTTGAATAAATCATCCATCTTTCCGATATATATTGAAGACAAAGTGTATATGGGAGGAGCTTAAGTGAAAATAAAAAAAAAATTTCTTTTTCTATCCAATCAAACCTATATGGGTAGATTTTGCCACATATTCGATAGCAGCTGATTTGAAATTCGAATCTTCGATTAATTGATTGATGTATATATTATCACAAAATGGTATGATTTCTGGGGTAAACTTGTTTTTATTTTATTATCCACATAATAACCAACATCACAATGAATACGTACTTTTCCGATTGTGTTGGTTTTTATTTTTGTCCAGAAAATCCTAATAATTCTAAATTAATCAATACTAATCATGATAATGGTTATGAATTTTATAAATGTGCCTGTATTGAACAAAAAAGAGTGTTTCAATCATGCGGATATGCAACAAATGTACGAAATGATTTCATTGAACATGTTCAACATGAACATGGCCATACAAACTTGATTTGTATCTATTGTCACTTGAAGGATTCTAAAAAGGTTTGTTAATTTTCTACTTTCACTTTTTCAAATCCAAAAATTCAATTTGTTTTTTAATCTCGTTTTTTTCCACCATATATTTAGCTTAAACATTTTAGAAAACCAATCACTTTGGCAATCCATATGGATAAATTTCATACAAATCAACATTTCCAATGCAATTCTTGTTCATATCGGGCCAATCACCGCTGATCATGTTAATCTGCATCAATTATTTTGTCATCATCAATCATCATTGTGTTCTGAAAATCGTAAAATTATTTATTGTAATATTTCACAAAATGAAACGACTAATCTAACATTAAAATATTTCTATGATAAATACAAAATTGATCGAAATACTGAAACTAACTGTCAATTTCAATGTCTTTATTGTGATTGTTGTTGGGATGTTTTTCAAGAATTGATACAACATATGGTTCGTTTTCATCCTGAATATCCATTGTTATATTATTTTAGTCGACAAAATGAAATCCATTTGGATCAAAACATATCTGAATTCAGTACAATCAATGGTGATCATCTGGATGATGATAGTGACAATGATGTTAACATACAATTTTGTTGTTTTTTCTGTGATAATAAATTTTTAACAAAAATCGCCATACGTAAACATTTGATTGAACATTTGTTTGATTCAACGGAAAAAAATCGTGATGAATTTTTCAACAATTGGATCGATTCTTTCATATTAAATCAACATAGCTATAGAGAATTCTATCCAGAATGTCCAATTTGTTTGAAACTAGTTGTAAATGGTGAAAATAATGATCATCGTCGTTTATGTTCAAATCAAAAAGCACATTACATTGAACATTCATCATATAAAAAATACAAATGTATACTTTGTTACAAAGATAAACGTGAAGATTATTGGTTACCAGAATTATATCATCATATTACTGATCATGTACATACAATTCATCCAGAAAAAATCAATTTGGAATTGAAAAATATATTGATGGATTATTCAGCCAACAATGAAGATCTGATAGAATATTTTGATGATGATAATCTTGAAGCATTGAAACGATTGGAAAGACAATATCAAAAAAATTTATCATCATTTTCATCAAAAAAAATTAATAAAATAATGAAAACACACACACACACACACTAGAAATGAACATTTTTTTACATTTTTATTCATAATAATAGTAATAAAAAATTTACATGATTAATATGTTATTATTATAGGATTATATATATTCATCATCGGGATATAATTGTTATTATATTAAAAAAAAATGTTAATAAATTGATTATCAATTGGCTGCCATAGGCGTATTATCAATCAAAGTTCATCACAGTTATGATCATCATCATCATTATTATTATTATTATTAATTACCCATTTCTTATTGGAAGGCATATGTGGAAATTGTGAATCATTATCCATATTTTGGCCACTACTTCTTCGACGTTTATTATTACGTTGTTGATTCATTGCTACACGTGCTCGAATAGCATCGAATAATATTTCATTCAATAAACGAATTAGATTATCTATACCCAATATGAAACCATAATCACATGATGGTGATGATGAATTGAATGAAGTATGTGCAAAATCAATTAAACGTATATCGAATGCTGGCAGGTCATTGTTGTTGTTTTTCGATGATGTTGATGTTCGATGAAGACGATAATGATCACGATTACAATTGTAAAGAATATCTTCATTATCGTTTAAATGTTTTTCCATATTATATGATGATGATTCTTCGGACATTGAATCCAGACTAGATGAGGTACATTCATCATCATCATCCACATCATCAATTATTCCGTTTCGGGCAGTGATATTATTATCATATGGATAGAAATAATCATCGTTTTCAAATTCATCATCAACATCTTCTTCACCATCGGAGAATAGACGTTGTTTTCTAGCTGGATTACCAACATTGAAAACATCCTTCAGATACGATAAGTAATGAAGTGGAAAAAAATCTCAATGATGTTGTACGTAATGTTTCAATAATTCTTGATTTCAATTGTTTCAATCTAGATATAATCGGTCGAATCAGATAAGTACGATTGAGAAAATAAATCTGAAAATAAACCAAAAATGATCAATGAATTCAATTGTAAACATTATAAAAAAAATATTTATTATTATCAATTATCAATACCTCAAGTTCATTACGAAGTCCATTTTCATTTTTAATACGACGACCATGATATTTATCTCGTTGATATAATTTATATTTATTATTATTATTATTCGATAATTTATGATATACTTGCATGCCACAGATACGTATGCCTAATGTAGCCGATGTTGTTGATGCACATTTTGCTATCTGGCGACGACGTTTTTCATCCGATGCATCATCACTATGTTGTCGTGTACCCATTTTTAGGTCCAATATACATGGCAAATGATAATTTGATGTTATATTCTCCAATAACATGAAATCTAATTTTGTTTTCAAAAGAAAAAATAAAATAAAAAATTATTATTACATTATCGTCAAATAACAACAACAAAAAATAGATAGATAATTACATTGCTGATTAGGACGTGAGCCGTAGCCACGTTGCTGTTCAAAATGACCACGTATCGATTCCAACAAACGACGATCATTACAAACAGATAAACGTACACGTAATTCCGGTTTATTGTTACAGTTATTATTATGTTTGGAATAAAAATTTCTATTCGGATGATATAATGTTGGAATCATGCTTTCATTATGACAAATTTCAACAACGCCTTTATAACGTGGTACAAAACCATTCAATTGACGTGGAATGTTTAGATAGAAATCAAGTTCTCTTGGTATTAATGATTTACAAAGAGTGTATTGATTCAATAACATTATTTGCGTATGTCCACCAACCTAAATTATTATTGAGGTGATTATTGGTTATTTTGTTGATAATTAAAAAATGACAAACAAAAATACCTGATGATCAAATGGTGATAAAACGATGAGATCTTTAAAATTTAAATTTGTTATCATCAAATCGATGGATTGGTCATTGGTGGCAATGGTTGATGTTGGTAGTTGATTAATATCATTATTATTATTATTATCATTGACAATATTATTGAAACAGATTGATGGTGTTGATGTTTGTTGATGATAATTATTGGATAAATCATGTGTGAAACGAATTAATGAATTTGAACGATGTAATGATGATGATGATGATGATGATGTTGGATCGGACGAATTGGTCGCTGTAATATGCCAGGAAATTTTTCGATAAGGTAATGGTGATGATGAACGATGATGAACAGATTTATCAATATTGATTGATCCATTGGACTCAAATAATCCATGCAGATTATTATCATTTTGATGAATAGTTTTCATTATTATTTTTGTTTTTTTTTATTTAATAAAATTAATTAATTTTCAATATTTATTCACCAAACAAAAAATTCACACTTTTTAAAAGTTTTTTTTGTAAATTATTTTCAAACACTATTTGAATAAAGTGAGAAAAAAAATGAAACAATTTGATTAGAAAATAAAAATCATATTCTGGTTGTTGTTGTTGTTGTTGTTGTTTAAATTTTTCAACGTAAAAATATGATTAACACAAATGGCATTTAGGTAAAATACAGGGTGTGTGTGTGTAATGAAATGACTATTGCAATAAAACATTTGGAAATGGATGAATCATTTATCGGTTACTATAGTGTGTGTGTGTATGATTCATTTGAATCGACTTTTTTTGTTGATCGGTTATTCACCATTGTGTAATCGGATTATATTTCATTTAGATCAAAAAAAAATCGATAACATATTACGATTTACGGCATTTAGATTTGCATATCGGCATGCAAAAAAAAAAAAAAAAGAGGACAACCCAGCAACAACAGCAAGAATTTTTTTTTGCCTTTCTCCTTCTTCTTCTGCTCTAAACATAAATTCTTTTCTCAATGAAAAGAGCAAGTTAATAGGAAAAAAACGTTGGGATTAACGAGAACATAAACTTCATTCATTCATTAGATTCTAAAGTTGAAATGTATCTGGCAACAAATCGTGATATAAAGAAGAAAAAACCGCAAGTATTTTTTTAATAACATCAAAAAAAAAACAAAACAAAACCACGATTAACGTAAATCATGACTGCTGCTATTTAGTTTTTTTTTTTTTCATAATAAAATGAAAGCATAAAACGAAAAATTTGGCTTACATCTCTGAATTTGGTGATATATAAATATATATGTTGAAATAGTTTTTTTCTGGTTTAGAGAAAATTTTTTTTTCTATTTTTTTTGCATTTTCTATCCAAGCAACATTAGAAATTGTAAAAATCGTATTCATTCATATATGCATACCGTTAGTCAGAGTCATACGATTACGTTCAAACGTCATCATCATCATCATCATCAACATCATAATTGTTAGCTTACTTAGCATATGATGTGACATAGTCATAGTCAATTATATTATTATTATATTCTCAAATTATAATTATAATCATTGAAAACAATCGTATGATGATGATGATGACAATGATAACGGAAATACACACGAATGAACAAATAAACAAACAAAAAAACAGAAATTTAAACTTTTGTCACAAGTGTTTAATCTATGAATTTATTTTTGTATAGAAAAAAGAGAGAGAGAGAGAGAAAAAGATAAAACTAAAACTGTTTGTATGCTGTTTGTCTCTTATAAGTTGGTCTATGTTTGTAATGTTGTTTTTTACATTGAGGAAAAAAATGAACTACTTACCACCAAAAAAAAAAAAAACTTGATTTCCAAGAAATAATAACAAAAATATTTTGATGTTTTTATTTGGTTATGTGTTGATGAGAATATTTTTTTTTTGAATACACACACACACACACACACACAAAAACAAGTAAAAAAGAGATGTATAAACGATGTTTACACTTCTTATTCAAATGAAAAAACAAATTATTTTGAAATTATCATTCACAACTAGAGATCATTTGAATAATGTTTTTTGATTATGAATTAAAATCTGGAATTGAATTGTGAATTAATGATTATTATTATTATTATTAACCATATGTGTGAAAGAAAACATAGATCGACATTTCACACAATTCAATGAACTTTTGATGGAACGATCAACAAACAATAAAAACAAAAACAAAAACGAATGATGGATCAACATGAACACACACACACACACACACACACACACACAGAGCATGAACACACATTTAATGATCAATGAACTTTCAGTCAAGAATTTTTACAATTTACAATCCCACTACTATATACATTTGTAGTAGAATGTCATTGCCACTGTATTTATTATATGCGTTATTCGTTTGTTAGTTCGTTTTTTTTCTTGCTTTTCTTTCTCTTTGTTTTGATGATCACAAGATTCTTCATTCGTTCATTCATTATGGATGCTATTTATATGAATAAAGACAAATCTTCATTCTTTTTTTTTTTTTTTTGAACGTTATCGATTTCGATAATGAAAAATCAATTATAGCATTTCTATAAATAGCATCACAAAAAATAGTAATAATAAACTATAATCTGGACCTTTGAACAGGACATTTTACGTCATTTCCTTTTCGATAAATACAATTGATTCGTTCATATATATATAAATTATTTATCAAAATCATAACAAGGGGATCATAGATCGATGATGCTAATAATGAGAAAATTGATCAATGAAACAAAAAAATTGATTGATTGATCGATCGATAAATATATAACCAACACACACACACACACACAATAGTATACAAATCAACTAACGGAAAAAAAATTAGTGTTGATTGTAATCAAATCAACCTAGTAAAAATTGAATGATTGATTGATTAATTGTTTTATTTTTTGTTAAACCAAATTTGGTTAACAAAAAACATGACATGATGATTATCATCATCATCATTTTGATATATATTTGAATATTACACCATACATTATTTATCACAAAACGATAATGATATTTTGTTTGCTACAAATGAATGGAAGTTTCCATTGTGGCATCTCACTTTTTATGAGTAATAATTGACACTTTGGTTGTTTTTCTCTTTCATTCATTCATTCATTCATTCATCGTTGTTAAATGCAATAAATTATCAAACATTAATATGATGACCATAGAACGATAATGGTGGCAGAGAATAACAAGAATTCAATATAAATTCTAAAAATAAATTGACTTACCAGATTATTTACGAAAATGGTCACAAGATATAAATAATAAAAATAAATCAATCATCATCATAAATTCACAAACACAAAGAGTACAGGAACGAATTGATCAGAAAAAAACGAGAAAAAAAACGGATATTCAATGAAAGAAAAAAGTTGGATTTATATATCATTCATCATATCGCTAGATTTTTTTTTTTCTCTCTCTCTCTCTTTATCACTACGTGCGTGTGCGTGTGTACAACTGTATATATTGGACGAAATTGTCTTATGTACATACATATATATTATATTATATTATTATTGATTCTTGACAAAACTATGATGATGGTCATGGTGATAAAACATATCACATGTCGAATTGATAATTTATTTAACACACACACACACACAATTCATATCAAATCAAAATCATAGTAACTAACATATCGTAAATTATGAACGTGTGCTGTTTTTTTTTTTTTTTTTTTGATGAAATGATTTTGATGTATACTATAAATTTTTTGGAAAGATTTTTTGTTTTTTGGATTTTGGTCTGTTTTGATCAAAATTCGCCATACTTGATATGATGCATAGCATATCAATGGCAATATTTTGATACCGTACGATGGATTCAAACAAAAAAAAAAGACACACGCACACATCAAACATTGGAAACATTGAATGGATATATGAAGATTACTATCCTTACCATGCAATTGAAATTAAAGACAGAAAATATAAATCAAATTGATTATGTATTGATATTAATTATTATCATGATAATCAATGGAAAATGAATGACGATCGATCAATGATTGACAACAGCTGTGCATTTATTTAATAGTTTCCTGTTGTTTAGGTTCAGATCAAATCAAACACCAATTTGGAACAATCGATCAGTGGATTGTTCAATCAAATGAACCAAAAACGAAAAAAAAAGAGAGCAACAGAAAAAAAGGTTTTCAAACAACCACACAAAACGAAAGAAACAAAAAAATCACTCACTTACCACTTATTGTTGTTGAGATAAACATCAGTCGTCAAATGGAAGCTATGATGATAAACTTTATAAACATTGGAAAATTTTCATTGGAATATTTTTGTCGTTGTTGTTGTTTTTCATAAGGACAATAAACATCATCACCATTATCACCGTCAACAATAATGATAATATCAATTTTGTACGTGTTTGAATGAATATTCATCATCATTAAATTGTCGTTATTTTTGTCTATTTATCCATCTAATAACTTTTAAAGGATAAACAAATCAGGTTGATTGATACGATGTTATGATGCACACAGGAATGGTTATTTTTTTTTGCTGAAAAAAGTTTGTTGTTTTGTTTGCTGTTTCATTATCATTAATGATGATGAACGGGAAAACAAAAATCCTATTTATACTTGAAATTCATTGTCATTCGATTATTTTTTTCAAGTTCAATCCATTATTATACAATGATGATGATGATGATGATGATGACCCATTTATTTTATGATATGTGAAATGATTCAGCAAATAATGATGAAATGAACAAATGAATGATGGTTGAATAAATCCATTTTGAAATTTGTTTTTGTTTTTCGCAGTTGTTGTTCAAAGATTTATGATAATGATCAAGAAGGGCAAGAAGGTAGCAAATCTTTTTCATTTATTTATTTTTTATGCCAATTGCAATAATAATTTGTTGATTGATGACAAATCATCACATGTAAAAAAAAGAAAGAAAATTTCTTATTTTCGGATTAAATGAGAGAAATCACCTTATCATCACGTACCTTTTTTTTCATCTGTTTTGTTGTGTTGTTGATGATCACAAAAATTCAAGGTAAACAACGTCGATGATGAGAGAACTGCTGAAGATATATAGTGAAATAGAGATTACATCGAAATACATTGAGCAAAAAAGAGGTTCGTTTTTATTTATCGATGATCACCCAATCATACCCGACAATGATTATGTAATGATAATAATCGATCTGTAACGTCAGAAAAAAAATGGAAATCTTTTAGCAATTATTGGTGATGATGACGATGACGATGATTCGCGTGATAAAAAAAAATCAAAAACAAAAATTTTTTCCCCATTGATTAGGCACATTTTTTAATGTTTAATAAACGAAAATTTATCAACATGAACAATGTTGTTTATCATCATCATCATAAAATTCTTTATTTATTTCTAGGAATCAATATTAACCATCTCAGCTGTGTTGTTTATGTAATCGATTAGTAATCATCTTCGATCGATCAATCGATCAATCGTACAACAACCTTACACAGTCAAAAAAACCACACAGTTTGGAAAGCATAAAAAATAAGTAGGGGGGCAATACATTTCAAGTTTTGGAAATAACTTCAAACTGTGCCGTTGTTTCTTGAAAAAAAAATCGGCGGGTTTTTCGGTGGATGTTTTTTTCTGTTTTCGATTTTTTTTTCGAACGTTAATGACGAATTGCGTTTTTTGGCAAAAAAAAATTCTTTCAACTTTCACCGCTAGATGTCATCGCAAGTTGATAAAATTTATTTATTTGTTCGATTTTTTTTTTTTTTTTGGTTATAATTATTTTGTTCATCATCATCGGATTTTGTTTCAATCAAATATAAAATGAATTGAATGATATCACTGGAAATCGTATCGTATCGAAAAAAAATGAATCGAACCAATGAAGATGATGAAAAGAAAAAGAAAATGAATCGTTCAAAACCTGTTGATCGTTATAATGGTGGTGGGCTATATAATTTTCGCCTGAACATTTGTGGTTCACCAAAAATTACAAAATTACGTTTTCAATATATTATCAAACCATTTAGATTATTATTTGAACAATTTCCACAAAATATACGTGAATTGAAAGCAATGATTGATGATCACCATAGTAGATGTGGTGATTATTACCACACCAACAACAACTGTCATCAATCTGAAACAAATTTGGAAAACGATCATCATTCTACGATCACTATGATGACCATATCGAAGGCAACAAAAATGTCAAAAATGTTTTTGCTTAATCAAAATTCTAAACAACAACCTAAAGCAAATGATGGCCACATGTTAAATGATTGTAATGTTGATGATGAAAAAAATCTCAAACAACAACAACAACAATATTGTAATTATAATTATCATCATTTGCCATTATTTCTCACATACAATGGTTATATTGATTCTGATAAAGATTTAATGGCCATACTTGAATCATTACAAAAATATGAAGATTTCTACCTAGATTGGTCCGATTCATTCATACGATCCATACAATTATGTCGACCATCAATGTTTACCGTTAATAATAAAATTTCCAATGCACCACAACATTCACAACAAATGATTGACATTGAAACAAAAGATTATTGCCGAGATATGGTTGAAGAATTTGCCCATTCTATTCAAGGTAATGTGAATATTGAAAAATCTCAACATGTCATTAATTATTCATTTTCATTATTTTTATTATTATAGCATTTTCAAATTTTCAATCCTCTCTACACAATAGATTTCATATGATTGTTAAAATGCAACGTAATCCACATCTAATTGATTATCAAACACATTTTTCCATTGGTATGAGACAAATTTTCTATGATTTATACGCTAAACAACGTCAACTTTATTATTATTATCAATTAACATATGATTTGATTGCAAAAAATTGTCAAAAATTTATAACATATTGAAAAACTTTGCCGGAAAAATGAAAAAAATCAAATCACGTTTTAATCGTCATCAATTCGTATTTTCGCCAATTCTTGTCACATTTATATTGCTCAAGTGAAATGAAATTTTTTTTTTACGCTCATCACATCACAGAAAGCTTTGTTTTTTTAAGTTTAAAATTTGAACATGAATTTTTTTCGACATATATAAAAAGGATTTTCAATGTTTATTCTGTTTTCATTGTGCTCGTGATTGATTTTATCCATCAATGTTATCAACATCAGCATCATATTCATTGAAAATGATTTCCATATCATATCTATCGTTGTTTCTTCTGTTCACTACTTCATCATTGATTCAATGTCGTTCAATATTGTCCGCACAACAGGAACAAATTTTACCGCAAATATTTCCACCAGAAAGGATTAATGTTTCACGAATAGCCAAAATGGCTAATCATACATTGATGGAATTGTTTACACACGCCAATGCTATTGTTAATTCAACCGGTGCTGATAGTGTTTTATTGGAAATTGATGATCATGCAAACAAGAATAATAATAACAGTATTAAAGTATTGGCCGTTGCTAAATCAGATATTCCGAAACAAGAAGATTTAATGAAAAAATTTAATCTTTATTTTGTAAATTTAACTGAAAGTCCACTTTCATTTATCAATAATAATCATCATACAAAAACATCTAAACCTATTTCATATAATCGTCGAACTTATTGGCAGATATTTGTCGATTTTCTACGTAATCAAGCTAATGCTGTACTTGGTGCTATGATGATACCGGTTAATGTTGGTATGAATGCTGCAATAAAAGCTGCTGAAACACATGCTGAATATGTTTTGTCTGAATCACCATTAGGTTCAGTAATATCAGCACCGGTTATACTGAAAGCAATTTCTATACCGAACAAAATATCACAACATATTGTCGATATAGCATCAAATCAAATGAATAATCTTGAAACATTTAATGAGCAAACAAAATTAATGGCTGATAATGGCATAAAAACTCTTGCCAATGGCCTGAATAATGGTACAAAAATTGTATCGAATGTTACCTCACATTATGTTATCCGTCCTATTGGTGCATTTACTGGATTCAATTTAAATCGTACTGGTCATCTTATCAATAATATTGGAAAATCAATTGCCAATACTGGACTTAATATTCATTTATCTGGTGAACATGTTGGTTCGAATGCCGAAAAATTGGTTAGTGCTGGTGCCACAGCTATTGCTTGGGGCTTGGATAATACTGTTAAATTTTGACCATCACTCACGTCTTAAGAGTTCATCAGATGAAAAAAATGACCAAAATTAAGAATCAATCAGCCATATTATCAGACTTATCATTTGTCTATAATTTTTTTTATATTGTTGATGTCATCTTTGTTTTTTTTTCGTTTGATGTTTATAATTTTTTTCACACTACATTCACATTCTGAACATTTGTCATTATTTTTTTGTTTAAGGAATTTTTTCTTTTATGTTTTTTTTCCGAATGTGATAAATAAATTATAACTAAGGCTTGTTACTGGAAATTAAAATTATTTTTTTTCATATTTAAAAACTTGTCATGATATCCATTTATATTAACAGATATAGAAATTTCAGCAATTCTGTACGAACGTGTGAAACAAACCAAAAAAATTCTGTTTCCTATTCTGGAAAAATAAATGAATGGCAATTATTTTAACGAAAAAATTTCGAACATGAAAAAAATATATCTCGTCATTATCATCGAAGAATTTCGTATACATCATCATCTCCTATATACATGTGTGTAATGATGATGATGATGATGATTAGTTTGCCCAATGGCAAATATTATCATCATCAGCACCCAGAATTTTATTGATGACGATGATGATGATGAACAAATATTTTTTTTCGTAGTGAAAAAAAATAGATATAGGTTATGTGTGTGGTGGTTATATTAGATTATCATCATTATTGCCACATCATCATCATCATCATCATCATTAAATAATGATGACAACAATAAATTAAATACATTTATTCCGGAAACATTTCTTTATCGTCATTTTTTTTAAACATGGTATAATTTATTTATCACATTTGATGAAAAAAAACACATGAAAGAATTCCATAAACAAAAATAATGACAAGTGAATGTAGTGTGGAAAAATTATAAACGAAAAAAAACGAACAAAGATGACATCAACAATATAAAAAAAAATTATAGACAAATGATAAGTCTGATAATTTGGCTGATTGATTCTTAATTTTGGTCATTTGTTTTTACTCGCTGATGAACTTTTAAGACGTGCGTGATGGTCAAAATTTAACAGTATTATCCAAGCCCCAAACAATAGCCGTGGCACCAGCACTAACCAATTTTTCGGCATTCGAACCAACACGTTCACCAAATAAATGAATATTAAGTCCAGTATTGGCAAATGATTGTCCAATATTATTGATATGATGACCAGTACGATTTAAATTGAATCCAGTAAATGCGCCAATAGGACGGATAACATAATGTGAGGTAACATTCGATACAATTTGTGTACCATTATTCAGACCATTGGCAAAAGTTTTTATACCATTATCAGCCATTAATTTTGTTTGTTCATTAAATGTTTCAAGATTATTCACTTGATTTGATGCCACATCGACAATATGTTGTGATATTATATTCGGTATTGAAATTGATTTCAATATAACCGGTGCTGATATTACTGAACCTAATGATGATCCAGCCATAACATATTCAGCATGTGTTTGGGTTGATTTTTGTATTGCATTCATACTAACATTAATCGGTATCATCATGGCACCAATTACAGCATTAGCTTGATTACGTAGAAAATCGACAAATATCTGCCAATAAGTTTGCTGACTATATGGAATAGGTTTGGATGTTGTTGACACTGTTTTCGTATGATGATCATCATTGATAAATGAAATTGGACTTTCAGTAAAATTTACAAAATAAAGATTAAATTTTTTCATTAAATCTTCATGGCTTGGAACATCTGGTTTAGCAACGGCCAATACTTTGATACTGTTGTTATTATTCTTGTTTGCATGATCATCAATTTCCAATAAAACACTATCAGCACCGGTTGAATTAACAATATCATTGGCGTTTGTAAACAATTCCATCAATGTATGATTAGACATTGCACCAGGATTCATTGCCATTTCGGCTATTTGTGGAACATTGACCATTTCTGGTGGAAATATTTCCGATAAAAATTGTTCTTGTTGTTCGGAAAATATTGATCGACATTGAATCAATGATGAAGTAGTGAACAGAAAAAACAATAATAGCGATGATGATATGGAAATCATTTTCAATGAATATGATGATGATAAAATTGATGAACAATAAAAAAAATCAATCACAAGCACAATGAAAACAGAACAAACATTGAAAATCCTTTTTATATATAATATTATGACAAACTGTCATAAACTCTCTTCTGGATAAACGTTGTTAAATAATAATTTATTTGAGGTTGTAATCAAAACGTAATGTAAAAACATAACATGATTTGGTTAGGATTTTTGGTTGGGATTATATACTAAAATTATCTAAATATTATTTATGAAAACTATTGCTGAGTTAGTGATGTTCACATTATTTTGCTGAGATTCATCATTTCACAAATCGTATGATGTTGTTATCACCTGTTAAATCTGCTACTCTGTTTAGGTCAGCAAATACTTTTTACTAAGTATCATTCAAAAACCATAAACGTTATTGATGACGATGATGATGATGATGAACAAATATTTTTTTCGTAGTGAAAAAAAATAGATATAGGTTGTGTGTGTGGCGGTTATATTAGATTATCATCATTATTTTCACATTATCATTATCATCATTAAATAATGATGACAACAATAAATTAAATACATTTATTTCGAAAACATTTCTTTATCGTCATTTTTTTTGAAACATGGTATAATTTATTTATCACATTCGGAACAAAAACACATGAAAGAATGAAAAAATTTCATAAACAAAAAATAATGACAAGTGAATGTAGTGTGGAAAAATTTTAAACGAAAAAAAACGAACAAAGATGACATCAACAATATAAAAAAAATTATAGACAAATGATAAGTCTGATAATTTGGCTGATTGATTTTCTTAATTTTGGTCATTTTTTTACTCTCAGATGAACTCTTATGAAGTGCGTGATGGTCAAAATTTAACAGTGTTATCCAAGCCCCAAACGATAGCCGTGGCACCAGCACTAACCAATTTTTCGGCATTCGAACCAACACGTTCACCAAATAAATGAATATTAAGTCCAGTATTGGCAAATGATTGTCCAATATTATTGATATGATGACCAGTACGATTTAAATTGAATCCAGTAAATGCACCAATAGGACGGATAACATAATGTGAGGTAACATTCGATACAATTTGTGTACCATTATTCAGACCATTGGCAAAAGTTTTTATACCATTATCAGCCATTAATTTTGTTTGTTCATTAAATGTTTCAAGATTATTCACTTGATTTGATGCCACATCGACAATATGTTGTGATATTATATTCGGTATTGAAATTGATTTCAATATAACCGGTGCTGATATCACTGAACCTAATGATGATCCAGCCATAACATATTCAGCATGTGTTTGGGTTGATTTTTGTATTGCATTCATACTAACATTAATCGGTATCATCATGGCACCAATTACAGCATTAGCTTGATTACGTAGAAAATCGACAAATATCTGCCAATAAGTTCGATGACTATATGGAATAAGTTTAGATGTTTCGGTATGATGATTATTATTGATAAATGAAAGTGGACTTTCAGTTAAATTTACAAAATAAAGATTAAATTTTTTCATTAAATCTTCATGGCTTGGAACATCTGGTTTAGCAACGGCCAATACTTTGATACTGTTGTTATTATTCTTGTTTGCATGATCATCAATTTCCAATAAAACACTATCAGCACCGGTTGAATTAACAATATCATTGGCTTGTGTAAACAAATCAATCAATGTATGATTAGACATTGCACCAGGATTCATTGCCATTTCGGCTATTTGTTGAACATTGACCATTTCTGGTGGAAATATTTCCGATAAAAATTGTTCCTGTTGTTCAGAAAATATTGATCGACATTGAATCAATGATGATGATGAAGTAAACAGAATAAACAATAATAGAGATAGAGATGATGATATGGAAATCATTTTGAATGAATATGATGATGTTGATGTTTACAAGATTGATGAATAAAAAAAATCAATCACCAAGCACAATGAAAACAGAACAAACGTTGAAAATGCTTTTTATATATGTCGAAAAAAAATTGAAAAATCCTTTGATTTTCATATGTTCAAGTTTTAAACTTGAAAAAACAAAGCTTTCTGTGATGTGATGACTGCCAAAAAATTTCATTTCACTCAGACAATATAAATAAATATAATTTATTGATGATGATTAAAAGTCAATGAATGTGTGTGTGTGATTTGATTTTTTCATTTTTCGGTCAAATTTTTCAATATGTTATAAATTTTTAACAACAACTTGATCGAATTCAGCAGAATAAATTTTACCATCGCCACTCATCAGGATATTTTTTTTATTTGCAATTTCATATCTATGAATATTGAATAACCTTGTCCATAAAATCTACAACCAATAAAATGAAAAAAAAATTCAAGAATTTTCTGCCCAAAAACATTCAAAGTCCAAATTGGTGAATTAAAGTACCATGTGATTATTATGATGGAAACATAAATAGCAGAAAAAAAACAAACCAACAACGCACAACACCCATATAGATAGATAGATAGATAGATATAGCAAAATCTGTGTTTGTGTTAGGCATCGTTGTTGTTGTTGTTGTTGAAAAGGAAAAACCATTCCAGTACGCACACATAAACATACCAGAATGTTGATGATGATGATGATGATGATGACGATGGGCCCACATAGATTCTTGAATTCAGAGTCAATCAGAAAGAAAGAAAGAAAAAAAAACAGAACAGACATCACATTTTTATTTTTGGAACCTCGCGCGCGCAAAAATATTCTTCTCATTGGCCATGTTCAAAGAGTTTCGTTTTTTTTTTCGCACTCTCGTTTCTTTGGTGCTGACTTTTTTTTCATTTCATTCGTGATTTTCGTCGTCATTCGTAGTCTTGTCTTACTTTCGGATGAATCTCTTTGATTTTTTTTTTTTGTTTTGTTTTGTTCCAGTGCTGTTTTCCAATTCTGGAACTGTTTATTTTTATGTTATGATGATAAACCTTGTGAATGATTCTGTCGAATACGTGCCAAACATCACCCCTAATTTTTTCTGATATTCATAAACCAAAAACACATTGATCAGGTGTATAATTATCATCATAATTTGCCAAACAGAAAAAAAATCAATCAATAATTCAATCAGAAAAATTGCTCAAGCCATCATCGAATCATGTTACAATTTCTGGTTATAATCAAATTGTTGTAAATAATTTCCTGGGAAAGAAATAAACAAACAAATGATGATGATGATGATGTTGAATACAGGTGTTGGATCAACATCATCAAGTACGGCTGGTAATTTTCATCATCATCATCATTACCATCATCATAATTATTATCATCAATATTCACCAATTACTACGACGGCGGCGGCGACGACGACGACGACGACAGAAGCAGCAATTAATCATAATAACATCTGGCCTGAATCTCCATCAGCATCATCAACAAATTTTATTCAAACATCATCATCATTACCACCAACAACATCGATATTTTTACATAATCCACAAACATATGGCCAGTATTATTATCAGATGCCTACATTGTCATCATCATCGACGGCGACGACTAAAACGACAGCAACGTCAACGACAACCAATTCTCAACAACAGCCACAACAATATTCAACAAATTCTTATCTTCCATCATTAACATTGGCAATATTATTAATGTCTTCATCGACATTGGCTCCATTTCTATCATCATCTTCATTTCCGTCGTCATCGTCAATGTTTTCGTCTCGTAATAATAATAATCATCATATAAGACGTTCGGCTACAACAATACAACAATCATCTGGTCCATCATCATCATCATCATCATTGTCGAATCAATTTGATCTTCCATATTATTCAACAAATTCATTTTCGATTCCATCATCATCAATGCCAACATTGCCACCATTTTCAAATCTAATAATAAAAAATGAAAGCCAATCATCAACAACATTGTTTATAACACAAACACCATTGTTATTACCTTTGGATTATCATCATCAAACAATAACCAAAAATGAAAATGATGATAATAATAGATTCGATGTGATTCAGCCACAATCAAATTCATCTCTAACAGATATTGATTCATTATGGAATGATGATAATGTCATTAACAATAAGTATGATGATAATATCGATGATTATGATGATGATGATGATGTTGATGATGATGAAAATATTCTTGCCAAATTTTCAAATGATGATAATGATGATATCGATGTTGAAGATTATAGTGATGATGATGTTGATGATAATAAAAATTCATCAATATTCGAACAGCAACAACAACAACAATCATCATTATCAATGGATAATAATTATACAAATAGTATAACAATAACAATTATATTGGCAATAATAACAATATTTACAATTGTTGGAAATTTAATGGTCATTTATGCAATATTCAATTATCGTCCATTACATAATGTACAAAATATGTTTATGGTATCATTAGCTGTTGCCGATATTGCCGTCGCTGTACTAGTAATGCCATTTAATCTTGCTTATAGTCTATTAGATCGATGGATTTTTGGTTTACATTTATGTGAAATGTGGTTAACAAGCGATGTGTAAGTACTATATCTGTATATATATTCACTTTTTTATTTATTATATTCGAAACTATTTTGACATTTAGTGGCCAATGTTTCGATGTAGCTGTTGATGATGCATTCGAAACTTTTTTTTTTTTTTGTTTTTTGTTTTTTTCCATTTTCTTCTTTGTGTTCAATGTCCATTATTATTACCATTATTTTTATTTATTTTTTTTTTTTTGCTTCTATTTCTAATTATAAATAACTATTTGTACATTTATTTTCATTTCCTACCATACTCTATCACACAAACCATTAACAACAACAACAACAACAACAACAAAAAATGACAAACAACAAACATACATCGTCTTCACTATTCGATTAATCTTGGGATTCTTCTTGTTTGGTGGTTTAAAACAACGAACTATTCGATAATATCAAATTGTGGTAACATTAAAATCTCATCATCATCATCATCAAAAACTATTATTTTTGTCATCGTTTTGTTTGAAAATGAATGTGATAATTATATATTGATGTTTACGAAAAAAAACAACTTTTTTTTTTTGTTTTGGATGATATGTCAATACAAATGGTGTGAAAACTAACAACAACAACAACAACTTTATTTTCACTCTCATCATAATGATTCTTCCATAAAATCAACAAAACTAAAACATTTTTTTTCGAACATTGAATTTTCAAATCATTCGAACGCCTCTATTTCGATTTCCATTTGATTACATTGATTCATCTCTGTGGCGCTTGTATTGTAATATTAATCCATTGAATTATATTCTATACGTGTGAAACGGATTCGTTTTGTTCAAATTACACAAAAATACAACACAACTAATAATTCATCGTGCACTGAAAACGTGATTGTGATCAAATGTTTCATTATCATTATCATCATCAACTACAACAACTAAATATAATCAATTATGATGATTATGATGGACTTTATTCTCAAATCATCATCATTATCATTGCTTATCTATGTTGCATCATAATAATTCTGATTTTTTTTTGTAAAACAACAACAATTTCCTTGGAAACTTTCTTCTAATTATATTTTTGTTTTCAAATTGTCATAAATCTTATATATGATTTTAATTGAAAATCATGATCATTTCCTTTTTGTTGTTATAATATCAAATGATGAAAATTGATTTTATCAATTTCCTGTTTCAATTTATTTGTTCGTGTGTGTGTGTGTGTGTGTGTGTGTGTGTGTCACGATCAAATTATCCATCAACAACATTCACATCAATAAATAAATCAATGACAATGATTTCAATGATGTCCTCTGCTTGCGAAAAAATGATGACAATGTCGCCATGATGATTTTTTTTTCATGTAATCAATTTCATGTAATTTGGACAAACAAACATCTTCATACAATGACAATATTGTACACATATATATATAGTTTATGTTGTACAGCATCGGTAAGCATATTGTTTTATTTTTCGTACCATTTCTTTTTTTTTCATTCATCCAAATGTTCCATATGTTCCAAATTCATATCAGATATTCGAAAATTGAAAATTTTTTTCTCCAGATTTTCCTAGATTTTTTTTTATTTGTTTGTTTGTCAAGTTTTGTGTTATAATAATAAATGTGATTCAATTATCATTTCAATTTGTGAAAGAAAAAAAATCCAAAATATCCGTTTTTTTCACTTTCATTGAACATCCGGTTTGAAATAGGAAATTTTAGAATTCAAATTTAAGATGTCATAAGGCTTTCGAGATTTTTTTTTTTTTTTTTTTTTGGTTCTGTTCTGCTAAACATATTTATTACTATCCACTATAGTTATTTTTCAGTTTGGTGTAATGTAAATTCCCGGGAAAAAAAATGTGTCAATATTTATCTCGTAATATAACGATTGGGCTGAATAAATCTTGGAAATAATGTGAATCATCATCATAATAATACTGGTACTGAATTCCGAGAGATAGATCAGTCTTCATCTGCATAGTTCATTTTTGACAAAACAACGGAAATAGAGAAAAATTTATTCTCGTTTAATTCTTCTTTAACAATATTGATTCGATTGAAAATTCTATAGAATTTTCCGAATTCAAAATGTGTTTGGTGTGTGATGTGGATAAAGTTTCTCTTTGTGTTATTGTTGTTGAATAGTTTGAATAGAAATCGTGTATAAAATTTTCAAAAAAAAAAAATTTTTTCACCTAAACTAGACACATACACAAACTCAATATGAACAATCAAAATTTATACAATTTAAATAAATTCAGTAGGTGTCTACCGACGAGTGCGTGTGTGTGTGTGTGTGGGGCTAACCAACCATTTGATGATCGGTATGATAAATTACGATTTTTTTGAAAAATCTTTTTAAACATTGAATAATTGATTATGGTAATAATAATAGCCTTTCTGTGTTTGTGTGTGTGAATGATGATGATGAATAATTTGATGCACATTACCCAACTGAACGACCGGCCACCATCTCATTGCCAATGGGTCGATGAATTCTTGATAATCGAATTATTTATTTTTTTTAAACGAGAAAAATTTTCATTTTTTTTCTCTCTGCTATTGAATGAATAAATCATGAATGTGTAGAGAATTTTTTTCTTTTCACACACCACCATTCACCCACATACATCATTTCACACCACTATGGTTCGTTTTTCAAAACTTTGATAATTTATTTATTTATTAAACGACCTCAATCATCATAACACAATATACAAGATGAAAATCAAAGCGTGTTCACTGTCGCACGTCGACTTAACCCCTTGTTTTTATAAGATGTCTGCACAAATTGTGCTCATGTCGATCATGACTATTGTTGAGCCTTTTCTGCTCATGTATGATTGTTGACTCAGTGTCACTTTCTGTCCATTCCTCCCCTCTCCAATAGTTTACTTCGATCCGATCGTTCAGCAGAATAATTACCAAGGAATTCGTTCAATGATTTGTAAACAATAAGATATTTTCCAACGCACACAAACTCAATATGAACAATCAAAAAATTTATACAATTTAAATAAATTCAGTAGGTGTCTACCGACGAGTGCGATTTACGTGGATGCGTATCGTCTGGATCGATTTTACGGCGTCAATACGTTCTCGATTTCAGCCATGTTTGAGATGTGTGTGGGTTTTCGCCATAACCAACCCATTTAATGATGATATACGGTTTCAAAGTGATAATTACGGTTTTTCTACACGAAAAAGTCCCGTATTTCTTTTTAAAAACATTGAATAATTGATTATGTACGTTGATAATATAGCCTTTCTGTGTTTGAAGAAAAATGTGTGTGTTTGAATGATGATTAAATTTCGATATGATATAATTTGATGCAGATTTCGGTGAACGCACAAATACTTCCACTGAACGACCGGTATTGATTGTTTTGCAGCACCATCTTCTATTGACGGGGAATTGGTTGAACATCGTCGATGGGTCGATGAATTCGTTGATATCAATATCGTGAATTATTTTTTGGCTTTGAGAACGAATTTTCATTTTTTCTCTCTTTTCATGTTCAATATTCGAATGTATGACTGGCTCGTCATATCATGAGTTTTCTTGCTCATGTAACTTATCGTTTACCCGGAGAATCCGTTCCAGAGTCGGTGATTTTTGTTTCATTAACGTAAAAAGGATATAAACGAAAATTCAACACCGCCATCAAATAATATTCGAACAGATTGATCATGGTCGTCAATGTATCGCAATTTCATTCTCACCATCTCATAGTCGATATTCAATAACAGCTTCTTTACACATTCAATAAGCATTGTATAATTCAGAAACATACATTGGATTTCGATGTTGCAGCCATAACATTGCTGTGTCGTGGCGTTCGATGCTCGTGTTTGATAAATATCGTCTGGATCGATTTATTTACGTTCTCGATTTTTTGAGATAGTTCTCAGCGAATTTGAGCCGAAATCGCCAGTTGAGAATATTTTTTGGACTTATCTTTACTCTTTCCACCATGCTTTCCCATTCTAATTGTTCGATGGTCATTGCTTTCCAAAGGCTTTGATCATCAATTTCATTCATATCCGGAAAATTGATCTGGAGGTATGTATCGATGCTTGTCGGGCAGTAGATCCGTATGTCCATCATTTTATTCAATCAATCGGGTAATGTTTGATCATTTGCCGAAAAACTGGATATCAATTGGATCACCGTCATAATGTTTTAGACGTTTAATTTTGGACCACCAGAACGTGAATAAATTCTGTAATCCCACTATTGTTGATATGGATTATAATAAGTCGTACCCTGTTTGAGTCGTGTCATTTGCTTGTCGACCGTTGTTCATATCGTGATGACTCGTGGATTGTTCCTCGTTTCGTTATCATCTATTTATTACCATGGAACGCGTCGCTCCTTGTTGCTTTGTTGTCGAACCTGGATGATGATGTTGATTCGTTGTTTGCATCTTTAGTTGTCAATCTTTTCAAATTGTTTCCATTTCAATCAACGAATCTTCAATGCTTGGTTATCCTGGCCATCATTCTCATATCAGTGAGCTTTCGATTGATTAGAGATTTTACCGTATTCTGTGCAATCCTTTTCGTAATATCTGATGGTGTTAATTCTTGCCAGTTATCAATCGTATGCTTCAATTGTCGAAATTCAATGATGACGTTAGCCAACCGATAATACTGATTCTTTAGTTGTTTAATCTCCTGTGGATCGACCTCGTCGCCCCATCCTATCATCATTGTATTGTTAGCCGTTCGTATTGCGTTGCATACCTTCTTGACTTCCGTTCGTAATTCCTCATCGGTCATTGCAGCAGCCGTACGTGTTAATACCATCGTGAATATTCGTAAAAATCATAAATTTCGTTCTTCGTGAATCGTAAATTGACCGTTTGTACCGTACGTAAATCGTAAATTTCGTGAATTGTAGATGTTCGTAAATCGTAAATTTCGTGAATCGTAATGTTCGTGAATCGTAATTTTCGTGAATTGTAGATGTTCGTAAATCGTAAATTTCGTGAATCGTAATGTTCGTGAATCGTAAATTTCGTGAATCGTAATTCAGATCGTGAATCGTAAATCGTTTCGTACGCTGTTGAACGTGAATCGTCAAACCCCGTACGTCGTCGAATCGTAAAGCGTAAATCGTTACCTCGTACGTCGTCGTTAATCGTGGTTTCCATCAATGCCGTGATTGGATCGTTCGTTACATCCGTGAGGCAATCGTCATGGCATTCGTAATCATACGTGATCATGAAATTCATAACGTAAACATCCAGAAGGGATATTCGGTGGCTTTCGTCGTTGACATATTTGGTGATGATAACAGAATGGACAAAAATTTCACCACTATGGTTCGTTTTCAAAACTTTGATAATTTGTTATTGATTAAACGACCACCAATCCCATCATAACGCTATTAAAAGATGAAATCAAAGCGTGTTCCCCTGTGGCGTCGACTTAACCCTTGTTTTATAAGGATGTCTGCACAGGTTATTGCTCATGTGTCGATCATGACTATTGATTGAGCCTTTTCTGCTCATGTATGATTGTTGACTCGGTGTCTTTCTGTCAATAATATTCACATGTAATGGCTGGTGGTGATGATATGAAAAAAAACGTAAAAAAAAGATGAAAATTGTTGAAAAATTGCAAAAAAGTTTCCCTTTTTATTTCATCGATATATTCATTCTCTCTCACAAACACACACACATAAACATTGATAATTATTTCCTTTGCTGTGTCCACATAATATCCGGAATTTATTTATTTTTCCTGCCGAAAATTGAGAATATTTTTTTTCTTTACTCTTTCCACCATGAAATTGTTGGTCATTGATTTGATCATCAATTATTGAAAGAATAAATATAGTTTTTTTTCCTTCTGGTTCCAAACCAGAAGGAAAAAAAAGAAAATCACTTGAAAGCCTCGAAATATTTTATTTTCTCTATGTTTTATATTCTATATGTTAGATTTGGTTTCGTTTAGCACAAATTCTGAAATTCTGTTTAGTTTTATTTTGGACCAAACAAGTTTTCCGGTTTAATTCATATCACACATCTTTTAATCATTAATTTAATTAATTTTTGTTCTGTTCTGTTATCATTCCGGTCATTTCGTTTTTTTTTATTGTTGATTCAACAAATTCTATTTATCTAACTACTTTTAGCAATCGAAAATAGGAAAAAAAATTAGCTTGACAAATTATGGCTGTTGTTTTTTTTTTTGTTTTTTTGTTTTCACAATTGTGAAAACACAAAACAGATTGTGATAGCGCGGCATACAATGTAGACAGAGACATTATATGACAGCTATTTGACAATTATATAATATATATTTGAACAACCAAAATCAGTTGATGCATTCGTCAATTGCTTTGAATTTTTTTTTCTTGTCATTCATTCTCTGAAATGTTATTTGAACAAATATTTACCCAAAATCGAAGCTTCTCTTTATATTCTTTTGCGTAACCAAAGAGAAAGAAAAAAAAATTTCAAAAGCTGAGAATTTTCATGAAAAAAAATGTGTAAAGAATTTTCTATGAATTGTAATAATAAAATGATGATGATGATGATTCAGACATTCAGACGTTTCTCGTTTTCGTTTGACAATGACACACCGATTCTACCTTTCATTTGAAAGAATTTGAACAAAAAAAAAGATGAAGCAGTTTTGTTGGTCACAATGGGTTGAACAAATAGAAATTTTTCTCATTTTTTTTTTTTAGTTTCGATGAATTTGTATTGTAGTGTTTGTCAAACAGTGAAAAACCACCAGAATACATTTATACAGACTACTTTTATTCAATAAATTTTGTAAGAAAAAAAATTACCGTAAACCAAATATTGTCATCGGTTTTTTTTGGCTGGCTGGCTGGTTGTCGGTATTTTTCCTTTTTTTTTGTTAAACAATTTATGGATTCAATAGATTCACTATTGTTTAACTTTTTGAAAATTCCAACATTGTATGTGCATTGTTGTTGTTGTTGTTATTGTTGATGATGATGATGATGATGTGGATGGAAAATAATTTAAAATTAAATTTACTTTTTTTTCCAATTGGACCAATTGAAAATTCAGCACACACACACATGCCTTGTTTTTGTGGGTAGTGAATACGATTATTGTGTGTGTGTGTATGTCTCTGGTTTTCTTGAAGAAACGAGGAAATAAAAAACAATATTTTTTCAATTGAAAACACAAAACAAAAACGAAATAAATGATGATGATGATAAAATGATGTTGGCCGCGACCCTAAAAATACATACTTTTGAAAGGAAAAATTTATTACTAAATTGAATTGAATTTTGTTTTTCGTTTTCAAGTTGAATTCAGAAAAAAATTTTATGATTTTTTTACAATAAATTTTTTTTTTTTTTTGCTGAAAAATTAAATTAGATTCCTTGTGTTTCTCCTGTGTTACTACTACTACTCATTATCTGATCAATTTGATTTAAATACTATTAACTACTAACTGATTTCCTTTAAATGTTTCTTTTTTTTTCTTCTTCTACTTTCTTGTTTTTTATAGATACTCAATTTGTGTGCCATTGCTCTGGTAAGTCAATCTCTTGTTATTTTTTTTGCTGTTATTGAGTTCAAAAAAATAGAAACAAATTCATTTTAAATAATTGAAATTTTCATGTTTTTACTATGCCCGTATGAATTGATTGATTGATTTGGTTTGGTTTGGTTTGATTGCTAAGACAAGTTCAATTTATTTATTTGTAAGAATTTAAATGAGATTGTCGTTTGTTTTCGCCGTTTGTTGTTGTTAGTTAAATGAATTGAATACGATAAAACAAAATGTCATGATGATGAAATTCAAGTTTTTGTTTTCCTTTGTTTCGCTCACCAATAGAACAATTGTTTTGAGATGAATTTTTTTTCTACTTTCCATCAGCAAAAAAAAACTGAATTGATTAGAAAAAAATTAAATTTAAAGAATATAAAATGAGCTCTTTGAAATATATTGAAGTGAGCGAGAGAGAGAGAGAGAGAGAAAGGAATAAAACAGAATAAAAAAAAGTAAAGAGTGAAAAAATCAAACAGAATAATTTATTGAATTTCAAATTTTTTTTTGCTTTTTTTTCAAACGTAAACCGAATTTTATTTCGTTATATTTTCCTCTATATTCTGTTCTGGAATTATTAGCTTTAGCCAACGGTGAAAAAAAAATTTTCTTAGTTACTAGACCTAGTCGCTAAGAAACTAAAAAAAAATAGACCGAAAGAATTTAGCTTTTCGGATACAATCATTTTGTGTTATTCGGTGTGATTAATCATCACAAACTTGGTTTCATTTCTATATAATTCCGGAAATAATCATAATATATATAACCGAAACATTGAAACTTGAATTTTTCTCTGTATTATGATGTTGGCCATAAAAAAATTTTTTCCTATTTCACTTTCTGTTTTTTTTATTCATTGGAAAAATGATCATATAAAGCATTGAGTTTTCATTTTTTTTTTTGAGCAGAAATTGATTTTCTTGTTTCTTTTGATTATGTGACTTGCCAATAAAGACAGGGAGAAAAAAAAATTCGTAAGTTTTTTTTCTCTTGTTCATTCATTCATTTATTACTGGCCATATAATCATTATTGTGTATATATTGTATAGTGTGTGTGTGTGGGTGTAGATAAATGAAATGTTGAGACAATCAAAACACTTAGTTCATTCTCATTTGTTGTTATTGTCCATTCATTTATTCTTTATACCTGAATGTATGAATAGGAATGAACAAATAAAGGATGTGAAAAAAAACAAATAAAATGACATCTTTATATATTTATTTATTCATTTAATAGATGGTCCATATAAAGAGAGAAAATGTTTTTTACTTGTATCATCATCATCATCATCATCATCATAATTGTCACCGATAATTGTTATTGACATCTTTATTTTCCTTTTTGCTTGATCATTCATGAATGGTAGCAATTTCGACACACACACACACACCTAAAGAAACATAGTTGTAATTTGTGTGTGTATATATCGTGACTTATTAGAATGAGTAGAAAAGAAGAAAAACTTTTATTTTTCCACATGAAAAACCAGTACAAATCATTTACGTAATTTTTTCTTGGTTGTTGTTGGAAATGACAGCTTTTTTTGTCAATATTTTTTTTCTTTTGGCCAATAATCGAAATAAAATTATTCGAAAAAAATGGATTCATTTGAATCACACACACACACTCATCGATATTCATTTACCTAATAGCATCATCAGTAATGAATATAATCTATAATTCAAATATATATTCTTAATAAACAAACGACAAAACCAAACCAAACCAAACCAAAGAAAAAAAATTTATTCATAGTAACCACGAATAACGAATAACTACAATGAATGAATAGCTGAATGAAATGTATGTGCATTATTTGTTGTGTGTGTGTGTGTGTTTTTATTTCACAACGACAACAAGAATGAAAAGAAATGAATGAAGAAAAATTATTCAATTATTGATATTTTGCTTTTCATTCATTGTGTAGACAATCTTCAATTTGAAATATTCACCATTTGAACTTTATGGAAATGTTTGACTTTCTCTGCGTGCGTGTGTATTGAATTTGCATGATTCTTTTTTGGTTTATGATATTGGGCCTGGCTATTTTTTTTCGTTTAGAATTTATGAACCACAACAACAACAACAACAACAACAACAACAAAACTTTTCTTTTCTTTCTTTTCAAGGGCATTTTTTCTTTCTTTACTCTACTCTATTAGAATGTTGAATAAAATAGAAATAGAAAAAGAATAAAAAAGAAGAAGAAGAAGAAGAATGGAAAAAATAAATCATCATGTTCATTAATTTTCTCTCAGTGTATATAAAACATGAAAAATATGAATAAAATGATTTTGCCGTACCTTTTTTTTATATTATGGAATATAAAACGCAGAAGAGAAAAATAAATACCAGATTAAATTTGTTGTTGTTGTTGTTGTTGTTATTGCTGGTTTCTATATATATGAATATTCTTTTTTTGAAACAATTTTCATTCACATTTTGGTTTGCATTTTTTTCTGTTAATGAATTTCACAATGTTTTGAATGTTATCACCAAAAAAAACCTGATTATGAATATGCAAATATTTGGCCCATACACTAATATTTGCCTAAAAATTCTTTTTTTTGATTTCAATAACAACAACAACAACTAGAACAACATTGATGAAAATCAATGAAAATTAAATGAATGCAAAAAGCAAAGAACAAAAAATTCCTTATTCATATTCATAGTATTTGAATGAATGAATGAATGTCAAACATGTCGTACAATCAATTGATCTATATATAAAACCATTTAATCAAAGAAATACTAGTCAACGATAACAACAACAACAACAAAAAGAATGTTAACATAAATAACATGGTCCGAGAATGACCTACTGACTGGGCGACCGAATAACATTAAAAAAAATAAATTATACACACTATAATTCATATTCATATTCATATATGATGATTATCATTTCACTTTCAATCCATATATTACATAGAATGGAATTTTCATCATCATCATCATCATCATCATGATAATAATAGAATTCTTATTCATTTCAAACCAGAATAACAACAAAAATGTGTTTGGCCGATTGATGATGATGATGATGATGAAAGGAAATGAAAATTTTAGAAATCTATTATCCATATATATTGTATATATGGTCAATATCAATTTTGATTTCTATTAATCGTTAACTATCATCATCATCATCATCATCATGTTTTTTATCTCTAACATTAATCAATAAATATGGTTCATATATATAGATCAATAATTGCATGTTGCGTGTGTGGGTTCATCTATTTTTTTTTATTTTTTCTTTTTGGTATGATGGTGATAATGATATGATTTATTTATGGTGAATGGTGAATAATAACAGATTCTGCATTCATATGACATTTAATAATAATGAAAATGGTGAAATAGAGGCTATGTTTAATTGATTGCCACAAATATGATTTTCGATTTAGATTTTTTTTTTGACTATCATCATAATGATCATATAAATAATAAAGTTGTATGTGGGTGTTGTTTGTTTGGTCATTTTTCACCGATTGTATATATATTTATATTGACATTGTTGATTGATTTTTATATTTTATATTTATATATTAATATATTAATTTTATTTTTCTTTTTTTTTCTCCTGATCAATTGATTGATATATCACATATATATATAAATATAGGATCGTTATCAGGCAATACATGATCCAATAAATTATGCACAGAAACGTACAATGCGTCGTGTTTGTACATCTATTTGTATTGTATGGATATTATCGGCAATAATATCGATACCACCATTAATCGGATGGAATGATTGGCCAGAAGAATTTAATGAAGAAACACCATGTAAATTATCGGAAGAAAAAAGTTATGTGATCTATTCATCAATGGGTTCATTCTACATTCCATTATTTATAATGACTGTTGTTTATTTTAAAATATTTCAAGCTACACGACGACGATTAAAAGATCGTGCTAAAGCAAGTGCCATTGCAAATCTAGGCAATTCTAGTTCACAGCCATTAGCACCAGCAACAAAATCGAATAACACTAATAATAATACAACAAAAATTGTTTCATCATATGAAGATAGTTCAAGCTCAACATCACCAAAATCATCTTATATGAAAACAAGACGTTATCTACGTTGTTGTTTTGAACATCATCGAAATGATCATCATCGATCCAATAATGATAAATCAATGAATGAAAATAATAATAACAATAATAATAGTAATAATGGAAAAAATAAGAAATTACGATTTTCAAGAAAAATACTGAAAGAAACTCGTATTGAAATTGAATCAGCTAGTGATGATCATTCAAGAGTTAGCAGTAGTGATGCATATGGTATAACAAGTAATGTTCCGGCCACTTATCATCATGATTCATTTTCAAATGAAGATGATTTTGATGATGGTAATGATTTTGATGAAGATGATGATGATAATAAATCAATTGATGCAGATATTCCGATTGGAGAATTTGAAATCAATAATCGCGTATCAAATAATAATGGTGATGATGATGATGATGAACAAGAACAAAATTCAGAAAATTCTGAAATGAAAAAAAGTGCCTCAACATCAATTACAAATCAACATCAACATCAGCAGCAACAAAATTCATCTCCAAATAAAGTGTTCCAAATGGAATCAACATCCATAAATAATTCTACTATTATCATTCAATCGGATAAAAATTTGGTGAGTACAAATAGTTTTCAAACAATAATTAGAAAAAGAGAAAGAGAATAAAAAATATATATCATTTTTCAAACACCCACACACACACATAGACAGACAGATTAAATTTCATATAGATTGATTCTGTTTTTGATTTATTCATTTTTTCAATGGAATAATTCTTAATTGATTATTATGTGTGTGTGTGTGTGTGATTTGACCAATCTTCAATCATTTGCCTTTTTTCTCGTTGTGATTATTTTTGAATTTAAATACTTTATCTATCTTTATATATAAAACAGTAGAAAATGTTAATAGACAGTTTTGTTTGTGTTTATTAATTATCTGAAAACTAAATTATCGGCTATGTTTGGCTATGTTTGGAATTTTATGAAAAATATTATCAATTTCCAATGAAAAAATCCAGACATGTGGAGTTTTTTTGTGCCAATTTTTTTTTCTTCAGTATTTTTGTTGGTTTTGGTTTGTTCACTATGAGAATTTATTATTATTTTTTTTTTCGTTTTGAATATATGAGAAAAAGAATGTGAATGCTAATGCTATGGTTAAATTGTATGTAGAATGTGAAAACCCCCGAAAGAGAAAAACCATATTTCATAATAATTAATTTATTCTTTCAATAGTGTGGAGTGAATAGCAAGGATAACACTTTTTTTTTTTTTTTTTGCCGCCGATTTCACATGTTTCCATCGTGTGTGTGTGTGTGTCTAATAACCGTGTTAAAGTAGTAGCTCACTATGACGAAAAAAATTGCTTCTTTAGTTTTTTTGTTTCATTTTAACGCATCGACTATACCAAGCGGCTCATATATAAGCCGTATTTCAATGAATTTTTTGCACCATTAGTCTATGGGTAGCGTCTTTTTTTTACTATGGTGCGTAGCCAATGAGTTAGTCATCATCATCATTAATAATAACATGCAATTGAAATGAATTTTTTTTTGCTTTTTCTTTTTGAATTTTGTTTATTTTTTGTTTGTTTGTTTGAAAATTTTCAAAACAAAAGTCAAGAAAGTTTTTTTGTTTGTTTGTGTAAGTTTCAATGTCAATTTTTTAATGTTTTTTTTCAACACTGAAAAACTAAATAGTCTGTCTGAAAAAAACGTGACTTTATAGAAAATGAAAAAAAACTTGTTGGGACACAATATTATTTTTCAAGAAAAGAGAGAAAGAGAAAAATAATAATTTTACCCGATTAATGAAAATTCTTATTTTTTTTTTTTGTAATGTTGCACGGAAAACAGAAAAAAAAGATGATGATGATGATGAAGAAAAAAAAAAGATATTCTTGGTTATAACAAACTAATATATCCATTTTTGTTCTAAATTTTTTTTCGCCATTAACAGAGTTTTCAATCTATAATAAATTATCAACTCATTAAAAGCATTTAGTAGCTAATATGTGTTTCACGTAAACTAAATGTTTATTGTTATCGTTTTTGTTCTGGGTTATTCTGATGATGGTGAAAAAAAAGAAAGAATCTTCAAAAAAAAATGGCCTGGTAGCATCCATATATATTGATAATAGGGAAATTGTTTATTTAAGTGTTTACTATGGTGTTTTGCTTTTTTTTTTTGTTTTGGTTCGATGAGTGAATCACACTCACTGACTTACTTACTAATCGAATAGTTATTGCTCTGATCGATATTCGATAAAATTCTGATCAAATAAGCATTTTCTTCTCCTATACTTGCTGTGTTGTTTGTGTTATTATTATTATTTTTTTTTGTGTATATGCGGTCTAGTCCGGGAGAAAATTTTTTTTTCTTTATTTCTCCTTATAGATTTGATAAAGATTCTGGGATTTTATTTGATTTGTTTGATAAAGAATGAAAAGAATCGAAAATAAAAGGGAAATTCAATTTGATTTTCATCGATAATATTATCAACGATGATTTAGTAATAATAATAATATTGAATAGGATTCTTTGAACAAACAAACACGACTAAAACGAAAGTTCAATATTTTTTCTCAATAACAGCAACAACAATAATAATAATGATGATGATGATGATGATGATTATTATCATCATTACAAATCACTATTTTTACTGATTGGGTGGTGAATGGTGGGGTATACTAATGTCGGTATTATTCCATTATTTTATTATAAAAACAAGCCATTGATCGTTTTGAAGAATAACAAACCAACCAAACCAGCCAAACAAACAAACATATGCCAAAGACTATTATTATTATTTTTCATTTCATCAATATTGAAATTGAGAAATCGAAACCGAAATTTTGTTTGTTTGTTTGTCTGTTTGTGTGTGTGTGTGTGTGTGTTTTGATAGCTGAATATTTTATCTATTTTTTTCCTATTTTCTTTTAAAAATCTTGAAAAAAATATATACTCTTAACACAAACACACACACACGGCACAGTAAACAACAAAAGCGTTGCCGCGATCTACTTGTGTTTTCTCTTTCTAAGAAAAATAAGAACCATAAATAAGATGTTTTTGTTGTTGTTGTTGTTGGTCTCTCGGTCTCGGTCTGTTTGTCGGTTCATTTTTTTTCTTCTATTTTTCATCTTTTTCATTTTATTCAATTTCAGTATTTCAACCAACAACAACAATAAGAATCCATGATGATGATGATGATAATAATGATGAACCAGACCATCATCGACAATTGGCTGAAAAGAAATGAAAACAATGTTTTTTTTTCTTAAAAACATACATATAGCCTATATTTTCAAATTGATTTTTGTCAGTTATTATTCTTCTATGAATGTTGTGTAACATAGCATTTTTGAATGAGATAAGATGATGATAGCTCGTCGTAAGTGATTTTTTATAGATCAGATGAAAAACACACACACGACACACATTAATCTATCATTGATCGGCCGCTTATTATTATTTGCTGTTCCTTTCTATTCTCATTCTGGTTCATTCGTCGTTTGCATGGATGGTTTGACAATACATCACACACACACACACACACACATTAATACCAATCCGATATTAGATTCATTGAAAAATGATGATGAAACACACACACACACACACACATTTAATCCTCATTGAGAGAATCTGGCTTATTATTATTTGCTGTTTCTCTCTATTCTCATTCTGGTTCATTCGTTGTTTGCATGGATGATTGAATCTCAATACATCACACACACACACACACACACACATACTGTGAAACAATACTTTTCAATGAATGGTGATAACCGATATTGAATTTGATTGTTTTTCCCCAATTTTTAATCATCAACAACAACATTATTTCCACTTGGTCCGTGTTTAACACTAGAGTGATTTTTTTCCAACCCGGTCTGTTTTTTGATCCTGTCTAGTGTTTCATTCAATTTTTTTTTATCGATTTTGATCATCATCATCATCATCGATGAAAAGAACTACGGGTCAATACAATAATAAATCATACAGGCAATGATGAACGATTCAAAGAGATTCAATATGAAAGAAAATTCAACATTATCATTGTCATCCGGAAATGTGATTCATCTGAAAAAAAAGATGATAAAAAAAATATCCGAAAAAAATTGGATCAATTCTTTTTTTTTGTCTTTATAACAATATACAATTATCGTATACAATATAGATTTATTGATTTTTTGATTGTGAAAAATTTTCAAAACCTCGAGGTGGAATAAATAAATTTTCGCCAATTTCCGTATTGAATATATATAATTAACAATAAAAGCTTTGCTTGAAATTTTTATTCAAAAATTTTATCGATAATTTTCCGAAAAAAAAGACATATAAATCATTGATTTGCAATCCAATAATTTTGGTGTTTTTTTTATGACAACTTATACGATTTGTCCATTCAATCATTAAATATATGTGTGTCAGTGTTGTTTCTAATTTTTCTCGTTCGTTAGTAAGCTTGTTTTTGTTTCCCATCTATGGTATTAATGTTTTTGTTTTGTTTTGTTTTGCTTGTTTGTTTTATAAATGTGTTATATTAAAGACTTGAATGAGAGAGTGTAAGAATAATATAATTGTGATTTAATAAGAAACACAAAATGAACAAAAAACATACAAAAGTAAATACATTACATTTTACATGTTTTTTTTTTTTTTTTTTTTGGATATTCATTCTCAACTTGATGTTGTTGTTGTTGTTGTTGATGATGATGATGATTGACTTGAATTTGGTATTACAGTTTTTTTTTGCCAGTGTCATGTCATTTTGTTGTTATTAGTAACTCTATGTTGTTTGTTTTATTTGTGATAATTAATTCTCTTTTTGTGGAGAAATACTCTGTGTACTACTTTTTACTATCCACATTTATTCATTCATTGAATGCTGTGTGTTTCCGTTTTGTTTTTTTTGTTTTGTTTTGTTTTCTGTTCTGTTTATTCAAAGTAACAAAACAAATCGAACCCAAAAATAGAAAAAAAAATAAAAAAAAACACAGTCGATTCTTTAATTTCGTTTTCCTATTAAACTTTTTTTTTTCTACTGTTTGTTTGTAGTTTATATAACCCTTTGTATTTGAAAATGTTGTTGTTTTTTTTTGTTTTTGTTTTGTTTTGTTTTAATTAAAATTACATTTTATTGTTCCATAAATGATTCATTTGTTTTCTATTTGAAACAGCTGCCATCAAATAATAATAATGAGACGACGTTTGTCATTGCAAATGATATTAAACAACAACAACAACAACAACAACTTGATCGTAGGAAGGATAATGAAATAAGCCAACAACAACAACAGCAACAACAAATGATAGTAGCATCATCAACAATTTTGAACAACAATAATCAAAGCAGCTGTAATGTTTCACAACAACAACAATCCAATAATAATAATTCAACAATAGCCACTAAAATCGAACAACAACAACAACATCATCGTCATAATAGTAAATATTCAAAAATATTCAAACAACAACAACAACAACAACAACAATCAATGGCCAATACAATAGTAAAACCATTACCTGTATCAGTGAAAAAAATTTGGGAAGAAAAACAAAAAATTTCTTTATCACGTGAACGTCGTGCAACTAGAATTCTAGGCATTATTATGGGTGTATTCGTTGCTTGTTGGTATGTATTTTTTTTGCACTTTTCAGAAAGATAGAAATGATTCAGACCTTCAGGCGATGACATTTTTTAAAAAGCTTTAGATATTTTTTTAAACGAAAAAATAGAAAATTTTGACCATTTCTTGTTTTTTTTGAAAAAATTCAACAGCCCATCATCAATGATGATGGTGATGCTAAAAAAAACAATGGCATTTGACACTTTTGATGTGTTCATTCATGCAGATTTGTCTCTGGAGATGGTAAAACTAACCCAATTGCACAATACATTGAGTTATGCTGTGTGTATAGGCAACATATGCTTGTTCAGAGAAAAAAAACCGATGATCAAAACTTCAAATTTTTGTCACTCCATAATTTGTTTGTGAATTAGATTTTTTTTTTTTTTTTCCATTTTTTCACTCTTCATCATCACAATTTGACAAATAATATGTGTTGTATGATCGACATTAATTTAACAATTTTTCATCTGGTGATAATAATAATTGTCAATAAAATTTTTGTCATTCTCAGACAAAAATGACATCAAACATAGACATATTGTGTCGATTTGAAGATGACAATAGTTTTGTATATGTGCAAATGTTTTCATTTGAATTTCAAAATTGGTTGAGAATATATTTCGTTATTTTCTATAGATAAGTAGTGAAAAATGATTGAAATTTCATTGAAATTGAATTATTTATTTTCAATTTCAATGATGATTTGTTCATTTCTAGGCATTGATTATTATTACTTGTCGTCATTTTGTTTTCTGTATTTTTGTCTGCTTGAAAGAGAAAGATAATGGAAATTATTAATTAGCAAATGCATTATCGTTGTTTAATTCATATTTATATATATATGAAGAAGAGAAATTTGATTCGTTTTTTTTCAAGTTTTGACCAAATGTGTGTGTGTGTGTGTGTGGTGTGACCAGAAAGAGAGGGAGAGAGAGAGATCAATTTGCCCAAAATAAAAAAAAATGGAATAGTAATATGGATCTATCTTTTTAATATTTATTTAAGAATGCTAATATTAATAATAAGAAATGAAATCAACGATCAAGAAGAAAGTTTGTTTTGGGTCTAGAAAGAGAAAAAAAAATGATTCCACTGATCCTTGAATGATATGATATGATATGATGATAGTGATGATGATTACAATAATCAATCAGAAAACTTTTCTTTTGTTGGCTGGAACTTTTATATATATCCAGCATTTATATATTAATATTATTATTTTTCATTATATATATGTTCTGTTTGTTTGCTTATTATTTTTCTATATTTCATTCATTCATTCATTCATTCTTTGTCTCCATTGTCTTTGTTTCTGTTGTAAATGTGGTGTTTATGAAGATCACACACACACACACAACAACATATCAGATTAAAAAAGGTCTTTATAGATTGATTGTATGTGTATTTTAGCAACACAGAATGTGGAAAAAAAGATTCTCCATTGTGCATTAATATATATCTATATATATGTATCAATTGGAATAAACAATTTTTTCTATTCTATGTGTGTGTGTGTGTGTGTGATATGATAAAATATATATCGCCATTTTTTCAATAGAATAGATCGCACCAAACAAAAAAAAAGAATGGATCCTTTTTTTTCATTATTATTACAAACCTAATTCATCAATAATAATATTATTATTTGCACTCACCCAAAACACTTCAAATAAATTAGAATGTGCAAATATATATTCTCTCTATTCCATTTCGATTTATGGAAAAACAACATTTTTTTTTCTCTCCCTACATTTGAAATTCTTTCACATTTCAATCCGAAACCAATCATGATGACGACAATGATGATCGATTTAAAGTGGAGAGAGAAAAAAAATTCTTTTCATAGTCAATCATCATAGATAATAAGATGCGAAATATATAAATTCTCGAATCTTGGAGCAAAAAAAAAAAAAAAAAAAAAAGAATTTGTCAATTGAGTCGTCATTTTGGAATTCTCATCTTTTTCATTGAATTTTGTGAAGTGTTTGTCGTGTTTTTCGTTTCGCTCTTGTTGTTCACATTTGCAATTCGATGAACGCAATTTTTTTTTCTTTTGTATAGAGACAGAAAGGGAGAGAGAGAGAGAGAGAATTGAAAATTTTTTTTTATTTAGATATCTAAGCTAATTGTATGAGTTATCAATTTCAAATACATCCACATATATATTTCGTTTTCAAACAAATTGAATAAGAAGTGGAAGAAAAAACTGAAATAAAATTAAAAAATTGAAAAGTGTATCTGAGAGAGAGAGTAAATAAGTAGAATGATTTCATTATTATTCTACAAAATGCTGTTAGTGATGTGAAAAATAGGAATTCGAATGAGAATAAAGAAAAACATTGAATGACAAGATGATGATGATGTTTTTTCATGTTCATCATCATTGGATGTTTTTCTTGAAAAAAATCATCATCATCATCATTTCAATCAATTTGATGATGGAATTTTATAAAATCCATCCATTTCCAATGATACTTCGTCATCGATTCATGTTTGATTCATTCATTCATTTTTTTTCTATTCAAACATACATACACTCTTGCATACTGTCACAAATCAACAACAAAAGAATTTGTATCATTTTAATGTCATCATCATCTTCGTCATCGTTGTGGTTGATTCTATCGAATCGAATGAATGAATGGACTTGACAAACAGTTGTGAAGTGTTTATGTCAACAACAACAACCAAAACAACGAATTGTGAGGATGATGACGAAAAAAAAAAATTAATTTGCCAGGAAGGATGCAAAATATAGTGAGAAACTTGGTGTACCCTGTGTGGACAATGGTCAATCCATTCAAAATACAAAAGCTGTGTGGGGTGGTTGGACAAATTTGTGTGTCCACCATATTGCCATCACATCACATCACATTTTATTTTTGCACAAATTTTATTTTTTTTTCTGTTCAAGTTTTTTTTTCTTCTTTATTGTTCAAACAATAATAATAATATAGCATTGAAAAACAGTGGGAAAAAATTCTTTGTTTGAATAGAGAGAGAGAGAGAGAGAGAATTTTTTTTTCTTCTCATTCTCTTGTTTTATAACTGTTGTGTTGTTGGGTTTCCTGTCAAAAACTTTTTTCCTGACAAACAAAGCGCTTAATCAACAAAACAACAACAGCAAAAAAAAAAAAAATACCATATGACCGATGGTCATCGATTGAAGTTTTTTTTCAATATATTTTTCAAATTTTTTTTTCATATTTTGAACTTTGATTTCATTCGATGTTTGTGTTCATATATGAGTGTGTTTGTTTACTTGTTTTCTTTTTTTTGACTATTTTTTTTTTATTTTTCTTTTTTTTCATCTTTTTCATTGATCCAAAAAAATTTCGAACCAAAAAAAAACTTTAGGCTTCCATTCTTTTTGATGTATGTTATAGTGCCTTTCTGTGAATCCTGTCAATTATCACGTGAAACGGTCAATTTTATTACATGGCTTGGGTGAGTTATTATATGTGCATGCATAAAATCGATTTTTGTTATATTTAAATTTATTCAATTCAAATTTCATTTTCTTTTTAAATTTTCTGATGAAACCACACACAGATATATGAATTCGGCAATAAATCCACTCATCTATTGTGGATTTAATCGAGATTTTCGTCGTGCATTTCAAAAAATTATTCTATGTAAAAATGTTTAAGTTTGTAATGACAGAAATATCTCTTTCACAATTTAAGCTTCGTGTTTTCATGTTCATGTTCATCGATTTTTGTTGTTGTTATTGTTGTTGCTTGCCAAAAGGCATAATAAATTTTTTTTCTTCTGTAAATTGAATACATAAAAATTGTATAAAAGCCCTTGATTTATCCATCTATAAAGTTCAAAAATATTTATGGCCAAAGGAAAAAAATGTTTCTGATTTAAAAAAAAAAATTTTTTGTTGCTCATTTCAATTGATTAATGATAACCTAATTTATTTGTTACACTCGCACACACAAAAAAAAATTTCTTTTTCTGTTTTTTCATTTCAAATGTTGAACATGGTTATGACTTGATAATAATGTAAGCAAAACAAAAAACCTAAAACACACACACACAACACACACACACACACACACACACACATAGATGCAAAGTTTTTGATTCCTGCTGTAAAATATAAAAATTGTTATATGGACAGAATACATTCTGTTTTTTTTTTGGCAAAACAAAAAGTCACCATATTGTGTGTACAACACATGTAATTCTTGTTGTTATTGTTTTTTTTGTTGTATCATTTGTGTAAAACCAAGAATTTGAAAGCATCTCTCTCTCTCTCTCCCTCACATGGTTTGTGTTTTTGCACTCATAAGAATTTCAACAACAACAACAACAGCAACAAAAATGATGACGGCCAATTCTTTTTTTTTTATTTGTACTGAAATTCTATTGGAAAATAAAATTGAAACACACATTACAACAACACACGCTCAAACTAAAACTGAAATTGTCAATTTGAAGAAAAAAAATTATCAAACGGAAAAATATTTGTAAAAAATTTAATGTTTATATGGAAATCAAGCGTTTTTTTGTTGTTGTTTTGTTTTGCCCCCAAAAAACACTGTTTTTTGGCTCACGAACAACAAAACAAAAATGAAAAATAAAAAAATTTACTCTCGGACATTCAATTGAAAAATAAATAAAATTCCAGATGTGTTCCATCAGCAGTCTGTGTGTGTGTGTGTGTGTAATATATGTAAACAAATGACTTTTATTTTCGATGTAAATAAACAAAAAATCTACTGGATTCTGCTGGAATCTCTTTCTCTCTTTCTCTTGGTTAAAAACTGACACACACAGACACATGCAGAAAAAAAAATATTCCTAGGATTCTACACCTGCAGGTATAGAAGATGAAAAAAAATACTGTACAACTGGGATCATTGTGTTGCAGCAGGCACACATACACACACAGAAATGAATATGAAAAACAAAAAAAAACAACGAATAAAAACCTGCTACCAATCTGTTTTTTTTTTTTTTTTTTTTTTTTGAAAAGAGAAGAAAAATATGTTTATTCATTTTTTTCATAATTTTTTTTTTGTTTATTGTTGTTGATTTTTCAACAACAACAAACGAAAAAAAAATTCTGTGTAATATCATCATCATCATCATTGTATTCAATTCTGAGACCGGATGATGAAAGGCAAGATGATCATAACAAATAGAGAGAAAGAGAGAGAAAACAACTCGGCAGATATGTAAGCGAATCAACCACCAGTGATTTCTCATTTCATTTCATCATCATTTAATATGGAAAAAAAATTTCATTCATTTCGTGAAATATGAAAATATTATTAATAACAAAAATTCATTCATTCATTTATTCTATCATTTTCTATGCAGATCAATCTGTGTTTACCTTTCTACTTTATATATTAGAATTCTTTGAAATAAATTCATTGTGATTTTTTTTTTTAAAAATGAAATGAAAAGAAAAACCTGCTGTAATAACGATAATGAAAAATATAGTTCGTTTTCCGTATAGAAATATGATGTACATCTGTATCTGTACCCTTTTTTCAATCATCAAATATAATGAATATGAAAAAAAAAAAATTTGAAAAGTAAAATGAGAAGACAAGAACAAAAAAAAATTTAATAAGTTTTTTCAGGTTTTAGTGATGGCAGCAAAAAAAAAAAAAAAAAGAAAAAGAAATGCACCAATTTTGAAACTTTCTCTTGATGATGATGATGAAAAAAAATGATTGTTTCATACGTTGCCAGAAACATTGCCTGCCATTGAATGAATGATGGCAAATGATTTTTTTTTTATTTCTTCTTACTCACACACACTGTACCCACACGCCTAACGAGCAATAATTTTTCTCATATAATAATGTTTATTATTATTATTGAGGATTTATTTTCATTTCAACGAAAAAGAAAACAGAAATGTTTTCGAAAAACCCAAAAACCCAAAAACATAAATGTTTAGATTCTTGAAAATGACGAGAAAAAAAATTTTTTTTTTTTTTTTTGGTTCATTTTTCAATGAAAAATCAGCTCAATTAAATCGAGCACAAAAATATCAAAATGACAAGCAGAAAAAAAATGAATGAAAATATCATCCCACTCATGAAACACTAGAATTGGCAGAAAAAAAATGATGATGATGATAATGAGATTTTTTTTTTGTTCCTAATAAAAATACAATACATTCATAATGATGATGAAACCAATTTATATTGAAAAGATGAAGAAAAAAAAATGTGAAAAACAATACAAAAAAAACAAAAAAAGTTTTCGAGGTCATAATAAATAGTGTGTGCATAATAATGACGAAGATGAGTGTTTGTGTGTGTTATTCTTATGATTTATGAATTTGTTAGAGAGGAAAAAAAAAGTAAAAAGGATTTGGTCCAAACTTGTGTTGTTTTCGCTGTTTTCGTTATACGTTTGATTAAACACACACACACACACACACAGAGAGAGACTGAGCGATCTTCAAGAATCAAAAAAAAACTGAGATATACACACACACACGTATAAAAGAGACCAATTTCATTTCTTTACTATTCTCATTTCCATTTCCATTTCATTTCATTTAAATCAGAAAAAAAAACATGAAATATTAACAAATTCCTTTACAGAATATGAAGCAATAATGAGATATATATATGTCACGACATTTCTGAAGGGGTCGTGAGCGAAAATAAAAAACACAACGGTTTTTTGAGTGAAGACGATTGATCAGTGTTTTTTGTGTACCAATTGTAAATTGATATAAAGAAGTGAATAAAATAAAATTATTTTTGTTTTGACATTAGCCAACAGGATAAAGTCCGTGCAGCAAAATTCCCAAATGGATGACAAGAAAAAACAACGTGCACTGAATGCAGTGGAGACCGAATTATTGGAAATTGATTTCGATGAAGAGAAGTTTGAATCATACAATCGAAAATGCCAAGTCTTGATAAATTATTTCTCGGTAACAACGACATCAAATACAGAACGTGCCATCAAGTACCAACGAAGGGCATTGCCGACGTTTAATGGCGATATCATTCAATTTAACCTATTTTTTCGCGAATTTTTGAGAATTGTTGATGGTGACCCAGCATTACGAATTGACGAAAAATTCTTTACATTGAAATCGATGTTAAAAGATGAACCTTTACGGTTAGTGGCAAATTTGTTGGAGACGGAAGACAATTATGAACGAGCAAAGGACATCTTGAAGGAACGGTATAAACCCAACGGCTTGATTTATTTTAATTGTCTTGTAAACAACAAACCAATCAGAGCGTTTATTGATACGGGAGCCGAAATAACCTGTATTTCTAAAAACTTGTTTGATCAATTAAAATTACAGATAATTAAAAATTCAATCATTAATATCCGTCAACTTGATAATTTGACACAGTCATTGGGTCGCGTAAAAATCAATCTACAGATCGGGAGAATTACTCGATGTGTCGAAGCTCACGTGGTTAGAAATTTGACTACTAATCTCTTGTTAGGTCTCGACAATAGCCAACTCTTCGATCTCAGCCTTGATTTAAATGATAATTGCTTAAAACAATGTGATAAAATTGTCAACAATGTGCAACATTCGTCAAATCAACAAGAATATCATATTAATCAAAATTTGAACGAAAATCAACGTCACTGTATTCGTGAAATGATCAACCAGTACGGCGATGTATTTGCTCAATCGAAAAGTGATGTTGGATACATCAATCACCAACATCATAGAATAGACCTCTCCAACGAAATGCCGATATTCTTGAAACCGTATCGAACGTCGCCGAGAGAACAAAAAAATCATAGATGAGACGGTCCACAACTTGTTGCAGCAAAAGTTGGTCAGGCCTTCTACATCGCCTTATTCTTTTCCGGTGACATTGGCCGAAAAGAAAGGAGAAGGAAAAACAAGAATGTGCATCGATTATCGGATGTTAAATGACGTCACCATAACCGGAATTTCGCTTATCACAACGACCAATTTCATTTCTATACTATTCTCATTTCCATTTCCATTTCATTTCATTTAAATCAGAAAAAAAACATGAAATATTAACAAATTCCTTTACAGAATAATGAAGCAATAATGAGATATATATATATAGAGAGAGAGAAAGTCATTCACTATCCATATATAAAAACGATGACGAAAAAAAGAACTCGATTTCAAAATCTTTTTTTTGGTCAAAAAAAAAGGAGAAAATTATCGTTTGGAATTTCGAAATGCGTTTCATCATCATCATCATCATCCGCTTTATCATCACGATCCAAATTTAATAATCATCATCATCATTGTTTGATAAAATGAAGAAAAATTGGTAAAGAATTTTCATTAATTTCTTTGGTGTGTGTGTGTGTTTGTGTTGAGAGAGAATAATAGAAAGAAAAAAAGGAGAAGAATATGTTTTCATTTTGGAGAAAATGAAAAAAAACTGATGATGATGATGATGATGATGATGATTGAAAAGAATTTCTTTTTATCTTCATTTTTTTTTTATTCTAAATTGATTGGCATTTTTCTTCTTTTTTTTTTTGTTTGTTAAAATAAAAATGAGATAAGAGAAAAAAAAGAAAAAATGTTTTATACATGTGTTGGGTAGGTTATCATGATGTTATCATTTTTGGTATTCAATGGACACACGAATCTTTTTCTGATCATTTTGTCATATAATGATAAAAATGATGACTCAAACTCAACTATATATTATATGGAAAACTTTTTGTTTGTGTCTCATTGACCATTTTTTTCTGTTGTCATTTAAATCAAATCTTTTGTTTTTTGTTTTTGTTAACAACAAATGTGAAAAAAAACATCAAAATCAGCAAAAAATCACAATTGAAAACATTAATTTGTCAAACAAAAAAACAAAAAAAACAAAAAGAAGAAATTTTCCCGCAAAAGGCATGACAAT